AAGCCTAACCAGGAACTTGTTCCTACAGCGGATTGTATTACTTCCAATAGTAAAGTAAGTACTAAAAAGATCTCTTGTCAGTAAACACCCTAACTCATAGCTTAACCAATATGCATTCCCAACAGACTCACTGTGCCTAACTAAGTGGCAACACTGGGAATCACCCAGGCGGCTCTGACAGTGTCTCACACACTGTGATGGATATCTATTTAGATGGACTTGATGTCCCTGAGACATTGGTCATTGGCACTACATTAATGAGCGCCGGATCACAACACACCAAAAAGCCACTACTGACACAATTGCCAACCTGCTGCTCTTGATGAACAGCTGGAAAGGGGAACTTGAAGCTGTCTCAGCTGAGAGCGAAAGAGTAACAACCTTCATTACAGATGTGAGTGATTTCTGAGACAATGGAGCAAGTGCAGAGCTAACTTATCTTAGTTTCAGGCGGAACTCTCCACCCTGGCTCTCAGGAGATATCAACATACTGAGAATCATATCAACAAGAAGGCGCTGACAGAAGCACTCACTCCATTGATGAAGGAGGCCTCTTTGCAATGTCTGCTTGCTAATCATGGGACAAAGAATTTTCGGACTTACATTAAGAAGGCTTCAAAGGAAAAGTCGGGAAAGTGGGTGGACAGAGAAATATAAGTAATCAATCTATATGTATTGAGACCATGAAAATGATAGAAATGCATACAGTAGAGGGGAATAGTCCATATATATGACTTCCTCTTGTCTGGCCAGTTCTTCTCCTATTTGCTATCACTCTTATAACCAAGCCCTGTGCTGCTATTCTCCAGAATGGTTGTACACAACATCAAGTGATGCAACTCTTGTCTGAGTTATCTGATTCAAGATTGCTGTAAGTCTAATGTCCAATTATGTCCAATTGCCCTTGTCACCCTCTGTAGCCAATCAATATGAAATGTTCTTACACCCTTTAAATGTCCACTATTACTCTAGAACTAATTAGCTTGGATTTTTAGTATTCAGAGACCTTAATAGATAGTGAACCTCAGTCTGGTAGAATGGACTCTCATGGGCATCTAGACCAAGCTGAACATGAGATAGTGGCTTACCTTTGCTGAGTTTGCTCTCAGCATAAGAACTTTCCACCCTCATGAACACCTTCCTGTGATGTTCCCAGTTGTGATGAATGATCAGAGTCAGGGCATCACAAAAGTCACCTGGTGGAGAGCGCACAATTACCAGATGTCTTCCTTCACTGGGTCAGAGTCATGAATGTCCAGGAACCCAGCAGTGGGGGACTTGTTTAGAGGGGTGAGTTCCAATTCTCTTGCCCATCTTGTTGTGGATCTTTTTCAGCCTGCATCATTTTTTTGATGGCTTCACGACTGGCACCATATGATGTTTCATTTGTGCTCTCCAAGATGTTGTACTTTTCTTTGAGGGTTCCTAACACTGTTCCAAAATCGATCAGGAGTCTGTCGAGGTATGTGACGATTCAGTATGTTGCCCTGCCATCAACACTAACAAATACAAGCATCAGAATGACCAGAATTGTATATATGTTCAGTTGCAAAGTTCTGATCCTGCGCTGTTGAACAACACTCTTAAGATATCATAGATCCATTGGAGTTCCAAGTCCAACACCTACACCATGAGAAAATCAGGGATCAGGAGGCCCTTTGGCAGCAGCAGGCCCGTATCAACTTGTTGGAAGAAGACAACCAGCATAAGGGTGTGATGGTCAATATACTCAGCGAGAATGTTGATTGCCTTGAGGCTGAGATGGAGGAGCAGAAGAGGGAGATAGATAAGCTACTTGCTCGTGGGAATATAGATGACACTGATAGAGTAATATATTTCATATCCTTGAAAGATCAACTGATTGAAGTTCTCAATAATGCTGATATGTAGATGATGCTCTCTATATATTTACATGTGGTCCTTCAACTACAAATATTTCTGCTAGCAACAATTGTCCTTATATATTCACTTCCATTTCAGCAGGTATTGTCAATGGGTGGCATCATAGAGCATAATTATCAATTCTAATGGCTTCCCCAAATGGACAATTCATTTGTATCCAGTGATCGCCTGTTGGCTCCTTGATTCTCTGTTCTTCTCCTATATGGACAAATCTCCACAATAATCTTAGACTTGTATTTGTGCTCTTATCTCTGTGTATAGGCACCTAAGATATGGATCCAAAACAGAGACATGTGGCTGACAATTTTAAGAAAAAGCATACTTCTGAAGAATACAATGGCATTTTGAAATGTCTTGCAGGTACTATCAGCCACCACATCAAGAAAGCTTCTATAGTATTGGATGACCATTCTCACAAGCTTTTTCTATGTAAGATTTTTGTGCACAGTAGAAATGTCCTTTAAGAGGCAGAAGTCACTTCATGCACCCTCAAGAACATAATGATTCATCCTTTTCCTCTTAGGGATAGTTATTGAAAGCTGGTGTCTGACTTCAGACAACTATCCTTGTATTATGGTCCAGTTGATGCAGGCCATGATTTGTGTTTACCTTGAGTACCTATGACAATTTTCATTCACCCTTTTAGACTGGCAAAGTCACTACAGTGTAGTGTAGTAGAATGCTTGCCTACCATGAACTAGTGTGGTTTTTTATTAATGTTGACTTGGCACAGTGTTTGATGTTATGGAGTGAATCAATTCAGCACACTAATTAGCTCAAGGCACTATACTTGGATAGTAATTTCCATGAAGCCATGGGCTTCACTCCTAACCTGGCAAAATTGAAATATTTTTACAATGACTTCTCTCCTCAAAGTATGATTGGACAAAGACCAGCATATAGACAGTGTGCATGCCAACAACTTCAAGTGAGTGCATTATGAAATTTCCTCTCCTTCACAAACTCATGCTATATTGCATTGTGAATTGCATGGCCTGCATTCATAAATGTGTGCTGATGACCCTGGGTCAACCCACAATTTTTAATATGCTGTATGAAATGCAATAGTATGCCTCATCCCTAGTATTCAGTCAAACTTAGGAGCTTAAGGTCTTTGTTGATACTGACTTCAAATAGATCACTGTCAGTATAGAGATGATACATCACAACAAACTGCAATAGGGAATTTGGAAGCTCATTAACATTACCAAACTACACTACTCTGCCCTCAGAAACAACAACACAATCTTGACCGAGATATCCAATCATATCAAAGACAATATTACTAACACCACCCGCAGGTATTTATTTACATTTAAAGACCCATTTCATAAGAAACATCATTCACTTTTCCTCTTTTTGGTGGAGGAGCATGACCTTGTGATAGTCAACAATGAAGAACACATAGAATGAAATATTCCAGCTATCAAGGATTTTCTCAGGCATTCATTGAGTGCCTGGAAGCCACTTTATCACCTCCTCTTTCTGACAACTCATATCTCTAATTATAGCACCCAATTTGTTGACCACTAGATCAGCAATACCGACAGATATTGAAATATCTTCATGCAAGATCAAGATATGTTCATTTTGACAGGGTACAGCAAGAAAACCAGTCTTACTGATCAAAATTCCTGTACCTCCTGGCTTTTTGCTGCAGGATGTCATGCTCTTAATCCTTAAAATGCTGGGATGTGGCTTATAAGTTGCTGAGTCTATTCTGGCAGAGCTCATATATGGCAAGGAGGCTAAACATACATACAGAACACAAGTACTCACAATGCTCGCACCATTTGATTTCAATCTCATGAATATCTTGTATTTCAGCTATATACCTTTGTGTTGCCAGTGGTAAGGGTAAGAGGATCACACCTGAAAGGTTCTCTGCCAACATTTGTTACTAGAACTATGAGTACTTTGAACGCAGATAAGGTTTAAGAGATTTCTGGCAAGGGGCCATTATAATGGGTTATAAATTTATCTCTCTCAACGACTTGTTTAATGAGGTCAACAATATTCTTGCAGAGTCTGTTGATCATTCAACTGGCACCAACCACCTACACTACACAGGTGTCCACAGAGTAATGCCAAGGTTGTTGACAGCGATTCATGTGAAATGACACCCATCAAAAAATGAAAGTAAAAAAAAGTAGAGTAGTTGATACTTCCTTGCCTTTAAATTTGTCCATGGTCTTGAAAACTTTGAAGGGGAAGGGAAAAGCCAGTGCTGATAGCATCATATCCCTTTCGAGCACACCTCCAACACACCTATACTTCCCATATTATCTAGTTGGTAAAAGGACAGGCAGGGCTTATACATCACCTTTAGGAAGCTAAAATCTCATTCATACAGAACACCACCGGTACACACCAGCCAAAACTGTGACTTGACTGTTAGTTATGTTTACTGTTCTTGCATGCTATGTTTGTTTAATGTTTGTTCTACACTAATAAATACTCCTGTGCTCCTCTCTCACCTGTCCTCACTGTTCACGACAGCGAGCTCGACAATAGCCATCACCTTGCTTTGTTTTCTTTTGTATATTGCTCCGTTGCACACCCCTCGGCCCACAATAATATTATGCCTACCCTCTGGCCTGCACCAACTACTGCTTTGAACACTCCTTGGACTCAGTCTGTTTCCCGTCTGTCATTGTCCTCCTTAGTCTTCCCATCACGCCTGGAGCACTGTTCTCCCTCCTCCCTACCTACAGCTGAACACTTCTGCCTCAGGCAGAGGCAGCTTTGGTTCTACTTGCGCCTGCCTCAGGCAGGTGCTTGTACATCCATATATGTCACATGCCATCTCTTCAATGAACATGCACGATCACCACGTGTATCGGTACTTGTGTGGGTTAGTGAACTGGAGTGAAAATTCTCTTCTAGCTACTACCACCACCTTTAACCATGTCTCATGGTTGGTACCTCACAGAATTCATTGGGTGGTGTCTCCCGCAAGTGCTTAGTGCAAATAGGCAGTAGTAAAGCCAAGACTCTGTGAGCTGGCAGCAACTAACAGCGCGAAGACCAAGCAAAGTTGTTTTGTGCTGAATTACTCAAAAGTACAGTACAGTTATCAACGGCTCTATTGATCACTATCAAACTTTGTTATCATTCTTCACCGCTGTCATCCGACACATCATTAAGGTCAAAAACTCCTCCCCACTGGCTGACTGACCATCCTCGTCTTCACATATGTTCAACTTTGGCCTCAAAATCATACCCTGCCATTTACCAAGGGCAGGTTTCTTTTCACTGAACCTTCGTCTGTTGGCCTTTTCCATAGCTTTCAATTCCTGCCATTGTGTCAGAGTATCATGATACTGCATTTATTGGACTTTGTTCTGATTTTTCCACTGGTCCTCTAGCTGTTTCCATGTGGCAAGTTGTTCTGCTCTCCTTTCTCGATCTGCTTTCCTTGTCTGCATATCAGCTGCAACCTTCTTCTGCTCACACTCAAACTCCACCACTCTCTCATAAAACTCGTCACCTGAAAGTAACCATGGAAAGCTGTCTCCCTCTAGCTTTCTCTTCTCTTTTCCTTTTTGCTTTTTCTCCTCCTGATTTGCAAGTTGACCTCGCAGGACATTGCAATACATCTCATTGAGGACATTTGCTGCCTGAAGTTCCAGCACGTAGAACTTGAGTATGGCATTTGCTGCCTCCACCTCAAAAAGCAATGAAAGCAACGACACTTCATTTGTGGTCATCAGGTGGTATGTGAATGGCTGCATCTGTTTGATCAGGGAGATAATATGTGTGGCACCATGTTGCAGGCAAGTATTGGAAGTCAGTGGAATGTCCGAGACGAGTCCCGACAGGGATGTGTTTTTGAGTATTTGGATAACTGACTTGATTTCAGATTGCATTGCAGGAAGGGGTTGTTGTGGGATAGCTGAGTTGTTGTTGCTATTATTGTGCTGCTCTGATGTCAGTTTTCAAAGGAGATCTGCAACAATTCTCACAGGAGATGATGGTGTGATTGAAAGATGACCTTTATATGATGTTTCTTTGCTAGGTACCATCATTTTCTCAGTGATGACATCTCTGTGACAAACCAAAATCCAGTCATCCAAAAAGCAGTTCAAATAATATCCGGTGTGAGTGCACGAAGATGTGCTCATCCATAGATTGTCAGGAAGTTACTTTTTGTGATTCCCTCCCCTTTTTGTTTGTTCCCTTTTAGCACAGCAAATATAACCACATCTAACCCTAGGTACACATGGGTTGCATGTGCAGGGTAGCATATGACATGAATTTGATGTGCTCAAGCATATTGAAGGAACCCCCATTGGCCTTTTCTTTGGTGTGTTTATCAAACTCTTTTATCCACTCAACACCAATTTCTCCATTCATCCAACCCTTTTTAGAGTCTCCAATGCTGTTGACCATTAGTACGTGATTTGGTGTTACTCACCTCAGACCTCGAAGAAAGAGCCCTTGAGGCTGCAAGCCTCTTCTGGATTGCCTCTATATCCCTCTGCTTCTGCTCCTCCAGATGCTTGTTCTCAGCCTTGAGCCGGACCCATTCAGCTTCTGCACATACGGCCTCCTTCTCCCGGAGGAGCACATATTGCAGTAACATATCTCCATATTATACGAGTGAACGGACATGCATAATATCCTGTATGATATGGGCCAGCGAACCATGAGCCGAAGGTAAAAATATCTCCAACTATGACAGATGGGCCGGGAGGGCTATTATTCCCAATGGAGGTGGGTGGGCCCATGTAGGGAATATGTACAGTAGATGAGTGGGCCGATGGACATGAATATTCTATAGACGGATGGGCCGAGGTAGTTGGATATTATGTAGATGGGTGTACCAATATAATATATTATATTAGACAGGTGGGCCGAGGGTGGTATATGATGTAGATGGGCGGGCCCAGGTGAATGATAATTGTAGACATGACAGAGCTTAGGTAGTTGTATATCATCCAAATCAAAGGAGGTAATAATTCAAAGTCATCTAATGATGAAGGTCACAAGTGCCAGAAAATAGAGCACCCAGCACAGACGGGAACATGTAGTACCAACTACCAAGTAGCTAATACACACAGCTTGTGTTGCCCTATGGGGTCTCGGAACTCGACAAACTAATATTTGATATCCCGCACACTTCCAATCATCTGGTATTTCATTGAGCAATGGATGATAATACATCTTTGAAAGCCAACATCATCCAAGGCTCCCTTATCTGATCCTCTCTATCTCCACCTACCAAATGCCAAGTTCTGACTACTAAAAATTGAGTGAAGGGTACCAAGACCAAGTACCAAGTACCCAGCAAACACCAACCAATGTGTTGAAATTGTCGAATGAGTCCTGCAGCAATGTAAATCATCCTATTCAGCACAATATATGCCTTATGTGTGTCTATGGCACACACGGGCATGTTACAAATCTGAAGCATTGTTCACCAGACCCTGCCCTCCATTTTTTCTTCCATCAACCATATCAACCCTCCCCTGCACTCACATTTCCAGGTCTTTACTCCAAGCTGCCCACATTGACATGGCTCGCACAAAGGTAAACACAAGGGATCAGCCTCAGTTGAATGACCGAGAGACCACCACTCTGCGGTCTCATGTTGAGGAATGGGAGAAGGCCAGTGATTGATTTCCAAGGCAGCCACCAGAGAGGCCAAACTTTTGGCTCCAACTATGGACAAGGAGCTCTTGAAGCAAAGGAAAGAGGTGAGCATTTCGGCTTCGGTCTCCGTAATCCTCTTTTACACTGGTCATGGACAGAAATACAAGCAGTGGCTCTACAATCACAAGGCACAAAAGGCCAATGCCAAACCACCGATGAAGCTCCAGAAGAAATGGATGGTGCACCAAGTCATAGAAGAGCAGAGGAAGGCCGACATCCTTCAGCAGATAAGGGATGAAATTGAGGATGCAGTACTGGGTGCGTACATTCTTACTGTTATATCCTGTGTCCTTCTCATGGACTCCCATGATGCAGACGAGGCTCTAAACGAAGATGAGTCGCAGGGTTGTGTCCCAAACCCCAAGGGTAAAAACCAATACCAGCACTGTCATGAGTAGTGTCACATCAATCTACTAACATTATGCTGATTTGTGTATCGTGATAGCTCGAAAGAATGATCCACTCATCCGGCAAATCCTTACCCAGTATCACCGCGATAATATCACGAATAGGACAAAAATCAGTCATCTTCTCCGGGGGACATTTACTGACAAGGTAATTCTATCATTATAATGTATTTAGACAAACTAATTTTGAGCAAGGAAATATGTAATGGACGAAATGAGGCAATGCATGTTGTATAGGTGGCACATGTTATATAAGTTTATGCAGTTGCTAGACATTGTACAGGCTTGTAAAGGATGCAAAAACTGTGCTGATTGTCACAAATTACAACATGCTGCACGAGAGTATGCTAAATTATAAGATGATGTTGACATCCTCCATATCGCTGCCTCCCGTATTGCCCTTGTCAAAATCAAGATCACCCGCCCCAATCATAGCCCACTGCTCCAACATCTCCTTGAGCTCCACACGACAGTCAGGATTTTCTAGAAGTGCGTCTACAGACCTCTACAACAAGTTGAAGTCAGCCCTACATTCATCTGCAGAGAGGTCTGGGACTTTCTTAGTGCTGGTCTCGTGAAACCCAGTGAGGATGCCCTTCGTCTGTTGATTCGTCAATGACTAAATAACTCAAATAAAATAAATAACAGGGCACACAACGGCACCCACAAGAAGCAGCCCATTGATAGGTATTGCACATCAAAATTTATCTGTGTTCTTGAGGGCTTTCTTGCTATTACTGTAGTAGAATTTGAGGCAGCCATCCCTGAGAGCTTGCAAGACAAAATTCTTCCATTTGCCCTACAAAAATAATAGTGAGTGGCTGCCTTGGGGGGCATAAACAAGTAACCATACATTAGATGAATCAGGAATACGAAGATAATCACTGGTCTTGAGTAACTTGGTGGCTTTCGCAATGACACATTTCTGTACCTCATCCTTGCGCGCCATGGTGCCCTTCGGGACAATATCATATGATGCTTTCGCAACAGATATAACAACTTTCTTCAGCTCTGTGTGAAACATAAATAGATCATCACAGAGCTGACAGTAAAGATATAAGTTAATTGTACATCCATTAATGAGACACTTACCAGCTGTGACATTTGTGTTGTGCACTGTGGGAATTAGCCTAAGAAGCAAGATGAGATTCACAAGGGGGGTCAGGCAATGTGAGAAACCTATTTACCATTGTCCAATTTGATCTTTTTCGTGGTACGTCCACAATTCAGCATCAAGAACTTCTTGTGCAAGTTGTAGCGCATCTCGATGATCTGGAATGGGATGCATTAGAACATCCTGTAGATGCATTTCTAACTTCGCTGCCTGCAAAAATGCTTGCCAGGCAGGTGGGTACAAGCCGAGTTTTGTGGGGTCCTCTAGGACTGTCTTGGCCTTGCACTTATTTCTGGCTGAATCTGGCTCATCACGTGTAGCACAACTGGAGGAAGTGCTTTGCCTAGATGGAGAACACCAATGAGGAGACTACATGCGGGGGGACACTGAGATATGTGTGTATGAGGTGACGCCAAACACCGATATGGAGACCTTGAGCATGTAGAAGGGCGCATAGATGGGACAAGCTGAGATGTGAGTCTACATGACACCGAATGTTGGTCTGGATACTGTGAGTGAGTAGAAGTAATGTGAGGTGAGCACTCACATTTAGGAGGTTGCACTAGAGTAAAAGACCCAGTAGACACCATACATCGAGGTGACAGTCAACAAGGGGACTTCGACTGGCTAGAAGCACGTCTGCATTCAGTATGTTTCGCCCTCAATAGATAAGTTAAGCAAGGAGCCTTGCACCGTCCATTCTTCATTTGATGACGCTCGAGAACATCAAAAGCTTCCTGAAGAGCGTGTGATAAGATTAACCTCAAGACAGACATTAAAACACTTTCCTCTGTTTCATCTCTGGCTGCGTTGTCGAGCTCATTATTAAAATCATCATGAATATCACTGTCCTGAGTGTCAGGCTCATCGTCAAAATCCCCATCAATATCTTGATTGAAATCCCTAAGCATCAGGCTAATTGTTGACATCCCATCATACATTGATTCAGACAATCTTCCTGAGCTTCACCTCTGTTCTCGCCGTCTGAGTCGTCTTTGTGTTGTCCGAAGTCCGTGGTATTGCCAATTTCAAGTGTTTGCTCCTGGTCCCGAACTCTGTCCCTGCATCGGGCACATGTGACAACAGACAGATGAGATCACTATGGATTAAAACATATGCATCAGGATTATCTCAAAACATCTCTGAGCACCATTCTATGTATCTATCAGTTGTGAAGCATGGTAAAGTGCATAATAAAGCTGCTTTTTGAAGCACCTGTTCAAGAAAAATGATGAGGAATAATGTGCGGAAGGCTCCTTTGTCAACTGCACGTCCGCTGCAGCTCCCAGCTTAGGTATTATACTGATAAAGGTACACATTTGCTTGAGGGGAACTATGTTACCTACTGGAGTACCATCCCCATGCTTAGCACACTTCAATACATGTTTCAATACATGCATCCCAGTGGCAAGGATGGACTGCGCCAACCTTCAGGCTATAGATATTGATCTCACCAAGTGATATGAGAACCTCGTTGGGCCATTGGGTGGATGATAAGCTGCACTTCACAGATGGTGTGCCCTTCCAAGGAGTCACACTTCAGCCAGATTGATAAGAATAAAAAAGGACTCACCCCTTAACCCTGACTGGGGCCACTCATACTCTCTATTGACATTGATAAGGATGGTGTCTTGTTGGCCTTTCGGCCACCTGGGACATGGTGGAGAGGCATGCAAGGTTTGTACTAGTAAGATGACACACGGATCATGGAAGGAAACTTCCTGCAAGCGAACTGTGTGCCAAACTTGAACACAATCAAAAGGCAGAGTAGAAGGACAGTCAATTAACAATCATCTTGAGATTCCAACCCCATGGATCACATCTCTGTTCCTCGTGTCAAGTCACAAGAAGTTTGAAATAGCAACACAATGATCCGGTATGTTGAACTCATCTGCAACATCGTCAATTTTCATTCCAGTGCGATTTGGGCTATAATTTAGATGAATAGTGGTAAATTTTCGAGGAGGATGAGGTACAGTAGCCACCTCCTTAGCTTTGATGAAGTAGTTAGTAGTGACACGTGTGCAATTAAGCCCCTCCAGGAGTGCAGTTTGTTGATCAGTAGACAGTTTTTCAAGCTCAGCAATGTCTTCATTGTCTCCCTCATCCATGGGTAATTCTTTGGGGTCTGGATCAAGGACACCACTCTTCAATGTCATAGCAATCACAAATTGCCACAGGTTGTCCTGTCAATCTGAATGATGGCAAATCTGAGGGTCATAATTGTTGTTGTTGGTTTGTTGTATCCACAGACCACTGGATGAGGGCTCCAACTTTATGTGTGCTGACGGTGATGCTCTGCATTAGCTCTAGCTTAGGTATATACCAATTGTCAATTGCCTTCTTTGTACTAGTCCGTGCGCCCAACATCATGATGACATCTTTCTTTAGATGAAAGGTCAAAAGAGATTGGTCAATAGATGCCAATAAATTGACATCTGGAGAAGGGTATTGCACCAGGTAGTGGACATCCATAAGGGCACAAATCAATGAGGGGCTGCACCAACGAGGAGACCGACAATGTAACACTGTAGATCATGGTGGACTCTGCCCATGACTTGCCTGAGCTTTGCCTCTGGGCACTTGACTCTGTAGGCCCTATGTAAGATAGTGCATGTTATAGGGCTCAGACACACATACCTGGAACTCCTAAGCAAAATCACATGTCAGCCACTCCAAATAAACACGGGTAAGCCATGCTGTGGTCATGTACACGCGACGAGGGACAAAATCAAGCTTGTTATGGAAAAGGGTGTTGCTGAAAAGGGCTTCTAGGGCTTCTAAGCATTCAACCGGATCCCTCCAAAAAAGTCAGATTGGATTTTTGGTGCAATGGAGAGATGGGATAATTTGACACTTCCAGCTTGGCCCCTTGGGTAGCATCTCAGCTCGGCTTCACAATTATTTAGTGGTACTGAATGAAAGCTTCAATCCACGGATCTGTAAAGTAAGGACATGATCAGTAAAAGTGCAAGAAGGATGTTAAGAAATACGAGAAGGATAAGAGACTTGAGAATTGAGGACGGGAAATGGAAACTCTAGGTCCAGTCTATGATAGACTTGTCTGGGTCCTGTCTGGGTCCTGTCTCGGGGTGTGCCAGTCGCCCGGCTAGATTCGAGCGGAGTTTAATTCCCAATCGGGACATAGTATGACTCAGCTTGGGAGCTCATCACTGTCGCACGCGACAACAGTGTCGGCCTCTCGTTTGTCAATGTCTGCCACGATGACCACACACCGAGGCCATGGATCTCATCAGTCTACTTTCAGGTCTCTGCGATGACCCTGATCTCGCAGGCCTGTCATACATGTCACTAATGCACTTCATTCACTCAGCCAGTATGATCAAAGACGACATCCTCCTTCCTCAGCCTCACACAGTTTCTCCCTCTTCAGCGCCTCATTGTCTACCACTGTCATATACCGTACACTGAGCCCCTGAATCATATCCCATCTCTCCCAACAAACAATGTCCGGACCTCCGAAATGTAGCCAAGCTATACCTTTCCCCTCGGCAGGATAACTCCGCATCCCAGTCTCCACCGGACATACCCCTCAGCAGGATCTGCCCTGTTTCCCATATACATCGGACGTCCTATTCATCGGTCCTCCTCCTGTATACCTCGGATCGTCCTTTTCGTCGGACGTCCTATTCTTCGGACGTCCTATTCTTCGGACGTCCTATTCTTCGGACGTCCTATTCGTCGGATCTCACTCATGTCGTCCACTTGTCCACTTGTCCGCTCGTCCACTTGTCCGCTCCTCCTGTATTCGTCGGACATCCTATACGTCGGACCCGCTCGGGTCCACTTAACCCCTAAAGCATTGGACCCTAAACATCGGACCTACTCAGATCCTGAGCTTCGGACCCAGGTCCACTTAACCCCTAAAACATCGGATCCACTTCACAGTTCATCTCCGTCCCCATTTCCCGTGATCCGCTTGACAGTTCATTTCCGGTCCTGCTCCTATTCTGTTACCCCATTTGTATAGTCCCCTTGTCCTAACCCCTATATGCCCGGATCTGTTTGACAGTTAATATCCGACTTCATTCTCGATCATACCTCCTATGCCCGGATCCATTTGATACTTCATCTCCGTCTCCGTTCTCGATTGTTCCTGTATTATTTTCCTTGCGCCTGTCAGTTTAGCCTTTCCGTATGTTCCTCTTGTTGACCCGGATCTCTGCTGACTCCGTCCCCGTCGCACATGTCCATAGTATATAATACCTTGTAAACTCGTAGTAGTTTCCTCAGTTCGAATATCACCTTAGATTACCCTCATTCCTGTTTCCTCGGACCCGGATCCATTTCCATGGGCCCGGGTCCACTTCCCTGTCCAACCTCTGTGTCCTGGGATTGATTCCTCGGGCTATACTCCGCCTCTACCTTCGGGTAGTCTACCTCTGTCAGTTTCTACTCTGGACATTGTCTAGTGTAGTCTTACCTCTAGCTTCTGTCCTCTCGGACATCCTGTCCTTCTGTCCTTTCGGACATCCTGTCCTCTTGGACTTCCTGTCTTTCCGTCCTTATACCTGTCTGTTCTGTCCCCCACGTCCGCCGGACTAAAGCCCCTATTCTCCGGGTGTACTAAGCCCCTATTGTCCGGCGGACTAATCCTCTTATGTCAGCCGGACTAATCCTCTTATGTCGGCTGGACTAACCCTCCTTACGTCGGCCGACGAACCCCCTTTATGTCGGCCGGACTAATCCTCTTATGTCAGCCGGACTAATCCTCTTATGTCGGCCGGACTAATCCTCTTATGTCAGCCGGACTAACCCTATGATCGGCCGGACTAACCCTCCTTACGTCGGCCGACGAACCCTCCTTATGTCGGCCGGACTAACCCCCTGAACATTGGCCCAACTCTTCCTCGAAAAGCCTACCAGACTTGTCCCCTTGAAATCCACCGGGATTCATCATCCTCCCTCGGACTTTGTTTCTAGCCTTCGGAAATTAAGGGCACGTACTCGGGTAAGGGGCGCAGCGCACGAGCTGAAGCCAAGCCCTTCGGATCCGCCCTTTGAGCACGGTCTTAACAACCACCGAGCATTGCCGAATTTCTAGGGGAATCTTTTGATCTTTCTCAACATGCAGTTTATGTACTCTGGCTTGCAGTCAAAGATATTGTTTGGACACTTCCAGGCAAGAGCGAAGAACAAGAGGTGATGGAGACAATTTTTCGACACCACGGCCAGCCTCATGGCATCACTGCCCATGTCCTTTATCCACTGATGAAGCTGTGCCTCAACCCAGAGTGTCTTGCACACCAGTGACAAACACTGCTCAAGAAGGAAGAGGCTCGCCGTATCTTGATTTTCACTCAATCCAATGGTGTCCATTGTATGTGGGCTGTCCACCTAAGGTGCAAATGTACGTTGCAATTCTTTCTTCGAGTGTGCACAGTGGCTGATTTTGTCGCTATCAGTGTGTAATACAAACTATCACCACAACTATGCCATCCATCAAGGATCCAGGACCTATTACACTGCTATACCACAATATATCCAGGTTGCAGAACATCAGTTCATTGAGCTGGTACTTGTGATGCATTGGATGGATTTGATGTGCATGCAGTATGTTTCTTCTTTTCTCAGTTTCATCTCTTACAATTGTCGCACAAACAGTGTTTCAGCCACGAACTGTGCACGATTGTACAACGAAGCCCAGGCTCGACGCAACACCCTCAGCCAGGACTGGCAGTTCAAGATGTCCGTCACAACAGAAGAAGTCTGGGACATGTTTATAATTCTTGCTCTCTTGGATGACCATCAGCACCAGGGCACCAGACTCTCTGTCCCCCACGGCAATAACCAGAGTGACCACTTCACAGCCGCAATGCAGGCCCACAACGAGAAGATCATAACTCATGGCGACGAAGAACTTCCCCATGCGTGCTTTGGGTGCACATGGTTGTTCACAATGCCCGATGGCACCACTCATTACACGGAGGTGGTTGTCACCGATGGCATCACCGTTGGACACCCATCCTGTGCTGTACCTCATTGCAAAAACGCTCTCACAAGCACACAGCATTGATCTTGTTCTGCGAATCTCAGTCACAAGTACCTGGAGACAGTCTGTGCAGTAGACGGATGCGACAAGCCTGTCGTCTATGACAAGAGTACTGGAAAGCCCCACAAAGCCTGCAACGATCCACTCCACTTGAGGATGGAGGATGCCAGATCACGGAGCGGCAAGAGCAAGACGCAAAGGATGAAGAGTGTGAAGCTGAACGATGCGCTCACTGCCTCCTCCGTTGATGATGCATTGCCTGTACAGGATGTTGATGAGTGGTTCGAGCATGACCCATTAACTGGCAATGTGCACCTCAACAGGCTGCAGTGACATCATCCACCAGAATTGTGGACCCTTCACTACTAGAAGCTTGCCCCACCAAAGACGAAGTTCCAAAGCTCAAGGCAGTATTCTTCCGTAAGTGGACCAACAACGAGCAACTTTTCATATGCCCTTGTGGTGTTATCTCTGGTCGCGGTACCATGTACCATCATGAAGCCATCTCCAATGTCTTGGTACACTGAATGGCTTACCCCCTGTATGCGCTAACTTCTGTTGACAGATATTGTTCGAGAAGATGTTCTCACTTCCACGGGCTCGTAAACCTCACCACCTCATTCATGATTCCAATTGCAATGCTCTACGTGAAGTTGAGAGTAGGCAGTTGAAGTTCTTTGACGGGATGGGAATGTGTGTTGACGCCTTTCACCACAAAACGAAACACAAGGCCAGTGATAGGTTCTGCCAGGAGCGCTGTGACATGAAGACCTATCCTGAGCTCCTCGATGAACACGGCAAGTATTACTTCAATTCCTCCATCACAGAGCAAACAAATGTCTGGTTTGGCGGGTTCCATAACATGTGTCATGAGATGATGCCAGTAAAATATGATTTTTTCCTCGATGAAGTGATCCTTCGTCGCAATCATGCCACTGTTATTAACTTACATCGCCAGGATAAACAGCCTCATCACCCTCGTCTTTCCACATAGCACTTATCTCTGTGTCAATACCACCATGTGCAATACAATAAAACATCCCATTACTCCCTACAAGCGCCTCTGTGGCTTCTCTCGTCTATTCGTTTGATTGGTATGCTGCACGGTATCAGGGCATGGCAACCAGCCATCTGTGGCTTCTCTCATCTATTTGTTTGATCGGTATGGATACAAATCTACTTAGAGAGTAATGACGGCAACAACAAAGTCAAGATATGACAAAGACAATATGTAAAGGAGGGTAGAGATGAGTAACGAGCGACAGGACAATATGGATCACTTTGACTTCACAGCCTTCTTCCTCTTCTTACTGGTTTGGCCAAGCGCATCCTGGCGTGCAGCCAAGTAGCATGTTCAAAAGGCCATCGAGAGTGCGTCCAGTGCGCTCATGAGCAAGAAGCAGTGATGTTTTCTTTGTGTTGGCCCAAGCTGAGCGATTCACATGATAAGTTGCGTGAACAAACGGGACACCGAAAATGAGACCAAACAGTATCTCTTGGCTATAGTGCTGGCGGAGGAGTAGTGAGTCCATCTGCCGAAAACCAGTGGCCATATCCATCATATACATGCTGCGTGGCCAGACATGTTTGCCCTTATGTGGTGGAACAAAAACCGGTATGACAGACAGTGGTTTAAATTCACCAGGGTCAACAGAAGATGTGGATGATGTCAAATGAGTTGATAGCAGAGAGTCTGATGATGTGATAGAGTCCACAGGAGATGGGGACGGTGGAGGTGTTGGGGACATTGATGTTGCTCGTAAACTATCAAAGTCCAAGTACAAGTGTGGACGTGCTGAGGGTGGTTGGACAGTTTGAGATTGCACTGGTGGGCTGTTCTCTGGGCTGCTAAACCAGCGGGGCCGCTTGCCTAGAGCCTTTGTTGATGGTCTTGGTGTCACCTGTGTGTCATCAACGATTTCCACCTCTGAGGACTCAACATCCTCTGGTGCTGACTGAGGTGATGACCGCTTGGTTGCATTGATTGCCATACAAAGTCTATTGTGATTCAGCTTCATGTTGGTGCGGAGATGTACAGGACACATGGACTCCTTGGAGGTGTTGTAAAGCTCATTGAAGTCGTGACAATCAGTTGTGCCGTAGCGATGGATGAAGACGTGGCACTCAGATTTGAGTGTCAAGGGATGTGAGAGGGGTTCCAGATCATCAGCCAGCTGATAAAAGGGAAAGTATGGGCAGTCAGACACCCATTGGCGTTTGACAGGAGTATTATCCTGAAATTATGAAATTTTCAATCTCTAGCGGCGAGGGCATGATGCAATGGGACTCACATCATCAAACCAGTTCAAGACTAAGTGTTGTCTGGACTTGCGCTCAATTTCTTTCTGTCGCTCAGCGACTCGTGTGCTCTCTGACCCTAAATGTGCACATTGCCGGAGGTCCTGTTCCCACAGCGGATCCAGCTGGCTGGTAATACGAGGAGGTTTGGGCATTCTTGAAACAGGAGTTGCATTTGTGAGAGCAGTTGATGGTATGCGTGCTGAGGTACTTGCAAGGGGGGGCATGGTAGGAGCAGGGGCTGTTAGGAGGTCATGGATAGATGAAACATGTGCAGGAAGGGGTGGTGGTGCCTCAAGGCCATCTGCGACAAGAGATTGTGACAATGCCTGGTGGAGATGATAGTACCCGAATCCTTCAGCGTCGAGAGCGTCAGGACCAACCCCTTCATTGAACATGGGTGCGGGGTGGATTGGGCACCCCCCATTCTCAGTGCAGTGATTCGCACATTTGCCCTCAGGACATTGCAGTGCACTTGGTCGTCGACACAAATCGCGTACACAATCAGGACCACGCTTTCAGGGCCTCTTGCCCTGTGAAAGAGTAGCCACCATAGAAGGTATGGCAGGTGCTGCAGAAAGCTGAGGACTTGAAGATGAACGAGGTATGCGGGCAAGGATTTCTGGGTAGTTAAACAGTTCTGGTAACCATTTGAAGAAACCACAAAGCCCATGCTGGTGCTGACAAGGTCAACATCATATCCGCAACAATGATTGGCTTGCCAGCATTGCCATTCCTATCAGTTTGACATATTGTCACAGGTACTGCTATTCCACAAGTCGGGCAGTCCACAACAAGCCCGATGGACGTCATTCTCAGGACCGTAGGAATATGGGGCAGTTCAAGTCAGGGTGCTGGAAGTGAAGCCATGATTGCCAGGAGGGTGGTGGCAGTGAGGACACGGTAGGCAGATTGGCAGCGGGCAAGAAGGTGGAGGGCGGGGGCGGGCGTTGTTGACGATGATGAGGAAGAGGGGTAAGTACTAAGCTCAGTCATGCTACGTCCCAATTCAGATTTAAACTCCACTTGAATCTAGCTGGGCGGCTGGCACACCCCCAGACAGGACCCAGACAGGACCCAAACAAGTCTATCATAGACTGGACCTAGAGTTTCCATAAGCCCTACTTTTACTGAGAATTGTGAGAAGCAGAAAATGCTCAAAAGTTGTGAGTCCATAAGATCTCAAAGTGCCAGCATTCGTGAAGAGCACTCACTATTGGGAGCGCTAGAAATTCATTAGTTGCAGCCATACTAAGGGGAAAACAGCGAAGAAAATCAGTGATTTCCCATTCCTCTTTTGATGCAAAAGGATAAATTAATTATCCTTTCTGTATTCTGCATACTCATCCACGTCAAAAAGATCCAAGAATGTCAGGCCATTTTGAGGATAACAAGTCCCTGCATCTTCATACTGTTCCTCCGCACTCATGATTCCTCTCCCTCTGTCTTGAAGAAGTCGACATTATGCGTCCAAATTGATACTGTGGTAAAGAGTTGGATCGGGCGACTGCCGTAATTGTAGAACTGACTCTGCAAACTGAGAAATATCCACCATGTCGCAAATAAAACTATGACACAATAATTGAGGCTGACTGAGGTGACGAGTGATGCTGGACTCCTTGCTGAATGCTTTCCCGCATTTCAGACATGATATTGACATCGTTGTTTGGAAGCAAAGATTTGTTCACATACTTCAAGTGCTCATACAAGCTTAGTGCTTAAGAGCCTGGACAGCTGCATTTATTTTCCAGTTTATTGACTCGGTTTGTTTCTGTATGTGGTGTGGCAAATTGTAATAGCATGTGACTTCCACCTGACCTTCCCAATAAGTAAGCCTTACTATGCTGAGTGATTACGTGTATGTAGAGTTTAAAAGTCCAGTTGGAAGACCGAAAAAAGACCGCAACCGGACCGAAAAAGACTGGACCTCGGTTGCCAGTTGCCTCAGGTCCAGAAAAGTCCGGTTGCAGTTGCCTAACTTTTGCGAAAAATGAAAGACCGGTCCAAGACCAGTCTCAACCGGTCCATTGTGGGACCGGTTGCCTATATACGGGTAGTGCTCATTTAGGCGATTCTATCGGTGGTCTGATCTTCAAAATTGGTTGAGATTTGGGAAAGTTACAAGCATTTTAAGAATGGCTCGTATAAATCTGTGGGGCGTATTTTTAGGCTTGTTGGCACTGAACCAGGGATTGATTTCCAAGCTTAAAAACCTTTACCAGTGTGTTCGTAGACCTCAAAAATGGTATGGAACATCAAATTTAGATAACTCTTGATGATTTATCATGCTCCAAGACTAGCACAAAGATCAGACATGTTAGAACAGCGAGTCAAAATCAGTCAAAATCACTGATTGGCTCATAACTTACCCAAACCTTGAGTGTTTGACAAGATACAAGTAGCTATAGTATCACCTTGACTAGCAGCACATATTTCATCAAGACACCTAACCCTTATAACAACTTTTATTTTTCAAAGACAAGCCTGATAACAATTTTTTGTCAAGCTTATATCTTGCTTATATCTTACCCTATTGACAAGATAAGACTAGCTATAGTATCGCCTTGACTAGCAGCACATATTTCATCAAGAAACTTAAGCATAGTAATGACATTTCATATTTGACTCACATGCAGGGCGGAGTTTAGGAACCCTTTTTTATAATGCTCATATCTTGCTCAGATCTTAACCGTTTACTACAAAAATTAGACCGTTGGAATCGTGGGAAGGGGTACTACACTCCCACAGGACCGGTTGTGGTGGCAACCGGTCTAAAACTGGTTGCAGGACTGCAAAAGACCAACAACATCGGTCTTTACGGGTCCAGTCCAGGTTCGCTGATATTGTGGGAATAAAAAGACCGGTCCTGGTCTGGTTGCCTCCAAATAAGGCAAAAGACCGGACTCAACCGGACTTTTAAACTCTACGTGTATGGCCCAGTATTATTAGGCTTAGTTATCATAATCCTCAACACCAGTGTTAAATCATGTTCTAAATCCTCTTATACCTTTAGGTGTTCTACAGCGGGAGGCTCGGCAACACCCTTTAATGGTTTGGCACTCTATCCCGCCTGAAATTGCTCTCCCATGCCCACTGTGCTTTTGGCAAAGGTACACATTCCCCCCTGGCGGGATTCTCATGCCTCTTGGTCTTGCTCATTGTCATTGCCAACACTGTCTCGTCCTCCTCAGCCCCTGCGGCACTATCTGAGGCCCTTATCCCAGTCTTACCAACTTGTTGACGCCATCATAAACCTTTGGGGTGCCCTCCTGAGCCTCTACACACCATCCTTGGCCTCTAGAGTCACTACCCTCCTGCTGCGGCCCACCTGCCCACCTGCCCACCTTCATCTTGCCCTCCTGCCCTCCTGACCTCACCATCTAAGCCATCTAGATGCCCTCAAACATCTAGATATTTTCCTTAGCCTCTAGGGTTGCTGCCCTCCTGCCGCAGCCCTCCTGCCATCCTGCCATCCTGCCATCCTGCCCTCCTGCCCTCCTCAGCCTCTGTGGCATATCTCCTGCCATCCCCTACCTCCAAGCCATTATACTGGCTGACCGCCGAGGATGCTCATGTACTTAGTCCATTTTTGTGGTGGCTAGGCTAGTACCACCATTATTGTATCATGTGCGTATGTTTCGTTTTCATGGTGGCCTCCTACACATATTGACGCCCTCCTCAGTCTCTAACATCGCTGCCGTGCTACCCTCCACATGCCTAGTAGAACATACTACTCTTTTGTGTTTGGTTCATTTTCACAGTGGCTATCATCCTTGTATAACACTACTACTACAATCAATGTATCGTTTGACAATGCTTTTGAATCCAACTACATTCCTCATTCCCTTGATTTGATTGGTCAACAGAAAGGACTTCGTGTATATTTGACAGGCAAGGTAACTACTAGTAAGGTCTAACAGTTCATAAAGTCTAGCACAGATCCATAATCTTGATCTAGATTAGCCAAAGCTTTGTTGAAGTTGAATTCAGATGACCCCAAGCTCATGGATGGACTAGCACCAATGCTACCTGCAGGCAAGATGCTCGACATGCTAACTGCGTTGTTGTTGATGAATTGACCAAGACCGCCGGCTGTTGACGTGAGCTCAGGCGAAAGCGAATTTGGGATAGCGGGAGAGGTGGATGGTGGATTTGGGATAGTGGAAGGAGTGGATGATGTGAGCTCGAGGGTTGTTGTATGGCCAGAAGGGGTAGTATTAACAGGAGGTGTATCCTCGCAGGGGGAATCCAACTCGTCATTGCTTACGACAGTGGCATTGCTCTTATATGCCTTCCTGCAATGACCAGAATTGTTGGAAGCCCCGCATTTCTTCCCTTTGTCTGAGCGGGTCCGGCGGCATTTATCGACAATGTCACCGCTGTTGACCTTCTTCTTCCAGGTGCCTCCAACAGATTTCACCAGCTTCCAAATCAGGTAGGGCGCTGGATACATTGCTCAGGTTTATGAAAGGTATATTGTCGGGCCAACCTTCAATGACAACAAGGTAGCGCTGGACGACACTCCACCAGTAGTTCGCCCAATGCATCCGCACCGACGGATCCTGTGTGATCACCTCTACAAAATTTGTTGTAGTTAGTAATATAAAATAACATACAAAGAACTCACAGAGTGTCCTGTTGATCTCACGGTGGATTGCGCTCCGAACATCTGAGGTGAGCTTTTTATGGTTTCTTGCAGCGCCTGATAGATGCAGTCAGTGGAGAGCAAGCTTTTGATATCAAAATGATCCCTAGCTTTCATACCCTGAATGGCAAACCCCTCCATCTTACTCATGAGATCCTGGTTGTTGATATTCATCATGGAGCCCATGAACTCATCAACACCTTCAGTTGCAAAGGCAACACCACAGAGTGGGAGATCTGTAGAGCCATGTGTCACGTAGATGATGATCTCGGCACCTGTCGATGTCCACAAGTTGTTGAGCTGATAGCTGTGTCGATAAGTAGTAGCAAAAAAAAGCAATAATGACTTGCCTCATTCTCGACAGCCTTGAGTGTCTGTGTCATGTCATTGACCTTCAATTTTATTGAGATGCAGATGCCGGTTGTCTTCGTTTCCTTGTGCTCACTGTACTCCTGCAAAAGCTGCACCTTCTTGTCTTTTGCAAGGTTGCGATATTCAGCGCGGTTCTCATCACTGACGAGCTCTTGCAACACAGTCTTGCCCATGGCCCCTTGACAAGTCATCAGTTTGTGCATGCTAAGGACAGAAAGACACTTACCATTCTCCTTGTCTTCATGGCGCTTCTTCCAGCAGAAGGTGTTCCATGCATTTAAGTTCGAACATTGGTAGCATAAAATCCCGCGGCCCATGCACAGGTCATTCTGGTCACGGCGGAAACTCTTATGATGCGAGGACACAATAGTCTTCACTGTCTTGTCGAGCTCATTCCAAGCACTGTCAAGAGCCATCTTAAATTGACAGGATTTATCGCGACATTGGGCAGTAAGTGCAGCATGCGCTTCCTTGCTGAGGGTCACCTTTGGATGATGAGGAGGTTGCACTTGAACACGCCTGCAACTGTTTGTCACCATGAAGGTGTGCAAAACCATCAGAGTGGTAAAATTCATCCTGTTGGTGAACAGCTTTTATAAGTCAACAGCAAATACAAATTTACACTGCTAAAACGACCAATGGAATGCAACACATCAGGTGATCTATGAAAAGAACAGGTAAAACAAATAAATTGTGCACAAGAAACTTAGGCCGCCAACTACTCTGAAGAAGTACAAAACCAACATGAGAGGTGGCTGTGAATGACGATAGAATCAGCGATGCTGGCCAGCGAAAACCAAGGTCGTGTTGCACTGGGCACGTTGTTCGTGATGGCAGGTGACAATCGAGATGGTGGTCCACCACGGAGTCATGAGGGTGTGGATTTGACTTTTGAGGGGGAGAATACTCTTGAGTCCATGGTGGATGTTGGATTGTACCAAGGAGTACTGAAAGCGATTGGTGGTGCAGTCCGATTAAGTAGTATGGCGCTTGATACCAGTGAATATTCAATGCAAGCCTGGCACATTTTGAACAACTGTGTGAGGATTGGGGTTCAATAGACAACAATAATGAAAATTGTTAAGCACCTTCAGTGTGTGTGATCAAGTAGTGCTTACTAGTATGAGCAGTCGCGGTGAAGTCAATTGGACCAGACTACCCAGAAGTTTAACTTGAGTGACACACCAATCACAACCCAATCTACTTGATCTAACACCTAATTCCACCATCTCTTGCAAGTTGCAACTAGTCTGCACATACCAGCATTTGGAGATGACACTATTACCTCTGGGTGGTCGTTCAGCGACAGTAACAGATCTGCAAGTCGGACACCAATACCACATCTGCCCGAAAATCCAAGCTGCAACTCAATTTGATTCAACCGGTACAGATGGATAGCATTGATGGTGGTGCATGCCTGCCACTGCCTTCTCAGCTCCACAGCAAGCGGAGGATTTGTGGCAAGGAGTTGTTCTATGGTTGTGTTGGTCTTGATTTTCTCAGCGTGTATTGCCATGCGTAGACGACGGACTTCTATATCCAGACACTGTATTTTTTCATGAGCCCGTTGGAGCTTGAAGTATTTCACTGTGGCTTCACGGTGAGCAGGTGCAGTCCAGTCAGCATCTTGAATGTCAGTACGCAAGTGACACAATAAGTCAAATTCACCAAGAAAGCTGTATTTGACAATATCCTTCCATGCTGGTTTTGGCCTAGGTGGGACCAAAGCAGCGGCCTGAGTGTTGTACCAATTGATAGTGTTCCGAATAGTGTCTGAACATCGTTGAAGGGCCTTCGTAATCTGTTGATGTAGCTTGTAACCTAAAACACATGGCGCTGCAATCAATCCTAAAATACATCAATGACAACTGACTTACCTGTTCCTGAAAGCGAGAGCTTGGACATCCCTGATTCGTCAAACACTGAGAACATCCTTTTACATTGTTCTGGACCGGCATTTCGCCACCAGTCGACACAAGTGAATGAGGGTGCTGTTTCCATCTGCTCGACATCTTGCCAGTTGTCAGCACCCTCAGTCGGGTTCTAAGGTTGAGTTCAGAGTCGTATAGAGTAGCAATGAGAAGACTTACAGTATGTGCTTGCACTTCATCCTTGAATTTATCAACCATCGGGCGGTCAAGCCAGTAGTCGGAGCGAAACCTGCATGTTGCAGTTCAGGTAGTGGTGCCACCAGTGGCTGATGACGTCCATCGCTTCAGGCTATTGTTGCCGTCCATAGTGACTAGCCACTCCAGAGCCAGAATTTCTTCATCCTCCAGCTTGTAGAAGCAGCACAGGCAGGAGTTCAGAAGCCGCCAGTTGGGCGTGTTGTGGTTAAGGGCTTTGTTGATTAGGATTTCGACATGATGTAATATTTCGAGATATATGTTGTAGGTGTTTGAAAACTGTGTATTGAGGTATGATTGATATGGTGTCTAGAAGAGTTCAGAATGAGGCAATGATGATGTCATGTGTGAGAGCTTACATTATGGAGGTGGCATAAAGCTTTGCATTGTGCCTGAATGCTAAATCAGGGACATGTTCAGTGAGCCTACCGAAATGCAGTGAGTGTGCGGATGGAGATGGTGACAGTGGGAAATAACAGAGAGCACCCTAGGTACCCATGGTAAACGAGTGTTTCATTCGGATACTGGTGAGATGGACGAGGCTGCAATGACACATGCTTTTGACCTGGACAATGTTAACAATACAGCCGGTCAATGTGCCCTGAACCTTGTTAAAAATGTCGACTAGTTGAATATTTTTGAGAGATACGCAGTAGCCATTGAGAATGGGTTTAATTGAAGGCAGAAAGATTGGCATGCCATCGCCACCATCTTGGCTACGATAGTCGAGATACACGTTGACCAGCCATTCAATCTGAGCACCCCAATGTTCATTTTGAACTTCTATACGGTCGGTATGAGTGCATGAATCCACATAACGGCTATCACCGCCAGCATTACTTTAGTATGAATTAGTAGGAAAACAAAGATATGTGCATACCATCCTGAAAGATCTGCCATCTGCCGAGCCAATACTTCGAAAGCTTCGCGTTCTCCGCCTTCGTGGCTGAAGTCAACTCCTTCCTCACCAGGTGGCACAGTGTAAGGTATATAATCTATGTCAATGTTAGTATCAGCCAACATACTCTCAATGAGATGCCAATCTTCACTGGACATTTCAACAAAAAAAAACAAAAAGTCAGCAGAATGTAAGAATTAAACATGGGCCTTGCACCCTGGACGTGCATTTGGCGCTTCACATTCGTTGTGTGCCTTCGCTGCTCTTGTTTTGCCACTGTGAGTGCACAGAAGTTCGAATAGAACACTGGAATCTGTGTGTGATCGTCACCTTTGAGAGCCCTGCAATTTTCTTGTATGATCCATGCGACATTTGGCTGTGGCAGAAGTATGGTGGCTTGGAGGTAGGGGATGGCAGGAGATATGCCACAGAGGCTGAGGAGGGCAGGAGGGCAGGATGGCAGGATGGCAGGATGGCAGGAGGGCTGCGGCAGGAGGGCAGCAACCCTAGAGGCTAAGGAAAATATCTAGATGTTTGAGGGCATCTAGATGGCTTAGATGGTGAGGTCAGGAGGGCAGGAGGGCAAGATGAAGGTGGGCAGGTGGGCAGGTGGGCCGCAGCAGGAGGGTAGTGACTCTAGAGGCCAAGGATGGTGTGTAGAGGCTCAGGAGGGCACCCCAAAGGTTTATGATGGCGTCAACAAGTTGGTAAGACTGGGATAAGGGCCTCAGATAGTGCCGCAGGGGCTGAGGAGGACGAGACAGTGTTGGCAATGACAATGAGCAAGACCAAGAGGCATGAGAATCCCGCCAGGGGGGAATGTGTACCTTTGCCAAAAGCACAGTGGGCATGGGAGAGCAATTTCAGGCGGGATAGAGTGCCAAACCATTAAAGGGTGTTGCCGAGCCTCCCGCTGTAGAACACCTAAAGGTATAAGAGGATTTAGAACATGATTTAACACTGGTGTTGAGGATTATGATAACTAAGCCTAATAATACTGGGCCATACACGTAATCACTCAGCATAGTAAGGCTTACTTATTGGGAAGGTCAGGTGGTGACTTCATGTGTGACTCCCGTCCAAACCCCTTGCTAAGTCATGGCAAAACAGAAAAGTACATCTGTGAACACTGGCGCCGGCGCCGGCGCAAGCTCAGCTCACTGGACTGATGAAGAGACCACCCGCCTTATTCAATATCTTGCACTTCACCATGCTGAAGGTGGAGATGGTATCAACTTCAAACAGGCAACCTTTGCCGCTGCAGTGGCTCATTTGTTGGAGCCATTGGAATGCATTCCAAAGGAGAATCACGTCGCTGGGAACAAAAGGGACTGGCAATCTTGCAAGAACAAATGGATCATGGTACATGCATTATTATTTTGTAAAAGTTGATTAATTGAAAGTCTGACTACTACAGTGCAAGAAAAAACACGCCGCCGTCACTGATATCAAATCATGATCAGGCTTTTCGTAGGATGAGGAACTCAGCGCAAACATTGGCCAAGCTGATGCTGCGCGGTGGACTGCATTTGCGAATGCATGTCCCGATACGAAGCCCTTTCGCAACTAAAGGCTGGAAACACTTTGACAACATGGATGATCTCTTCCATGCCCAGATCGCACATGGCACCAATGCTTTTCATGCAGGCCAGGCAACCTTTAAATCACAACAAACTCCTGACAATATCAGCAATGAAGGTCTCGGTGTTGCTGTTGAGCATGGGCCTGCAGTACCGGCACCTGTGATAGGAGACTCAGGAGTCGAAGAAGATGAGGAGAGTGGGATGGTTGCAGGAAGAGAGTGGGACAAAGACGAAGAAGATATCATTCCTTGGGAAGCAACTCCTCCCCCCCCACAAAGCGAAAATCCACAGCTGCATCTTTGACTCTGTCTCTCGCTGGGTCTTGTTTGTCTGGACCACTGTCGAAACACCAGCGTGTTAGCGGATCAGCCACTGTGCTCTACGCAATCAATAATCAATTTTCCGAGTTCACCAACATCTTTCGTGTAGCATCACAGTCCAAAAACTCAGCTATTGCCTTATCCCCTCAGTGCAAGCAGGCAGCAATGCAATGTGCTCAACTTCTCGAAACACATCTCGACGATGATAGCATGGCCGTGCTTATTGAAGCTTTTCAGATGGATGTCAGCACTGCTGACACATATATGGTCATGTCCAATGATGGGCCAAGGAAGTCTTTTGTTGACCGCAAGATCAAATTTATCAACAAGCAAAGTCTCTAGATAGTATTGTATTTTTGCGTGCTCATCCTGTCATGTCCTGACAAGCGCGACACACTCTACAATAATCTCTCCACATAGTGTCTGCAATATGATCCCTGTCCTCCATTGCCTTTTGCCTTTCAGCACAGTCTGCTGGTCCTCCAGAAAGATCACCCCTTGACTCACCTGGATCAGGATCAATGAGATCCTCAACATTGAATTCTTCTATTTCCTTTGGATCAAAAATTTGGATGAAGTTATGGATGGCACAAAGTGCTGGGGGAATTTATGCTTGTGTTGACATGCTATACTCTGGCGGATGTACAAGTATCACGACCCGCCTCTTGAGAACACCGAATATCCACTCGATCACATTTTGAGCTTGAGTGTGCCGAAAATTGTATATTTCTTTGCAGTTTTGTGGCCTGCCTTGCATGAGAAGAGAAGATCAAAGTGAAATATTGCTCACCGAACTGCAGCTCAACCCCACTCAGCCAAGTGGTACTGAACACTTCGGTACAGAACGAGAATAGAATTGCAGATTCCAAACCCAGTATCCATGAGGTAGTATCTTCCTCGTGAAATGTATAGGTCAGTGAGACGGGCATAATTGTAAAGAGTTGAGTCTGAGGTTGATCCATCCCAACCACTGAGAAGGTACTGGAACTGAAGATCAAATGAACAGCATGCAAGACAATTTTGGCTAGCGAAACCTTTCTGGTTTCGTGCAAGCTGTCCTTCTTCTACTGACAGACAACATGCAATGTGTGTACCATCCATAGCTCCAAGTGCTCCTTCAAAGTGCAGAAAGAGTTTTGGATTCCCTGATATTTCCGCTGGAATAGGTGCGTCCTCCTGCGGAAGACATACAAATTTATTGTAGAAGGGTGCCAAGGACAAAGCAAGCAGGACTCTCTTGAAATATCTGATGTGGTATGTGAGACAATGTATATCTTGCAATAGTGTGAATGTACTTCTGCGTGGTTGTGTGGGAGTGCTGAAAATGTTCTGCAACATGATGGCTCGAAAGCCCTGTCACACACGTGTAGAGAAATATTGCAACTTGTTCATCAAGCAGAATTTATTTTGAATCACATAGCCCGCAAGTCCAAAGCTCATGTAGAAGTGCATGGAAGACATGTTTTCTCATTCCAAGCTCAGTTTTGATCCGGTCAGGGTGTCCGTTGATGAGTTCTTGCACCCATGCGTGCCCAGTGAGGACTGAGGTATGGTAGGGCTGCTTGTCCAGAAAAGGAGTCATATATGCGATTATAATGCCCATGATAAGTTGAGAAATCATTGTGGCTGCCATCCGCAGCATGTGGAAATGCTGAATACCATGCATTTCAGCCTTGATGTGATGTCATACTAGTACGTGCATGATACATTGAGCTTGTCACGGCTGTTTGTACATATTGTTACAAAAAAAAAACTGTGAAACAAACTGGAAAATAAATGCAGTTGTCCAGGCTCTAAGACTTATCTCTGCTCGTACACTATATTTACATATGATGGATGATTCTGTAACTTCATCTCCAAGCTCTTCTGTAGTCTCATCTTTGTCTCACAATTCTTCTTCAAGAACTCAGTCCTAGTGCTCATATAATACTCACCTCAAGTATCACCTTCAAAAACCTTATGATGCGACATCAGTTGGACACCACATGTCCTGCCAAAGTCTCTCTCCAAACATAACTTTATCTTCTCAAATGGGGTTGTGCATTATTAAAGACGAGCCCAGCTTATCTGGAGGCCTGCAGTTTGTGAGTTCGTGCGTCCAGTGTTCTGTCTTTGATTGTTCTTATTTATTGCACATAAGGACCTTGACTACCCATTAGTCAACCAACCAGATGAAGAAGACCACTCCAATCTTGCACTACCAATCTTGCACTAGAGGCAGCTCAAGCAAAATGTAGGATTTGTCAAGCCCAAAAAGACCTCACAGACAGACAGCATCTTGGAGCACCACATAGTACTTACTAACCTCCATCGCTGTCATGTAGAAGCTGCAAACATGTGAATATTGACAGCTGACCTTGACATGGGACACATGCATATAGAGCAGAAGAGAAATGGTGTTCCAATGTTTATTGGGTGCAGGGCTGGCAGTAGTACAACCGCAGTTCGGCTACGGCCCGCTCCGACTTGGCATTCACCGGTTTTCCAGTGTTTGGGTTATCCTAGTGAGCTAGGCCACCTATGTATAGTTTGGTCTGGTTCATTAGCTGCGCAGATTGCCACGAACCAACTGTAAGCCAAAATTCATGAACGGCAGCTCGAGCTGGCTTGAGGCCAGCTTAAGGTGGCTCAAGCTGATGGAATCACAACTTATTTTTAAGTCTCCTTCCCGGTTGGATTCCCTGTTGAATTTTTGTACTCCTCAAGGCTCAGGTTATCACGTACTACCATGAATCATAAGGTCCCGATACGGGTTGACAGTAGATTCGGACTCAGAGATGTTGTGGGATCTGGTTCATATGGTATGTCGTCCACAAGCTGATTACAACTGCAAAGCTCAACATGAACCCTGGGTCTGCTTAGCTGTTGTATACCACGCACGGAACATCATCAAAGATGACGCAGTTGCGATTAGTGTTTAAAAGTCCGGTTGCAGGACCGAAACAAAGACTGCAACCGGACCAAAACCAGACCGAAAAAGACCGGACCTCAGTTGCCAGTTGCCTCAGATCCAGGAAAGTCCAGTTGCAGTTGCCTAACTTTGCAAAAAATGAAAGACCGGTCCATTGCGGGACCGGTTGCCTATATATGGGTAGTGCTCACTTAGGCGATTCTATCGGTGGTCTGATCTTCAAAATTGGTTGAGATTTGGGAAAGTTACAAGCATTTTAAGAATGGCTCGTATAAATCTGTGGGGCGTGTTTTTAGGCTTGTTGGCACTGAACCAGGGATTGATTTCCAAGCTTAAAAACCTTTACCAGTGTGTTCGTAGACCTCAAAAATGGTATGGAACATCAAATTTAGATAACTCTTGATGATTATCATGCTCCAAGACTAGCACAAAGATCAGACGTGTTAGAACGGCAAGTCAAAATCAGTCAAAATCTCTGATTGGCTCATAATGTACCCAAAACTTGAGTGTTTGACAAGGTATGAGTAGCTATAGACTTGCCTAGACTAGGACTACAATTACCATTGAGACACCTAAGCCTTACAACAACTTTTATTTTTCAAAGACAAGCCTTATAACAATTTTTTGTCAAGCTTATATCTTGCTTATATCTTACCCTATTGACAAGATAAGATTAGCTATAGTATCGCCTTGACTAGCAGCACATATTTCGGCAAGACACTTAAGTATAGTAATGACATTTCATATTTGACTCACATGCAGGGCGGAGTTTAGGAACCCTTTTTTATAATGCTCATATCTTGCTCAGATCTTAACCGTTTACTACAAAAATTAGACCGTTGGAATCGTGGGAAGGGGTACTACACTGCCACGGGACCGGTTGTGGTGGCAACCGGTCTAAAACCGGTTGCAGGACCGCAAAAGACCAAAAACATTGGTCTTTATGGGTCCAGTCCAGGTTCGCTGATATTGTAGGAATAAAAAGACCGGACTTAACCGGACTTTTAAATTCTATGTCTGACCTCTGGTCAGATCAGAAACTCCGCCCATTCATGGCGCTTACCGCCCATTGGATAGCCAAGGAAGAGAAGACATCAGTACTCATATTGAAGGCCGCCTTGATCGCCTTCTACCATGTTCCTGGAAGCCACACTGGCAAATCTCTTGGTTCAATATTACTGCATCTCCTCGATCGCGCCAATGTCGCAAATGATGTCAGTGTTTAGCTGTACTATATGACACACTCTGACTTTGTTTAGCCTGGCCATTTCACCCTGGACAATGCAGGGAACAACAAGACTTCAATGAAGGAGCTCTCTCATTTGCTCGAGGAATGCCAGATTCATTATGATCTGATTGAAAACAGAATTCCCTGCTTTCCGCACGTTATCAACATATGCGTAAAGCATATTGTCGACGACTACGCCACGGCGGACTTTTCTTGCGTGGCAGAGAAATGGGATGTTTGCAGCACACCTATTGACAAGGAATATATTGGCGCTATCACCGGTAAAGCTCTCAAACGGGCGAGAAATGTTGTGCGCTCGATTCGTGCATCAGACCAACAACGTGGGAATTTAAGGGATACCATTGTGAGAGGTAATGAGAAGGCATGGTTTCAACTTTCAAGGAGACAATGGCGAGCCGATAAAGCTCCCTACAGTCGAACTCCTGCTCGATGAACCAACACGCTGGGACTCAGTTTACGCCATGCTTAACTGTCTACGAACTCTACATCAGGTAAGGCCTTATCTCACTTGACATTTGTCATAGACTAATGGTTGCCCAGGCGGTTGATTTGTTCTTTGAGTCCACCAATCAATGCTCCATACGCGAGAAAAAGTTGAGTCCAATGGAATGGCATTTCCTTCAGGACTTCAAAGTAATTCTGGAGGTCCGTATCAATGTTTTTGAAATCTATGTTGCAATTAACTGTGTTATGTCAGTCCCCGCACAGAGCTCAGCAATCTATGTCGAGCGAGAGCACTCCCATGTTGGGTAGTGCGGTTCCAACCTTTGAAAGGTTACTCGAGGATTGGAAGCAGTTGGCTATTGGCGCCCCGCACTGTGCACCACTCATCAACATTGGTTTGACTTGGGCGGAGAAGTATGACGGCCGGATGGCCTGCATGAATGCATACGCAGTTGCGATGTGTCAGTCCCTCGCATTTTCACAAAGGCTAATTTCTGATGATTGTTTTATAGTCGTTGATCCAACCTGCCGAACGTCATGGGCTACAGATCACTGGGACAATGATCGAGTTGATTCGGCGAGAGTGTTCATTCTGAATCTAGTACATTTATTTAACTAACAACGGCATGCGCTGATATGTCCTGCAGATGCATGCCAAGTGAGCGCAGAAGCTCCCTGACGTACCAGTTCCAACCCACCCAGTCTCAAGGCTACAAGCACGCACACTAGGCTCATGTATCTATGGAATTCCTGAGAGGGATGTACCGTTGCATAGCCACAATATTTTCCAGATGGTTGAACAGGAGTTTGGGGCTTATACCACAGCTAACCTTAGTCCTGAGAGAACGAACATACTCTCTTTCTGGCAGGTGAGCATCTTGTTTTCCATTAAGTCACATCTTTCGTTGTTGTTAAGACCATGTTCAATGGGTTGGACCGGAGGGGCTTGGCTTCAGCTCGTGCACTGCGCTCTTTACCCGAGTATGTGCCCCTAATTTACAGGGGGGTAGATATCGTCGGCCGAGGGGTATGGATGGGCCGGATGAAAGAGGGAAGACTACCCAAGATTTCGTTTGGGTAGAAACTAACAAGGTACTGACTACCCGAAGGTAGAGGTGGAGGGATTTAGCCTTAGGGATATAATCCCGAGGCTCGGAGGATCGGACTAGGACAATAATTCTAAGAGCCGAGAGGACACGAGGATTGAACAGAGTCTAAGTTAATATTCAAACTAAGGAACTACTACGGGTTACAAAGGGTTTATATACTATAAGGTATCCGTCGGACGTCCGGCTGAAGTGCAGTACTCAGAACATAAAGCTATGTAGAAAGCATACTAGTGAATAAAACATAACTGCAGACGATTGAGAGTGGGGCCGGATATGAAATAGAACAAAGGGAATGAGTTAAATGAAAGGGAAATGAATAGACTAACGGACAGATCAGAATGGACCCGGATATTAACTGTCAGAAGGATCCGGACACATAGGGGCAGAAATAAGCATATACAAATGGGGACTCAGGGAAATGAATTCTAGAACGGACCCGAGGAATCGGATGAACCAGACCGGACAAGAAGCCTCATGTATGGGATATGACAGTCGTTGACTACAACATTTTGACTAGATGTCCGAGGCAATGTTCCCGACAGTCTACACCATCGCTATGGACTACCTCCCCATCCAGGCATCCGCTGTCCCCTGTGAGCGGGTGTTCTCGTCAAGCAGTGAAATGTACACCAAGAAACGCAATCACATCAGCCCAGTCCTCATGGAGGCGCTACAGATGGTAAAGTTCTCCGTCAAAAAGGAGCAACTTAACTTTACCAAGGGTTGGGCAGCATCACAATGGGACATGGAAGGTGCGATGGTATCCGACAATGATTCTGATGAGCTTCTGGCACCCGTATCTAGCGAAACTACAAGTGACGGTTGTGCGTATGATGCGGTCCTCAAAGCCATTGCAGAGCATGAGTGCGATGACATTGACGATGAGGTCACCATTTATGATACTTGACATTTCCTCAATTTTGATATATCTTTTGCCGCACATTTCTTACTCCTTGCTTACCATCATGCACTTTATCATTCTTCATGTTTGTATATTCGAATTCATTTGTTGCCTCAAACCGCATCTGACAGTCTCCTGGTCAGATAATTGCATCCTCAGGATCTATTGAGCTGGAGTCATGCTGAGAGAGCGCCATCTCCCACAGGTTCACTTGTTTTCCTCCGCTCTCTGTCGCAATTTCCCCAGCGCTCCCCACCATCGACGGCATTTTGCCACACGCGAAACAATGTTTTCAGACATTGGAGAACCTGCGTGCCTCTCACCATTTACGAATCCCGCACCACAAACACTTTTGGTGCATCAAATCGCCGTTGATCCCTGAAGAAACTCACCGCCGAACCCATTAACTTTAGGTTCAACCGTCCAGGCCGATTGTAAGTACTGTGTCCTGGTAGTTTCCCTGAAGAAACTCACCACCAAACCTATCAACTTTAGGTTCAACCATCCAGTGTTGATTGTAAGTACTGTTTCCTGGTAGTTTCCCTGAAGAAACTCACCGCCGAACCTATTAACTCCAGGTTCGACCGTCCAGCGCTGATTGTAAGTGTTGTGTCCTGGTAGTTTCCCTGAAGAAACTCACCACCGAACCCATTAACTTTAGGGTATAGGGTCCTTTCCCTGAAGAAAGTCGCCGCGGGTCCAATAAATGGGGTTTTTTTTTTTCAATTATCTGTTGTGACAGCTCACATTCCTTCTCAATATACAGTATACAACGTGATCTCGACATACAGTGTACAATGTGACCTTGATTCTCAACGATCCCCAACGACTTTCACTTCCAACCCAACCTGCATCACTCAATCCTCCTACCCCCAACCCAATCTCCTCAAAATTGTGCGCCACTCCACTCAATCCTCCCGCCCCCTCCTACCCAATCTCCTCAAAACTGCGCGCCACTTCGTCATGAGCCGTTCACGGACGATTGCTGCCACCCCCACCTGGGACACCTCCACTAATCCGCCGGTACATGAAGGCCTTGCTGCCTGTTCTACCCTCACCCTCTCCATTTCTGCCCTTGCTGCCCGTTCTTTCCTCACCCTCTCCATTTCCTCCCTTGCCAGTATCTTGCGGGCCTGAGTGAGACTGCAATATTGCTAATCCAATTTAGCTTTTCGAATATCGGAGAAGTCAGCTGTCAGTCGGTCACTCACATCCGCCTGGGGGCCCATTGTGATCGTGTGCGTTGATTTGTGATCGTGTGCTTTGGTTTGCGATAGAGTATTTCAGACGTAGTACTACGTAGTGTTGTCGACTTGTCGTTGTAGAATAAAATCTAATGATTGATTGATTGCGCACAGGCTGCACAGTGCACAGCGCACAATGTTTCTATTTCGGGTCCACCCTATTAATACGCGTATTTCTAAATTCTAATTAAGTCTTATAAGTTACACATGAGTTTGGGTCCTACTTCTCAACTCAACCATCATGTTCATTGTCCATCGCCCACGGAATCAAGTAAGTTCGTATCCACCCTCCATGCCAACGTCCTAGTCCTCCTCCACACCAATGTCCCAGACTCCCAGTCCTCCTCCACGCCAACGTCCCAGTCCTCCTCCACACCAATATCCCAGTCTTCCTCCATATCAATGTCCCAGTCCTCCTCCACGACAAATCCGCACAAAATGTGTGAGTTTGTGGCTACGAATACGTCTTTGATTAGTATCACAAAGATTTCAGGGGCCATTATTCCTGAAGGGGCGTCTGCAGTGGGGAAGGCGGTGTCTGGGAGGGTAACTGGTGAGTGTTCATTTGGGATGGTGTGGGTGTGCTGATGCTGCGAGTGCCAGAAACTCGTGGAGCTCATCTGCGGTGCAAACATCGCAAGACACGTTAGACCGCTCACACTCTGTTCAGTGGCTGCTATGTCACAGGACGTGCATGGGTTCGTTATCGAACGTGCTGCTCATGCTGTTCATCAATGAGGTGGGTACTGCTGTCTCTTGCTCGTATTTCGTGTGTTTAATTTCACCGCAGGTGACTATGTGTTCAGAGAAGGTGGCGGGGTTCCCAATGCCTGTATTGGGTCCAGGGTGTTGCAACTCGTAATGACATTGACAAGACGTTCAGGTTGGGCATGGCGCATCCTACAGGGCCATTACAATTGGGTGAGTTGCTGTTCCACGATGCATTTCTTTCTGATGATGATGTACGATCTACCATAGCTGATTTGATGCCTGCCTCTCTATTCAGCAGAGGCTCTACAAGGGTACCTCAGATTCCAAGCATCGCCCTTTGGTGTTACTCGAGTGCATGACGGACGCTCAGTATCTTGAAAAGAAGAATTATCATTCATTGTACTTGTAAAATCCCCAGCTGCTCTCTACCATTTGTATAGATTTAAATTTTGAATTTTAAATTTATTCTAAATTTAAACTTAGTTTGAGCTGGCTTGAAGCCTGGAAACACGGCTTACTGACTGGACCGGGCCATGTATTATGTAATATATAACTAGGTACATGGCTTGGCTAACTATGGGGAGATAAACTCAAACTGCGGCAACACTAGCTGGCAGTACAAGTTAGACTAGTGTTGATACATACTTGTATTGTGTGTATAATCTGTATTGCTTGTACACTCTGTAGTCCGTGTGGTGTTTGTCCGCCTGTTTGTTTGTACTTAGCAGTTCCAAATTTTGAATTGCTTGTACATCTGTAATACCTTGTACAGTTTGTGTAGACTTATTGTTCATGTTAAACCTGTCACCAAATTAGTAGTTTGCTGATGCAAGCTATTCAAATGCCCAGATCTTATTATAACCTACTCATTGACTTTGCCTGAGAATAAAATATGTAGTGAGGGTTAGCACTAGTGAGGAGCAAACACCTACCAGGTCACCAGGTCATCATGATCCAGGTCACTGCCAGGACATTCAGGTGTTGACCTGGTGCAGCCAGGTGCCTGCACATAAAAATAGATTTTCAGATGATGAAATAGCACTATGTATATGTAAATCACAGTAAATATTTGCTCTAACTTCAGTGTGTCATGTGTGAGAAGCAAACACCTACCAGGTCATCCAGGTCACTGCCAGGACGTTCAGGTGCCACCAGGTGCCTCACCATGCCTGCACATTTGCTGATGTTTGAGCTGTCAGGAAAGTCCCAAATTGGTAATGCCTGTCTGCAACATACTTAAACCAAACATTTACCAAACTTAGAGCCTGGACAGCTGCCATTTATTTCCAGTTTGTTTCTCAGTTTATTTCATTTACCACAACATGCACAAACAAATGTGATAAGCCACCATCCAGGACCAAATTGGATACACCACACGACCTCGCGCCACAGTGTCAAAATCTTTGTCCTCACTGTAGGCAACAGTGAGCTCAAGTATTTTACCATTTCAATAAATAAAAATTGTACTTTCTCATGGACTGAAATCATTCAACATGTATTTATTACAGTGAACAAAATGAATAAAATCTGATGGCCAGTAATGAACAGAAATGTCAGCGAGAGCCTCGAGAGCAAGAGGGCCATGCAAGGAGCCACTGTAATGGCACATGGTTGAGGCAAAGTTCGAGCACTAAGAAGCTGACAGAGATCATGCATCCATGTTGGATGTCTGCAACAGAGCCAGCACTAGGTAGTACAGCAAACAGCTGCAGGTCACAGTTTGGAGTAGCGAAGCACAAAGGTTGTGAATTGGACGGTCAACCTTGTTGTTAGTCGCAGTCAATTGTGATGACAACACTGCCCAGTGCCACCACCGGCCAAAATTGGACATGTCACAAACACATCACTGATTGTCACTGCAAGTCACATATTGCCACACCACATACAGAAACAAACTGAGAAACAAACTGGAAATAAACAGCAGCTGTCCAGGCTCTTAACAAAATTTCGAAAAATCACCTTAAACAATTATCCCAACCACTGTTCGTAAATAGCCACTAAGTCCTCTCCATAAGTACCTACATCCTCTGCCTCCGTGGTTCTAACATAAGCAACATAAGTGTCAAGCGAATTACCCTCCTCCACAACACCCTTCGACTTTCTAACAAACCTTTCGTATATTTCTTTGTCTTCAGGTTCTGCTTCATCATTGCATGCCTCTAGCAAAGCAAAGCACTGATCAACATATCTAAAAAAACCAGCTTAGTTATCATCTCTATAATGATCCAAACAAACTCACTTCAGATACTCTGTTTGCTCTTCGACTGGCACGTCTGGATGTAACAACCTCTTGGCAAGTGCAGCTGATGAGCGAGGATCGTCAGTGGAAGGCAGATCTGATTTTAACACCTCTTGTTTGGAGCTCAATGCTTTCTTGGAAAACCCGTGCTGTGACGAAGGATATGTGCCGATCCAACGACGAACTCCAGCCATGAGCCTGGGAAACAGTTTGCATGAAATACCAAAGACTAAGTGGAATACGTACCGTGGATGATGTGCTGGATGAGTGCTGTGAGGGAGAAATGGGCTGTAAGCGATGTCCTTGACAGTCTTCCTATACACAATGACAGACAAATTAGCAACAGTTTCGGCGCTGTACAACACTGCTTACCCTGGCAGCTTCAAGGTGCTATTCATGGAGTACGCAAAGTGCTTTCCAAGCGAAGTAAATAAGAGCGGTCGATAGTACTCCGCCCAAAACTCTCCGCGGACGTTGACAAAGTCACACAACGCTGGAGAGCACTCCATCACGTCGTACAACATCTGAAGATGCTGCTTCTGGAACCATTGCTGGTACTGACCACGCTTCGGAGGAAGCACCGGGCTGCGTTCCGCTGCTACGCCAAGAAAGAGATTGATCGCTGCTTGTTTGTCTGCGTCTAAAGGAACTTGTCAGTTCTGAGTGGGCGAAGTACAAGACAAGCCAATACCCAGAAGAGAATTGGCATAAAAACGGCGGATATTTTCAATGATGTCCCTCGAGTGACTGTTCCAGTGAGGCATCCTGCGATATGTTTCTACCCGATTTACAAGTGCACTACCAGTATACTGCAGCGCGATGGCTACACAAATATCAGCGATGGTTAACACAAGTTACACGGCATACTCAACTATCTCCGTGGTCATGATACATTTCAGTCAGCATGTTCACCGCATCTGAATCGAATGGAAGGTTGGGACTGGCAACAACACCAAGGGCATACAACTGGTGACCCAGAGCACGCTTGCCGAAAACAAATTGTGCTGCATTTGTACGATCCAGGCAGTCGACGCAATTTGTGCGACATACACCATTCTGTAGCAGGATGGAACGACGGTAATGTTCGTTCTCTTCACTAGAAATGACACAGTCAATATGGCATCTGAAAAAGACGTGTGTGATACGCACAAGTTGCCGTTATGGAGACAATGAGCGAGTGGTTCCACGCCGGAGTGGAAGAAACCCGTCATTTGAATGGATACCTCCGCTATGTCCTCGAGGTAGCTTATAACATCCTGCGTCTTCCTACAGTCATATTGAGACAGCGCCGCTCCAAATTACAGGAAGTTCGTACGTACTCTTTGTATGCCCGTGACATATCCCAAGCCCGATAAACCATCTTATACTCTTCCGGTAGAAATTGATTCAAATATTTGACACATTGAGTGTACTCATCCAACAGCTTCGATTCGCGTGGCTGCGGCTCCCGCCGTTTGATGAGGTTGAGGACTGTGATTGGCGCGCCGTATCGTGCAAACAGGTCATCGAAATGACGAGACGCAGCGACATAGAAAGGATCTACAACGCTGACTTTGCAAGTGTCAAGACAAAGGTAAGAAAAAGTCACAATGGGCGTACTTTCAATAGGCGGTCGAGGAGTCATGCTAGTAGTTTCCTGTGTCCAATATATGGGAATGCTTCCCCTGTACTAAGAACGTACGACTGATATAAGACCATGGCAGATCGCGTGATGCGTTAGCCCGCACCTGAACGTAACTGGTATATTGAGGGCTCGGCCGACGTTGATATTCGCCTGTTGAGGGACCAGCGGGAGGAAAGTAAAATGGTGTGGTTAGTGCTTCTGATACAATTTGCTCTGTCTCAACCTCGTTTGCAACGTTTCCCTAGTAAATCCTTAAGGAGAAAGGTTATTTATTATACTGGTTCCATACCTCTTCATTAACACCGCGTGTCAAATATCGAGCTCCAGCATAATGGCGCGACCGACGAGCAATAAGTGTTACAAAGACTACACGCCCAAGCACAGTGAGTTCTGGTAGCGTACTTAGCATCGCAATGCGTGTAGCGTAAACGGCTGATGTGCTTACTAGCTTGATCTACATGTCCATGTATGAGTGGCAGTAGCCACGGACGCCAGACGCTAGTGACGGGAGAGTCCTTGAGAGGTGCATCGATCATGTGGAAATTCCAAACGTATCGATCGTTGAAGGGCCATCCAGTGCCATTGAAACGCTCGGGCTTGGTGAGATTGTTTTGAAGCGTAGAAGTTATATCATATGAGTAACTAGAATGAGGCACATTGATATCGATTAGAAATGGTTCGTGCACTTGACCATTGCCCACCTGAAGTAGAAGTTCTTCGACATGTCAACTTGCTTAAACATGTTCACAAGTCGCTGCTCCTCGGCAGGACGTTCAATCTTGTGATTGGAGGGAACAGGTATCATCTCCGTGTTCTCGCAGTGGTACAAATAGTGGCCACCAAGAAGTGCCACAACAGAACGCTTTGATATGACAATCATGTACCATCCAGCGGTGAACTTTATGAATCCTTGGTCTTGTCAGCGACTTACGATAAACGCCCTGGTAGAAAGCGTACCTGCAATGCCAAAGATTACGCGTGCCTTGCCAAGCCCACCTGATCCCTTGTTACCATCCTCCAGCATCTTGAGCATGTTACTCATCTGCTTGCCGCTGTAGTCGGTGTCATCTTCAACAATGACGACCTCACTTTGCGAGGTGCGGTCAATCTTGATAATCCGGTGGCGTGAGTCAGAGGCATTAGAGGCGACGATATAGAAGCGCAGTTTGTTCTCGTATAAAATGAACTTGTTGAATGCAGAGAACTTGTGTACCAAGTTACAATTCGCAGGGAGTGGTATTGACTTGTCGGACGACTCCGTAGCTTTGCCCTGAAGCCCAGCGGCGTGGATTGTCGATGAGCTTGGTGGATCTGACTGTGACGCTAGTCGATCCATAGCACGTAACTGCAAGTAAGAGTACTATTCACGAAGCTGTAACTGGCATAAGAATGTCGATGACTAAGCGCACCCCCTATTGTGCAAGTTTCCTTTAGCCAACATGTGTGGGCGATACGCCCTAGGTCTGCAGGTCAGTTTTCATTGCACTTTGCTTCAGCGGTGTTAAAGTAAATAGCGTGCTGAAATACGCGCTTTGCCTGGATACCCCAATCTTGAAATTGGGGAATGGGTGAACGAGGACAATTTCGTGGTGAGTCTTCATGTTTTCAACACGCACGAAGGCAAACGATGACATGCTTCCTGAATGACAGCCCCGCTACAACATTGCGCCAAACTCTCAGGCGCCCGTCATTCGCAGGCGTGACGCGTCTTCACCGGACCTTCAAATGCAGACTATGCGGTGGGGCATCCCATATGGTAAGGTTCATGCAAAAAATCAACAAGCCATCAATGCACGCTCGGAAAACATCATGGAAGGTGCGGGAATGTGGAACAAATATCGAAGCAGTAATCGTTGTGTCGTTGTTAGCCAGGGGTGCGTATTCGAGTTCGGACTCTGAGACGGTTGTGAATACTCGATCAGGTATTACGAGTGGCAAATAAAGGGCAAGGACAAGCTTCCCCACTTCACGAAACATGCCGATGGGAAGGCGATGCTTATGGCTGGACTCTATCACGTCTCAGGTGCGCATGATTCCTGACCAGCGACTACTGCCCGCCCGCCATACTGACAATTCGAAGACGAAACCTACCTTTTTGCTATAATTACAACGAGCGCCAGCAAATCACTTAGTTGGCTGCACGACCGCCAACCTGTCATTCTTACATCCCACGATGACGTCACGAAGTGGCTCGACACTAGTTCGCATGCATGGTCTGCCGAACTCGGCAAACTGTTACAGCCGGCTGAGGGTCTAACATGGTGTGCTGTTTTCTTCCTTGATTGTATCTTATACACTGAGTTCGGCTTATACACAGCTATCAAGTTCCAAAGGAAGTTGGAAAAGTCGGTGCCGAGTCTCCCACCTTTGTTCAGCCCGTTGCAACACGCAAAGACGGTATTGAGGCTATGTTTGCAAAGCAACGCACCAAACAGGAGGGAAATAAGGAGGGCATCAAGCGCAAGCGTAGTCTATCTCCAGTCATATCCTCATTAAAATCCGAACCAGCTGGGAAGGAGGATGAGAGTCATGAGACAGAGGGCAAGAAGCTCAAAGTTGAATAACTGGTTGCATATAACACACTGTACCTCGTATCATCATGTATCATAACCCTAACCCTAATCCGTATTAGGCAAGGTTGCTTCGCACTGCCTGCAGGCTGATCTGAGCTGTTGGAAACATCACCTGGCGGCAGCAACCTGGAGGTTCCTATGGCCTATTTCTCAAGCCCAAGGCCACAGTCCTCAAGTTCTGCCATCAAGATTGTCAATCCGGCAGAACATGACGACAAGGCTAAATTGCAGGCTAAGAGAGGTAGTACCTTCGATTGACGCAAATATCCACGCATAATTTGACCCGGTTCATCAGATTCTCCCCAGCGTCAGTGTAGGAATATCTTGATTTATGGGTAAAATCAACTCTTCAGCGACAAGTTGATGTTTTAATGTGCCACGCAGATCTTGTCGTTATCAAGACAAAGGTTGTATTTATTATCATCCGCCGGTATGTGTGGTCCCTAGTTTGATAGTATACCCCCTCTCAAGGTTCTTCAGGTTGAAGATTCAAACAATCCGTACGGAATATTTTTTATCTTTGACTGCCTTGAGCGCTCACCGTCTCTCCAGGCCACGTCCAGAGTCACCTATTCCTGCTTCGCTGTCTGCACAAGCCGTCAACGCTCCCGTGTTTGTGCCAAAAGCACCTTTTCATGCCATTGCAACTCCATCTCCAACTTCGGCATCGTCATACACTCCTTCGTAAGACCTCTATGCGTTACCCGATGACTACTGACACTTGCGTAGTCCCTCACCTTCGACCTTCTATCCAACTCATGACGAATACGATGATTATGGAGACTCTGTCTCCAATCAGACACCTCAAACATTGGAGCATCCATTAGTCAGTCAGTATCAGCAGGTGCGAATATGTCATTTTATAACTTTTCACTAGGCTTATATTTATTGTAGGTGGATTATGACGACCATGCCTCACCGATGGGCAACTTTTATCAATCTCAACAGGCTACGTTTGCAAGGCAACCTGTAAGCTTCTCCTGCCAATATGTGGGAAAGCCTGTGTTACTTTTATTGTGTAGTTGGATTATCATCTATACTCGCACCCTACTCCGGATGCCTTTCCCTCAACGCATTTTGTCTCTGATGTAATTCGCGAGGAGTTGCACAAACGCTCAGAAGCCTCCCAACTGGTCCCAATACCCGGACATAACCTACCTGATGAACTCCAGGGGTATCACTCCCTTGCTCTTCTTGAACCTTCCGTTACAGAGAGGCGCAAGTTCTTCAGTTGGCACTCTACTGTCTATCGCGCAATTAGTTCCAACGATGGTGTATCATATGCTCTTCGTCGCGTCGAAAGTTTGTTTAAACCATGATATTTACTCTCCATTATTGATTTGCGCAGATTTCAGGTTGATGCATCAAGCTGCATTTGGAGCCATCGAAACGTGGTCGCGTATTGAGCATCCAAATATTGTCCGTGTCCGTGAAGCATTCACTACTCGTGCATTCAACGACAATTGTATGTTGGACCTTTGCTCGACCACGTTCACGGCTGACAAATATAAACCAGCTTTGGTGGTCGCGTATGAATACTACCCGAATGCTCAGACTCTCTTTGAATTGCACATCAAACAGAAGCCGCCGGTATTTCAGCATGGCCGTCTTTCAGCCTTCTCAACGGCATTACCTGAGGCGACTCTATGGTCATACATGATTCAAATTGCCAGCGCCATCAAGGTAGTGCACGAAGCGGGCCTCGCAGTACGCATGATTGACCCAACCAAAATTATGGTCACTGGCAAGAACAGGTGTGCTCTCTCACCTCGTATGTGATTCATCTTATATCTGCGCGCAGAATTCGCATTGGTTCGTGTGGTATTGCAGACGTTCTGATGTACGATCCTCGCCAGGACACTGCGATCGCCCAACAAGAGGACCTCGTCATGTTTGGTCGTCTTGTGTTTGCTCTCTGTTGTAATAATCTTGCGGCCGTGAACACACTGCCCAAAGCACTTGACCTGATGGGTCGCCAGTACTCTGCTGACGTGAAGGCTCTTGCTCTTCATTTGGTCTCTAAACCAAATCCACACAAGGTTGGCCTTTCTCATTATCGGTATAACCTGCGTCTCATCGTTTCTCAGAGTATCACACAAGTAATAGACATGATCGGAACGAACCGGTTAGTCCACGAAATGGACGATATGCACAGGTAAATGAAAGTAGATGCATACTTGCGTCGATACTCATGCTACCACTTAGTTCCGTCAACAGGCTTGAAGCTGAACTCATGAGCGAGCTCGAAAATGGGCGCCTGGTTCGCCTTCTTTGCAAATTTGGCTTTATCAATGAGCGACCCGTGTGCGTTTACCACTGCTCAATCCGAGCAGAACATCTCAACCTTGGTTTTAGATTCGCCCGTGAGCCTCGTTGGTCCGAAACGGGCGATAGATACATCATCAAGCTATTCCGAGACTATGTCTTTCATCAAGTGGACGAGAACGGTAATCCTGTTATCAATCTTTCGCATGTCTTGGCTTGTTTGAATAAGGTGCTCCTTGTTTATTGGGCTGGAAAAACGCTCATTCTCTTTCTAGCTCGATGCTGGTACAGACGAGCGTATCATGCTTGTTTCCCGTGACGAACAGAGCTGTCTCGTTGTGAGTTACAAAGATGTGAAGGCCTGCATCGATACTGCTTTTGGGTAGGATCTCGTTGTCTTGCCTCGTTTTCATTTGTCTAACACCCATTCAGTGATCTAGCTCGGGCATCGCGATGATAGTCGATCTAAACATGCAAAAATAGGTAGAATCTGAAAAAGACGCGAAAAATACAAAATATTTTGATTTCAACTTTGGTACAATCATGCATATGGTACTCTACTGCGTTGATGGTTTTCATCTGTCTCTTCCCGACGTTGATGAGCACTTTGGTTTGCCGTGTTGTCACCACCCCACAACTTTACGGGAAAATCACGGTTGCAGTTACAATGAGTTCAGTTCACCCATGTGCCAGAGCACTTGTACGCTGGCGGTCTCGTCAGTTGCAACACACACTGGCATGGCGACTACAAAATAGCATGCCAAGCAATGCTTTCTCAACGTCGTCGGTGCTGTCAGGTAATCGAGCTATAGTCTACGACACCAATGGTGACCCAGCTCGCGTCCTGTCTGCATTCTCCTTCCCTGATCTGCCACCTCCGCCTCCAAACACCGTAAACATAAGGCTTCTGCTTGCACCCATCAACCCCGCAGACATAAACGTCATCGAGGGCGTTTACCCCGCGAAACCGGAGCCTGATGTCTCCCTCTCCCAGGCTAAGGATCACCCGCTATTCGTGGGGGGAAATGAGGGCCTGGGCAAAGTGATGGCTATCGGCGATGGCGTGGTCGGTCTGAGGAAGGATGATTGGGTCGTTATGACCAAGGCTCAGAGCGGAACATGGTCGTCAGCGAAGAATGTTGCCTTGTCAGATGTCCTCAAAGTTCCCAAGCAGGGTCTGTCTGAGGCTCAGGCTGCTACTATCACCGTACGTCCTCACTCTTTATTGTCAGAGTACTTTTCTTAATTCAGTACCGTTGGTGAAGGTCAACCCCCCAACAGCTTACAACATGCTGCACGACTTTGCCCAACTTGTAGAAGGAGACTGGATCGTGCAGAATGGTGCGAATAGCGCCGTATGTATGAGGTTTCTTTCGTGAGCTAGCGGCAATCCTTACCCCAGTCTGTTTCTCAGGTCGGTCAAGCTGTGATCCAAATCGCAGCTGCCAAGGGGTACAAAACTATCAACTTCATTCGCGACCGGTGAGTCATGATTACCACACGAACGGGCTTGGCTCATTCAACCACAGTGAGGACGTTAAATCGCTGAAACAACATCTGGAATCACTAGGTGCAACGCACGTCGTGACATACGATGAATTATCCGACAAGTCCTTCAGAGCGAAGATCAAAACGTGGACTGTTGGCAAGGTAGCAAATTCTTCATCTTCCAGTTCAGAAAACTGACCAGTATCAGGATATCCGCCTTGGTCTCAACTGTGTAAGCGGGGAAACGACCACCGTCATGGCCCGACTACTTGGGAACAATGCGCATCTTGTTTCATATGGGGCGATGTCCAAGGCGCCTCTTTCACTTCCAACGTCGCTCTTTATTTTCAAAAACCTTACTTGCCATGGATTTTGGCAAAGCCGTTGGTATAGCGATAAATCTCTAGAACAACGCCAGGAATTGCTTGAGACGCTGACTGCCCTGATGCGAGATGGGAAGGTACGGAACGATGCTTGTATAACTGATCCATCTCATCTCGGCGATCCAGCTTCAGAGCCCTAACCATGAAATTTTGACGATTGGCGGGACGGAGAGCGACGTCAGTGCGTCTGAAAAGATTCGTGACCTCGTGGCACGCTTAGGGCAAGGGATGTATGGGAAGAAAGTGCTCCTGAGGGTCGAAGAAACTGCATGACATGGGCTGATGCCCCTGTCCAGTGCAGCTGTGCCCGGTTGATCGTTGCCGTCTGCCATTTCCACTTGATAAGACTTACCATATGCCATAAATAATGAGGCCCAAGTGTCATAGCCATTATGATATTTTCCGTGTACAAGTTCCAAGCCCGGATGCTGAGAATTGAAGTTGGCTTCCTCATTTGGGCAGACCCTTTGGAAAGTTGCTGACCGTATCACGTTCTTCAAGGTCAATTGTTGTGGAAGCCATTCCCATCTCCCCAGGCGCACAAGGGCTTGTCTCTGTCGCCCACCAGAGCAGTTCCACAAAGTCTTACAGCTTTCGGTTTCCAGCATGGCGCAGAGTTCATCCAGTGTCCAGTCTAGTCCCTATAGTTCACAACGGAGACATGCTTCCAAACACCGTTTCTTCGTGGTTGAACTGTCACAAGCCCTTTTCGACTTCGTGATTCGACTTCTTCCAGCCCAAGAAGAGATGGCTGTAAAGGAAGATGTCAGGAAACTCCTTGAGAGGTTGATTCGCACAATCGAACCTGACAGCCGACTGCTATCATTCGGAAGCACGGCGAACGGCTTTAGCCTTCGCAACTCAGGTGAGCTTGGAATAGCTTGTCTCTTGCTCGTAAAGGCTACAGTTTACTATAGATATGGATCTATGCTGTCTCATCGATTCCGACGAGCGTCTGTCTGCATCAGACCTGGTTACGATGCTTGGCGACCTCCTAGAACGCGGTTAGTTGACACTGGAAATACGTGTCGACGTTCATTTACCGTGCTACCAGAAACCAAGTTTCACGTCAAACCACTACCTCATGCACGTATACCGATCGTCAAGCTCTCCTTAGATCCATCTCCTGGACTACCACATGGTATCGCTTGCGATATCGGTTTTGAGAATAGACTCGCCCTGGAGAATACAAGGCTGCTCATGTGCTACGCTATGATCGATCCCACACGTGTGCGGACACTAGTGCTCTTCCGTGAGTTCAATCACGGATTATCAACATTCTTCGATGATTCAACGGCTCTATGATAGTCAAAGTATGGAGCAAGCGGAGGTAGGGATCTCAAATTATTCGATGTTTTCGCGTTTTCTCATTGTTTCGAGCAGAAACATCAATTCTCCGTACCAGGGGACACTATCGTCTTACGGCTACGTTTTACTTGTCATATATTTCCTCATACACGTGAAGAATCCGCCTGTACTACCAAATTTACAGCAAATGCCTCCTCTACGACCGATTTCTCAGGTGTGCAAACCATTCTTACATATCCTTCCTGAAATTAACTGGTTTCAGGAGGACACCCACATTGGGGGGCATAATACTTGGTCGGTCTTGGCTATCATCACCTCGAGGCGTCCCTAACTCCACGCTGCAGGTTTTTTGACGACATAGAACTTCTACGCCAGCGATGGCATTCATCTAATACCGATAGTGTGGCTGATTTGTGAGTCATTGCTCAATCGCTTCGTGTTTTAGAAGCTGGATTGATCTGTAAACAGGTTGATTGATTTCTTCCGATATTATTCTCGTGATTTTACCTACAATACAGGCGTTGCTTCCATTCGAGGAGGCTTATTGAAGAAGGAGAGCAAGGGATGGCAAAACGAGGCAAGTAGCTGAGCATCCTTGCGTGCTTTTACGTGTTGATGGGCTATGCAGCTGGCAGCCGGCCGATATAATGACTCCAGAGAGCGAAATCGGTTTTGTATAGAGGTACGCGAACAGTGATACTTGTCTTTGATTGGTCTCAAGTTCCCCGTTCAACAGGATCCGTTTGAGATCGACTTCAACGTTGCCCGATGTGTAACAAAAGAAGGGCTTTATCAGGTATGTTAGTTTTCAGTATACCGTAACTTTGCTTATCGATGGCGCTAGATTCGTGGAGAATTCATGCGCGCGTCTAGGATCCTTGCAATGCGCCCTCGCGCCCTTGTTGCACTTGCTCAACTGTGTGAAGAGAAAGGTGAAGACCCGCAAACGACATCACCTCCATCTGTCTTCGTCCCGCCCCGCCTCTCCTTTCCTCCTCAGACGCCATACACCGTTGGGAGCAACTCCATGAGACCCAAGGGTGCACCGGCTGAGCGACTTTCACCCCAACCTGAGTTCTTTGAGCCTGAAAATCGACATTCGGGCGATAGCTGTGTTCCGTCTCGTACCCCACCCGAGCACATGGCACCAAGAAGGACCCAGTGGACTAGCCCGCCCCCACCAGAGGCTCCGGCTGCCCACCACGCCATATTTGAAGATCAGCTTGACCAAGGTCTTGCACTGGCAACGTCTTCGACAATGGCGCGGGAGGCTGGGAAGACAACATCATCTCCTGAACGTTCTGAACTCCTCAGCGATGAAGAGCGTCGATCAGATGCTACCGAGTCCGATGAAGTGCAATCCGTTCAATCTTTTACTGAAGGATCACGTGCAACTCCCTTAGCATCTACGTCCTATATCGAATCCCCGACGTCTGCTGTTGGACCCGGGATCCGAGGCAGGGTGCCCTCGAGATCTTCGCGTCCTAGTGACAACAAAGTGGTTCCACAGGCCACGAATGAGGCCACCCTAATTGCTTACAAAGCTGAGCTCCTTCGTCGTTCACACTCTGGCCCTCCAAATGGCAAGTCTAATCGTTTTTTCGTGGCCTTCTGCCACATCCATTGCATATACTCCCACAATCGGACCGTCAATTTCAACATCCTCCCGCTTGCATGTTCCTGACATGTCTGCTTCGACCAACACTGTATTCTATGAAACCACGGGCACGCCGCCGCGATTTCCCGCATACCCGTTACCCGCACCTGCACCATCTCACCTGTTATCTAATGTGCCATTTTACATGCGAAGCTATCTTGACCAAACCGCTAACAATACCGCTACAATCGATATATCCAGAGACGGTTCATCGTCACCACTCTCTCAGGCGCCATTCTCACATTCACACACACATACGCCCTCCACTGCCACAATCACCTCCCGCGTCCAACTTATATCACGACATCCTTCAGGTTCGCCGCCACATTCGCCGCTGCGCAATAACATGCATGGACGTATGGGGATGTTATGCGAGCCTGGAAGTGATTCATCTTCGCCGACATCGGGAAGTTGCTCACCGTCTCCTTCACCGACTCTTGTGCACCAGCACCAGCACCAGCACCAGCATGCAGTTGATGAGTTTACACGATACAACACGTTCAAGATGGTTGCTCCTCGGCTGAGACGCATTCGTGCGGATCCAGTAACGGTAGATCTGACACCTGATGATGCTTTGCGATAGCGCGAGGCTTGGATCGATCGGTAGACATTACTTACACGTGCTTACATAGCCTTCGCTTTGACCATACCAAGACCCAAATCTCCTATTTGCTTACGAGCGGTCACATTTAGTTGTACAAACAGTAGAGGGATACATGGACAACTGAAGAGGAATCTACTCCTGAGCTACGAAAGGGTTCGCAATTTCTTCTGAGCCGTCTACAGGACTGAGGAGAGTGATGGTGGGTCCCCGAAGGACTACGAGGTTCAACATACGGGATTGAGGTTCTGGCTCTGTAGAGCGACTGTCAGTTGTGTGTAAAAGAGGAGTGCTGATGACAGCACCATTAATCTGTTCTTCGACCTCGTCAAGGACGAGATTGAGCAATTGATCATAACCCTTGAGGATTCCAGTGACTGAATGAATATGAGACGATGATCGATTATGTGAATGGACTAGCTTACCTTCTCTTCCGCCAGTGAATTTAACCCTTATTCTCTCATTGACGTACTTGGACAAGTCGAGGATGGCTTCCCGCTTGCCTTTACTTGAGTCTTTCCAACATGAGGAGCCACTGAAAATGAAGAAAGTGACTCACTTTACATCAGATGAAGGTGGAATTGGTCTACCACGAGGTGGAGGACCACCTCTAGGGCCTCTAGCTGGAGCACGACCCTGTTATTGAATGAGATTGATTAAGTGAAAAAAAGACATTGAATCGTACGCGATCTGCCATTGAAAGTGATAGCACAGGCCTTGAGCTAGCTTGGACTGTTTGCAGGTTGTAGACAACAAAACACAAAAATTGAAAAGCCGCCAAGGGTTTCTTCATCACTCTCGACGTTAAAGCTGATCAAAATCCCATCTCTCTTTTAAACGACTTGTCACGCTGCCATCATGAACGCCAGCGCACTCCTTGCTAATACCCTATCTCCAGGTAAGCATCTTGTCAGTCATTCCTCATTCAAAAAAGTCAATATCTCCCTTTCAAAGATGCTGCAACGCGTCAAACTGCCACTCAGCAACTTGAGAGCGCTTCTAGGGAGAACTACGTATGTTCAATCATCCTTGGCCTTTACCGTGCTCACTCCTTTCAATAGCCAGTGTACATGTTGATGTTATCAGATGAGCTACGCAACGAGAATTCTCAAATTCATACACGCAATGCTGCTGGTCTTGCACTCAAAAATGCTCTCTCTGCTCGTGTACGTAAACGCGTGAATCCTCACCTGCCATCACATTCAAACCATCTTCTATAGGATGCAACAAGGCAGGACGAGTACTCTGCAAGATGGATGGCCCTCGATGTCGATGCTAGGCAGAAAATCAAGGAAGCTTCCCTTTTAACTCTTGCATCTCCTCAACCAAGAGCAGGCGCAGTCGCAGCCCAAGTCGTTTCTGCCATCGCAGCAGTAGAGTTGCCTGTTGGTCAATGGCCAGATCTCGTCGAAATCCTTCTCGGTTTTATCAACACGTCTGATGACACAAATTTGAAGATCGCCACCTTGCAAGCTATTGGTTATATCTGCGAAACTATAGTACGCCTACTTTTGTGCCGCTCCACTGTCTTTCCTCATCTAGCCCTACAGAAACCGGAGGTCTTGGCAGTGAGGTCCAACGAGATTTTGACCGCTGTCATCCATGGCGCTCGCAAGGAGGAGCCATCGTCAGAAGTTCAGCTTGCCGCAGTCCATGCCCTGTTTAACTCCTTGGAGTTCGTGCGGGACAATTTCGACCGAGAAGTACTCATCTCTCATTTCTCTCGCGTTTGTTTGCTGACGCGTACCAGGGAGAGCGAAACTACATCATGCAAGTCGTCTGCGAAGCTACCCAGAACCCGTCAGTATCAGTTCAAGTCGGCGCTTTCGAGTGTTTAGTCAAGATCATGGCGTTGTACTACGACAAGATGGCATTTTATATGGAACAAGCCTTGTTCGGCGTAGGACCACTTGTTTATTCTCCCCCGAGTCCTCCTGACGGAACATACTTCCAGCTTACTGTCATGGGCATGAAGCATTCTGATGAACGAGTCGCACTGCAGGCCGTGGAGTTCTGGACCACCGTATGTGAGGAAGAGATTGAGCTTGCCCACGAGGCACGAGAGGTACGCGCCATCCACATTTACTGTCCAAACCAATCATGGTGTCTCCCCAGGCTGCCGAATACGACGAGCCACCTGAACTGGAATCCAAGCATTTTGCCAAGGTTGCCCTGCCAGAAGTAATCCCGGTCCTTCTTAATCTCCTGACACAACAAGACGAAGACGCCGACGAAGGAGAATGGAACCTTGCCATGAGCGCAGGCACTTGTCTCAACTACATGGCCCAAGCTGTCGCGGATGCTATTGTTCCCGCTGTCATCCCTTTCATCGAGGCACACATCAAAGCTCAAGACTGGCACCAGCGCGAAGCAGCCGTAATGACGTTTGGCTCCATTCTGGACGGTCCTGATCCCCAAGTTCTCACCCCTCTCGTCAACCAAGCGCTTCCCCTCCTGATCGGCATGATGAACGACGAGAATCTCCATGTGAAAGATACCACAGCGTGGACGCTCGGACGAATTTGTGATCTTCTAATTGTAACGATCAAGCCCGACATACACCTTCATCCTCTTATTTCGGCGCTCGTCAACGGTCTTTCGGATCGCCCGCGCATAGTGACCAACTGCTGTTGGGCGCTCATGAACCTCGCCGATCAGATCGGAATCTACCTCGATGATCATATTACCTCCGCTCCTGAGAGTCCGCTCTCCCCATACTTTGAGGGCATAGTAAGCGCCCTTCTGAGGGTTACCGAAACGTCAGTCCTTTTATGTTCACGTGATTGATATCCACTCTGATGTTGTTTATAGCACCGCAAACGAATCCAACTTCCGAACATCCGCATACGAAGCCATCACATCCTATGTCTCCCATTCGACTATTGACTGTATTGCTGTTGTGCAAAACACCGTCATTGCAATTTTGCAGAGAATGGAACAACTTCTCAATATGCAGGTGCGTTTTCTGACGGCATTACTTTGGGTTGCATCTCATGTCCGTTTTTAGAACCAGATCGTCGGCGTTGACGACCGTAATAACTGGAATGAGCTGCAGAGCAATCTCTGCAGCGTTGTCATCGTAAGCCATTGCGTTCGTTTTGTCACGTTGTAGCTCATAGATACACAGAGCGTTATTCGGAGGCTCAGCTCGGGTATTCAACCGATGGCAGATCGCATCATGACCCTCATTCTCCAGCTTATCCAAGGAGCAGGAAAGACGTCGACAGTGCTTGAAGACGCTTTCCTGGTTGTAGGATCTCTAGCTGCCGGTACGTTTCCCCTCCGATCGCGTCCACCCTGATATCGAGGTTCTTCGCCAGCACTGGAAGCCGGATTTGCACCATACATTCAAGCCTTCCTGCCATTCTTGTATCCTGCCCTCAAAACACACGAAGACACCCAGCTGTGTATGGTCGCCGTCGGCATAATCGGGGATATCTCACGTGCACTTGGCGATCAGAGCGCCCAGTACGCAGGCGCGTTCATGAACGTTTTACTCGAGAACCTGCAGAGCAACGTTCTTAACCGCAATGTCAAGATATCAATACTATCGTGCTTTGGCGATATCGCACTCGCTATAGGACCTGCGTTTGATCCTTATTTGAATACGACTATGGACGTACTGAGACAGGCGGGTTCTGTGCAACCAAACCCCGTAAGCTGGTTTATGGACTTTTGGGCCTGTCAAATCTTGACTGGTGCTTGCTAGCTCGACTTTGATCTCATGGACTATGTCGCTCAACTAAGGGAAGGAATCCTAGAGGCATACACCGGCGTCGTCACTGGGTTCAAGAACACTGAGAAAGGTTTGCGTCTTCCATTTGTACTCATCTTGCCACTCACAATCGTCCCTAGCACCCGCACTACTCCCTCACGTGCCCAGCATCCTCGAGCTCGTCCACCAATGTTTAGCTGATGACGAAAGATCTGACTCCGTCGTGAAACTCTCATTTGGCCTCATCGGCGACCTCGCAGACTGTTTCCCCAACGGCCAGATCAAAGAACACCTGCTCGAAGAATGGATTGCACACGAATTCCGCAGTAAACGCGGTATGCAGCAAGACACGAAGAAGACGCTGCGGTGGGCTCGGGAAGTGAGTGCCTATATCGTCTATGTCTCAATAAAACCGACACTAACGTTCCCCCCAGATGATCAAACGCGCGACCGCATAGACGGCCCCTCCCACTCTACACACATCTCATCCCTTGCACGCGAATCTATCTCTCATTCTCTCTAATTCTCTCTATCACTTTGTTTTACATCATCCCGTCAATTCAATCGCCATCTGAAGGAGGCACATGGATATCATTTTTGCATCTGCATGTATAGAAGACGGTATTACTGGTATCTTTCTGTTCTTTGTTTCTCCAACGAACTCAAAAGCTCTCGTTGCTGGAGGTGTCGCAAGCAAGAGTCTGTTTTACATCAACCGTTTTGCGCCCCTCGCCTTTTGTATCCCTTACCGAATCCTCTTCCTATTCCACAATTAGTTATCATTCCTTCGAGTAATCAGAATCAGAGGCATCGTTCATTTGTGTAATACAAGATGAGTACAAGGAATACATACATAGCGATAAGATCGAAATCGAAAGAAAGCAACCAAAGACGAAGACACAACGAATCTAAAGCGATACAAACAGGATATGACTCAAAGTCGACTCTCCAACAACACGGTACTCTCCCTCCTCCATCCTAACGCACCACGCCCAAACGCAGCTTCAAGAGCCTCATCGATAGTCCTCACAAAGAAAAATTGCATCTCCCGACGGACCTCCAGAGCCACGTCATGTTCCACATCTTTGCGGTTCGCCCACGGTAGGATCACCTTGCGGATCTGTGCGCGGTGCGCACCGAGCACTTTCATTCGAATTCCGCCTACGGGTGTCACCCGCCCACGAAGCGTGATCTAAACAGAAATCAGGACAGACTTCGCGTGTAGTATCTCAGGGTGTGTACCTCTCCCGTCATAGCAATATCCTTCGGAACACACGCCCCGCTCAAAAGAGACACAAACGCACATATCTAGCCGCACCTCACTCAGCGCTCCCCAAAAAAAAACAGGACAAAAAGGCAAAACGCACCATAGCAATCCCCGCACTCGGCCCATCCTTCTTCTGCGCCCCAGCAGGCAAATGCAAATGCACATCAATCACATCCGGAACCTTCAGGGGATCAACCCCCCTCCCAGCCGTGATCCCCAACTCAAAAGCATGCGTCTTTACCCAGCTCAACGCAATTTCCCCACTTTCCTTAATCACGTCTCCCAAGCTCCCCGTAAGCTTCAACCTCCCCACCCCTGGAACAGCGGTGCTTTCGACGGGTAGGATACCCCCCTCGCCCATACCGGTGACTACGAGCCCGTATACGACGCCCCGTTTTTCTTCACGGTCGCGCTCTTCGGTGTCCCAGCGGGGTATACCAAGGATCTTTTCGAGTTCGTGGGGTTCTACGGTTGCCCGCCATTCTTTCTCGTTCTCGTTATTGTTATTGTTCCTGTCCCCTTTCTCGTTCTCGTCCACATCCCCGATCTGCTTCGCGTTCCCCTCCCCTCCCGCCGCACTACCACTCCCCGCGTCAAGCCACTCAGCCCATTCCACAGCCTTAAACCTGACAACAGCACCAATCGCACGCTCCAGACTCCTAACGCCCGCTTCGCGCGTATACATCGTGGCAACATGCAACAACGCGTCGTCGGTCAATGTTAATTGGGAATCTGATAGCCCGTTGGCGCGGATTTGCTTTGGGAGGAGGAAGCGTTTGGCGATATGCATTTTCTCGTCGTAGGTGTATCCTTGGAAGGCGTGCGTTAGTTTTGATATGGTGGCGGTGGCGGTGGTAATGGTGGGTGGAAGCAGGGGGACTTACCTGATAGTTCAACCACCTCACATCGGTCGAGCAAAGGCGCAGATATCGTATCTAGAGTGTTGGACGTGCATATGAAAAGCACCTGACTGAGGTCTATAGGTACATTGATATAATGATCCTGCACCATCATTCGTTAGTCAAATCCACCGCAAAAAAAAAAGAAACGAACGTTGAAGGAATGGTTTTGTTCAGGATCGAGAACCTCAAGAAGGGCGGCAGCAGGATCGCCGTGGAAATTACTGTGTCCCACTTTATCCACTTCGTCCCTGTTCGTTGAACGTCAAAAACTATCCCTCGCCATGTGCAGAGAAGCTTACAATAAGATTACGGGATCATTTCTGCCAGCTTTGCGGAGAGCTTGGACGATAGAGCCTGGTCCGGATGCCACGTATGTTCTCCGGTGTCCACTGTTAATCAAATCGAACTAAGCTTTCGAGCAAAGATGAAATGAGAGGATACGGACCGGATCTCTGCTTCGTCCCGAACGCCGCCTAGTGATATCCGCTGGAATGGTCTTCTCAGAGCCTTTGCAATTGATTGTCCAAGAGATGTTTTTCCTGTTCCGGGGGGACCGACAAACCTGTGGACTATTCGACGGATATATGCATGATGTACAGATGGACCCACAAGAGTATTGGTCCCTTTACGCCCTTGTTCTTCGTTGGTGGGGTGGATACAGCGACAGGGGAAGCATCCGTTGCGGGATTATTCCCCTGAGTCTGAGCTGCATCTGCGATGGCGCGCAAACGCACGACTGCAAGATATTCCATGAGTCTGCGTTTTATCTGGTCGAGGCCGTAATGGTCTGCGTCCAGCTGTGCGCTAATAAAGAGTGAGAGGAGAACATAGTGTTCAGGCGCGACCTACCGTGCTCTGGTGAGGAAACTGTGGTCCTTGAAAACATCAAGAGGGGTAGTAGTGGTGTTTGATGGCCATGGCACGGACGTAAGCCATTCCAGCTGTACTACGCTGAGTAGAGGTCCTTGATACGGTGACTGGACTCACGTATGAGCGAATGACACCATTCTCGACGCTTCCCTGAGGAATCCTCTTCAACCTGCGCCACTCGCGGACGCCGACTTTGCGTTCCTCTGAACCAACGTCTAGGGCTTCAATCTTGCGGCGTAAATCAGCGAGGTCATCTGCATCTGCCTGGTCGTCGTCGTCCAACTCGCTTATAGCACCACCCGTACCGAAGCCGGGACCGGCAGTAGCAGGAGAGCTGTGTAAACTATGTAGCTCGCGTTGAATTGCTGCTAATTGTTGACGGAGAAAGTATTCCTTTTGTTGGCGGGAAAGGGACTCGTCTACAGCTGATGCGATCTTCTTTGAGACTTCTTGAATAGAAGACTGTTTGACGAAGAGTTCTGTAGCGCGACGGAGACGGTCCTCTACGTCCGCAGCAGCCAGGAATGCTAATACAAAAGTGTTAATAAATGCAGGTGAGAGAAACGAAAGCCACTGACCGAGTTTGTCTGGGTATTGGGGTGATACAGCGGCTACGAGGACGTCTGCCATCCAAGCCGCACGTTGTTCTGAAATATCCTCTACTATTGCAGCTACTCTTAGCCAGTCGTCCTTTCGTTGTTGCTGGAGAGAGTCCTTTGCAAGACGATCGAGGAGGATGAGAGCAGCGTCTTTGAATGATTCGACTGTGTCTCTTGAAGGCGTGCCTTCAGAAGAAGGATAGACGACATTGTGAATAGGAAGACACTCTAATTGGTCTATTTGAATTGGAGAAGGGAGACGAACGCGCGCGACGCCGTGGAGGGAAAGTAGATATTGCTGAGTAAGGTTTCTTGGTCTTACAAGACGCACTACTCTTGCAGCAGTTCCGTATGTAACTTCGGAAGGTGAGTCAGGAGCAGGAAGTGGTAATGCAGCGAGAACTGCATCAGAATCATCCAAGTGTGAGATAATAGCGTCGGCGAGCGAACGACTGATGGGAAGCGTAAGTCGAGCAGTTGGTAGTAGTATTAATGGATGAGGAAGTAGAAGAACTGGAAGTTTAGGTGACCCCATCACTGTCGTCGTCGTCGAGCTTGTTGTCTAATTAATAACGCCGTCGTCGTCGTCGTGTGCCGCTTATGACGGGGTTAGGCCGTGTCCACATCCACAATTCACGTGATTTATTAAAAGTCATGTGATCACGCGTTCAAAATGAACCAAGTGTTGTTCGAATTGAACCAAGAGAAGCTCGACGTCGTCGCCATCGATGTGGTCGAAAATAAGCAGCGCGCTCAAGCCGAACAAGGACGTCGACCAAGACCTACAAACAGATGTTCTATCAAGAGTCTATGAGCAACATCCAAACCTGTCCGTATTTCACGAACAACCATCTTCCAAGAAATTCGGTCTACCAAAGAAAGTCAGATCACATCTTCACTTGAGATCAAACAGTCAGTCTTTTCAATTCCATTGGTTCATATTCTGACCAGTTCAACAGGCTCGCAAGTGTCTCTCACTCGTGGTTCATCAGATACAGTTCGCGAATCAAGTCGTCCCTCCCTCGACCTAGGCAGCGTACGTTCCATTCTCCGCGATCCAAAGACACCAGGAACAGGCCAAAACGTCCGTTTCTTCTCTCGCGATGCATACAAACCCATCAGCCCAGACGCTTCAGCTTCGACATCCGAACCTTCGCCAATCACTTTCGCAGACCGGCTCGCACGCGTAGCTCGTCCATCTGCAATGGAGGTATTTGCAGAACAAGACACTTCCAATCTATTCAACTTGGGTCCTGGAATCGAAATCCCACCAATCCTAGACACAGCAATCGAATTACCTGAGGCATTCCCTCAATCTTCAACTCCCTTCAGAGCCATATCGGAAATCATCATCGACCCTTCATTCGCCATATCCCCCACAACCTCTACATTCTCAGATGAGATAAATATCCCCCCAACATCCCCTCCCCCTCCCATACGAAGCCGCTCCCGCGCACTCAGCGACACTGTCTTCCAAACAATGCTTAGAAAACACGCACCAGAAACTGAGATCAACGACACCTCAGGTCCTTCACTCGTACTCGCTCCAGAACCACCAGACCCATTCCGCGCAAATGCCACAACCTATTACACTCCAGGAACAATAATCCCGCCTACCCCTCCCCAACCAACCCACTCCCGCACAGCTTCCAAAGACGAAGACATCATATGGAACCTCCGTACCCAACTAGCGCTCTCACAAGAACTCTGCGCACAGTACGAGATTGATCTGGGAGCGAGAGACGAACTCGTTCAAGCTCTCACCCAACGCGCAGAAGTAGCCGAAAAGGAAAAAGAAAAGAGCAGAAATGTCTTGCGCAGCTGGAAAAAGAAAGCAAGTGAACTCGAGCGCATGTGTCGCACCCTCGAAGAAGAAGTCGATACCTCCAGACAAGAAAGCCTCGAGCGCAGCGTCATGGACGAAGCAAGCGGAGAAGCCCTCCGCATGCTCCATCGTCAAATATCACAGCTTGAGCGCGAAAAGGAGGCATTGCAGGACCACGCAGATACCGCTCACCTACGCGATCAGCTCCATGAGAAAGACGCAGAACTTGACAAACTACGTGAGGAGATAAAAGGCCGGGATGATGCAGAACGCGTCTTGCGTGATGGGATGCGCGAGGCTAAAGAGCAGATGGATCACCATTCTGCAAGGTCTTCAATGGCTGAGGAAGCTCTCGTCGTGGCAAGTGAGGAGGAACGAGTGAGGCATGAGACCATCGAACTCGCATGGGCAGAAGAACGGATGCGAATGGTCGATGCGCACAAGGCTCTCCAAGTGGACAAGAACGCCCTCTCCGACGCAGTCCAGCGCATGACTTCTGACCTGGAGCATATTCAATCAGAACACGCCAACGCCATCGAAATCGCGCACAATGACCTCGACGCAGCCCACCAAGAATCCGCTGAACTTCACAGCAATATCGAAGACCTCCAGAACGAAACCGAAGCCCTCAAAACCGACCTGGAAGCTCTCGAAACCAAGCTCCTGAACATGGAAGAAGAATGGAGTGTAGGCGAGAACCAGCGCGCCGACCTCGAATCAGAGCTCCTCCGAACCACTGAAGAGGTACGCCGTCCCGATCACTCGTTTCATTTACTTGCTAACACCTCCCAGCACGAAACCCACATCACATCGCTGACAGCCGAACTCACCTTTGCCCACGAAAACATCTCCCGCCTCGAAACCAATATCAAAGAGCGCGACGCCTCCATCTCAAACCTTACCACCACCCTCCTCTCACACACAGACGAAGCCGAATCCCTCCGCGAAGAACTCGCCACTCTCAAAGTCGAGCATTCTCGTGCTTTCTCTTCCCAGACGCGCGCCCTCCAAGATCTTCAAACGCAAGAAAAAGACTTGCGCACGCAGCTTGAAGTGGCGCTTCGGGAGCGGGCGGAGAGCGATATCATGCTGGTGAACAGCAAAGAGCGCGTGGGGTCGTTGATGGATGAAGTTGCGAGGTTGAGGAGGACAGTGCATGAGATGCAGCAGACGAGTGCTGCACGCGAGGTTACTATTGTGCAGTTGCGCAAGGAGCGAGAGAGGGATCGGGAGGATGTTAATGGGCTTAATATCGCTCTTGACTCGAAGCAGCAAGAACTTGAACTCGTGAGTCCCCCTTGATATTTTTGGTTTCATATCTCATGTGGGATGTACAGATCAAGAGGAAGATTTCCTTGAAAACTGCTTCTACACCGACGCCTGTTCCGAGCAGGGCTATAAGGCGCGAGTCGATGGCGGGAACGCCTTCTTTATCCTCGCGGCCTCCTTCATCCATGTCAGACGCATCGAAAGATGGGAAATCGGATACCCCTTCTTTAGCGCCCCGGGCGAGTCTCAGCGCTCTCACCCGTAGCGTCCGTATCAACGCCAACGCCCCAGGCAAAATGGGTCCTCCAGCTCCCAAGCCTCGTTCGTCTCTTGCAACTCCCACACCTCTCACCCGCGCATCCCTAACTTCATCTACATCCCGCGCACCGTCGTCGCTTGGCAAATCAGGCGCGACTCCGAGACCCAGTGGGCTTGGGCTAGGCGTGACGACGCGGAGGGTGTCGACGAGTTCTGTAGAATCGAACTTGAAGACGCCCATCGGTACTGGTGCGAGGAGGGTCAGTGTTAGTTCGAGCGTGCCTAGTGAAGTTGATGAGAAGGAGAACGCGAGTGCTGGTGGGTTAAAGAAGCCGAGGAGGGCTGTGCCTGCATAGACTCGCTGCGCCCCAACACACCCCCACCTCGTTTCAACACAACCCCGCAGAACTTAGACCTAGCCCCGCCCCTGCACACCAAATTAATCCCCCGCTCGCATATATTCATTCTCCCACTTGCTCGCTCGCTCTCGGACAAACCTGCTTACATATTTTCTCTTGAATCTTGGTACACCAAGTGATCTGACGTTTAACGTCGCAGTCATATTTAGATGATACCCTCCCTCACGCATCTGCACTGTTTCATGGTACTGCAGCATTATTGCATCGCGTTCTCATTGTACGCCCAGCCTCCTTTCCCTCTCATACCTTTATTTCCCTCTCTTATATTTCTTTGATCCCTGATTTATGGCGTTTGACTTATGATGGTTCTCTGATTTATCATTTATGGTGGCTGATTTCGTTCTTCTGTGATCTGTATGCTGTGTACTGTGTCTTGTTATTGCCTGGCTAGTTAGCTGTGTGTGCTTTGTAGTTGATATATATATGATGCATCGATGTTAGCGTTGAATTCAATGGGATCCAGGTGTACGATATGGATATCTGGAATCCTGGGTCAGACGATGCTGCAGTAGCCTATGTTCGGTTTTGTTTTGCTCCCAGTACCAGACGATGACTATCGAGTCATCTCATCGTAATCCTCAATAATGCATTAACAGCGTTCAATATCTGCTCCTAGGACGTAGAAGCGGGTAGTGAACGTTACCAATATGCTTCATACGAGTCCACGGCGTTGGACTTGAAGCTTGAAGTTGACTCGGAGTTGCAGCTTGCTAAGTCCATGGTGTGCACGTGACAGCATATCGTAGCCGGTGGACTCAGCTGGAGTCTGGATTCAGCCGGACCAAACGCACTTAAGAGAACTAATTTCGTTCACAAGCTGAATCAAAGTCCATCGTACTCGCTCACGAACGGACTTGTCACTCTCCAAGTTATTCCTCGCTGCCGGTCATCTCATGCCGCCATATGAAACCATATCTTCACTAAGACTCTCCGCGAGATGGCACGCGGGCTATGTTATGCAAACCCGTTGAATGGACACGGATCTTGATCGCATCATTATGCGTCCCTCAAGACCGTCCACTTGGCTCCCATAAGCACATCATGACAGGTACTTGCTTTTGGAATCATTACCTCCAAACGCTCGAACCCAGCCCCCACAACTTGAAAGCGCGTCCAAACTCTGACTTTCACAGGCAGTCAGGCGTTGCGATGCCAGTGTCCCGAAATCGCATCCGAGGCGGGTTGCATGACCGTCGTGGTGGAATATTGACTGTCCAGTGACTCCTGCATTCGCTCGTGATGGCTTTTCAATGCGGGGTCGTCGGGTCAACAACCCGCCCCAGGCACGGACACATGTGGTATGGATGTTTCACCGAATCTCTTACCTATAAAGTATCTTGAGGGTACCCGTTTGTCAATTGTCTAGCATCATTGTGATTCTGACGTCTGTCCTTCCTCTTGCTGTCTCTGCCTAGTAACCATGAACGGACTAATATCTATCCTTTATCTTGGTCTCGTAGGCCTCGCTTCTGCCCTTCCCTCGTCACTCGTTGCAAGGCAGGATGGACCCACTACCATCTCTTGCCTCTCGCTCAGAAACAGCTGTAACGCAACCACGGTCGATCTTAACAACTTTTACAACTACGCGTCATGTTTCCTCCTAACTACATGCTTACAAGGTGTTGAGAATCCTGCGCAAGTCCTCACTGAATCCCAAGCGCCTGCGACCCAACCACGGCTGACTGAATCTGTTCGAATCAGTCATATTTTTCGTGAACTTTGCTGATCTAGTGGTATTACAGGTTTTCTATGCCATGTCAAATGGGAATTCATACATGACGCAACAAAACTACATTGATGCGTATTATTACCAAATTTCCATTACTCCCGGCGGCACCTATCCTGATGAGTAAGTCTTTATACTGGGGCTTCGAGTTCTCAACTACATTATTTGCAGTGTCTCGTACATTATTGATCAATGGCTGACCATCGCTGCTTGGACCGGTTTCTGCGCCACTGAAAACATTCCTTATACAAACCTCGCCGTGTGTACTCATCGCTTCTGTGCGATTACATCTCTACTCACATATCTTCTAGGACTGGCTGGAATATTCATCTGTTCCTGGAGTGTGCCCCGCAGTCGCATCGTGTGATGCTACTGCAGCGGCGGCAACCATCCCATGTGTCCCTCAACCGATAACAGACAATGGGTCATGCGCCGAAATGGTCGCCCAATGTCAGTTTTGGGTGACCGGGGGCCTTTTCCAAAATGAATACTGCGTTCTGGCGAGTTTCTGCTACGCGTGGAGCAACACTGATGTCCTGCTGCAACATGAATACCCCTATTATATCTCCCCAACCCCGAAGACTAGTCAACAGGCAACGCTTTCCGAAGCGGTGTTTTATAATATGACGGGCGGAGCAGCATCGATGACTCAACAGAACGCAATTGATGCATACTACGCAGGCTTGGTGTGTTATTTCTCTGATTGTAGTGTCAATGACGAATTTTCATATCTACAGACCGGCACATGGACCTGGTACGGCGGACCTTTTGGCGCAGAGTCGGCCCAGAAAAGCACGAACAATGGGCCCTATCCTACCTCGTGAGTTATCCGAGATTTTCAGAGAACATGACTCTTAACATTGTTTTTAAGCGTTGACTATGTCATCGAGTTCTGGGCTATCATCAGCGCATGGACCGGTTTCTGCGATACACGCACTATCCCGTATTCCAACCTAGCAGATTATCTCTCCTATGCCGCCACTAGTGGTTATCATCCAACTTGTTAGGGGAGACAAAGCTCCTTGGTATCTTATACGGACTTTGTGATTCGTGGACACAACTATTTATTCGAATATTTTGATAACCTCTCTTTCCAGGTGGACATTGTATCGTGTCATTACATGACCTACGTTATGTTTGAATAATAAATGACATTCGCTCGCTCCCCTCGATCCGCTCGTATATACTCCTTCCACTTGCTCTCAGCCAAACCTGTTTTTCTTCTTCTTGATGTTACCATACTAATTTCATATCATGTAAAAGCAATGTAAATGTTGACGACAAGATGAAGATGAATTAATATTTTTGTCGTTCAGATACCGTACATGAAATCAGGCTGCCTGGAGCATTGCGGCAGTGATGCGGCAATTTATCTAATGCAGGCCCACTGACTAATGAAACGCTCCATTACACCAAGCCAAATGGTGTTCCCAATACAGGCGCTCCGAGTCCCATCTTGATGGCTCATTTATAAGAGATGAGAATGGCATGATGTCAGAGGATGTCAGCTGCGTGAAACTCGTTTTTACCTCTTGAACCCATTAATGCAGATGGAGTATTCGCCTGACGATATTGCAGCAGCGAGAAGTTTGCAGTTCTTTGCGGTGTGTCGCTTTCCTCTCGATACGAGGGCAGATAATAATGGACAATCCATCAGTTCACATCCAGTGCGTACTTACTGTCTAGACTTCTTCATTCGTGTTTCTAACGTGACAATTCAGCATCTATAGCTACATTCTGGGTGGGCTTTCCCCGATCTATTCCTGTCTAGTAACTGTTGAAGTCGCTTATCCAGACATATGAATATGCTTGTACACTTCATGAAGAGGTAATAAACTTGTATCGCGACACGCCTCGGTCTCGGCGTTAATAATATGCTGTTCATAGTGGACGTTCCTGCTTCGGTCGCGCTGCACCAAGGTAAAAGCCATTTATATCGTTACACGATATGTCCCCTTTCTACTTCTCACCACAAATCTATATCGTGCGTTCAGCTCCAGCATACATCGTCCTGATGATTAATTGACACGTTGTTCTTCAGTGAGCTTTATCCCGAACGAGAACCCAGATGTATGTGAACATGCGGTGAGCACTTACGGACAGATGAATGACACTTATTGCATGACTTTACCAGAAATGCCGTGTGTTGGTCAATATTTGCTCAGGTACGTGCATGGTACATCAATGTATGTACGTCCCTCTTTCCTCTCACAGGTTTCGGCACAATATCGGTCATTTGTTCCGAATGTACGTCCTCTGCAAGATATGTGTATTCTTGATCTGATTCATTCAGGCTTCTTCATTCTCAGAACATATGCGCTCTGGAACAAGAATAGAATCGTCCTCGCAGCCATGATATCCACGTTTCTCGTGAGTCCCCCGTGCGCTCACTACACCCAAGCTAGTTGTAGATGTATCAGCCAGACATTTATTGTAGTGTCCATGAGTCTTCAAGTTGTCTTCGCCACTACTGTCCCCGTAACATGTACGCCCTTTGACCTTACCCCTGTTTACTACCATTCAATACTCTGTACACTTTCACAGATGCGACTAGCGCGATCCCTGGCATCACAGGCTGCTACCAGAGCTCGAGTAGTTTCCAGCTCTTCATATCGTTTATTTTCCTTCCTGCGTTTCAACTCGGTGGGCCACCAAGAGCATATATATGTACAAACGCGCGTTGACAGACGCTCTCTCAAGGACTCATTACCCTCACACTCATACGCGCCATACAGAGCTGGCAGAGTACCCAAGGCCGGCATCTGTACATCGTCCTTCTGACACATAACATATTCTACTATGCATGTGGTCTCTGTGAGTCAACACACGCATGCTAGGCCGTTATTTCGTGTTCATTCGTGATAATTCTCCTTCCTCAAGTGTTCTCTGTGGCGAACATCCTCCCACCGCTGCTCCTCCATGTGCGTGAATCTCTGAAATGCTTCTTATGATCGAGCTATTCATTTTCTGCTCACCCAGTATGCATACTACTCCATTTTGCATAAGTACGCACCTCCACATTCTGCTGCGCATTCATACTGACTATAACCCAAACACACAGTTTCCAGTACATCATCCTTACGGTCCTTGCCACGCGCTTGCACCGTCATCTTTGGCAGATGGACCAGCGTGTTGTACACGGCTCTGACGTCGTGTCTATTCCAATGGCTGATATGTCATTTGCAGACTGTACGGTGTGACGTCTTATTCTGTGACTTATTCGTCGTCGTTTGTGGAGTGAGGTGTGGATTGAATTGGTGTGTGTGGGTCTAGTAGAGTTCGCAACGCGCTCAACTAGTAGGACTGTATTTTCTGTCGCGGGACATTCCCTTGGTCTATTCAATATACATTGGTGTTGAATCTCTATTGTAAGTGGTATGGCAGGTAGGTGGAACCCCTTGACAGACAATGGTGGAATATGTATACATAGATGAAACATCAATATTATGGGTAGTAGCGAAGATCTAGCACTATACTTCAATGAAAGAGCTAGATGCCCTGATTTGATGTACATGTGTTTGAGCACCAGAGCTCAATCAATTTGCATTCCAAGTCGAGTACATGAAATGACAATGAGAGCCAATCCACAAGAAGCTAAACTGATAGGTAGTTGAACCTACACATTATTATGATGCATCTGGCTCACGCGGGGTCTGATGCCAATCCAGGACTTTAAGCCGGTGCCTGATTTCCTTGGTTTTGATCCTCTTCCGAGCCTTCACCTCTGGCACGGCTGAACTCGTCACAAGGCTCATCTTCGTCACTTCCATCTTTATCCGGGACAGCATCGTCATAACGGTTGATTTTGTCATCTGTATAACAGTCAGAAATTAAAAAAGCTATCTTTCCGTGAAGCGGACATACGTGGTACCATATTGCATCCCTAAATCATCTTCTGTACTGTTACGTACTGTCAATAAATGAGTTACCTCAACACTTGTCGAAGGCTGGTGATACGGTAGTCGGTATGATGCAAGGGTCGATTTACAGAGAGTTCGATGCTGGACTAATCCGAGCTTGCGGCAGCCTGTGGCGCATCACCGTGATCGTCGTTATGCAGCTAGCATCGTGGTGATTATCGCTCGGTTTTTGAGCGAGGGACACCGCTAAGCTGAGTGACTGGTACATCTGAGGTGGGGTAGCAACGTGAACATTTATACAAGGGAGTTCAAGGACACGCACTCACCTGAGCATGCGGAAGTCTTCGCAAATAGTACATTGTTAATGGCAGCATCTTTAGACATGATGGGAGAGACTCTCATACTATGTTCCTTGCATAAGGTCGGAATCACTACTAGTATTCTTTGCACACAAGGTCGACTTCTCAAAGGGAATCTGTATGAAGAACCCATTTGGTGTACATCAGTCTCCTACTAGCCAACACACAAGGATAACAAACCTGTATATATGGAGTATACCCCGGGTACCATGTAGAGAACCGTCAACAGGGTGATCCACATTTCAAGACCGCTGGGTTTCAAACCCCGATCCATCTTTGAACCGAGCTTTCATTCAACAGACCAGCGCATGGACGGTAGGCCTTTTGCTCTGATCACCATTTCTTTGCTCAAGAGTATTTGTAGATTGTATCGCACTGTGCGCAATCCTACTAATAGAGTACGTATAGGGATTCCAACTTCAGAGTTGCTGGTAGGATATATATATCTCATTGGAAATTTCGAGTCTTATGGAGTACTTGCCTGCAAAGGTTCAAAGCATCAATCAGACCAACAAGTCTGCAATCTCGGAGACTCCTTGAAGCTTCTCATCCTCCCAAACACCCTCCGTCTCATTGGTGCCAGGCGTAGTTTCCGTGCTCGACTGGGGTTTCGTTGCCTCGTTCCTCTTCGCAAGAGCCTTGTGATAAACGCTTCTTGAGGCAATCAGCCCAAAAGCGCCCATCAGCATTGCGTATGCTCCAGCATAGAATGCATAGAACTTAATTTCGGGCTAGCGACGAGCGAGGTACAGGAAAACAATCCCCATACTGCAGCGAGTTTGCAATAGTCAGACGCTGCCTGCAAGAAAATACCACGAATCCCCATGGATGATACTGACCAAAGGGTTGCCGTGGTGCGGAGGCTACATATATCAAAAATCAATGAGTTAGCTCATTGATTATAGGTGACATACAGGTGAAATATAGCGCGTAGCGGCAACCGGATTAACTATTTGCATCTTGAGCGCGACGTGCAGCAACTTGAACTAAGTTGAAGGTGTAAAGCATGTAAAGGCTCGCTCTACGCCAGATGGTCGGAGTTCTATGTACCTGACTCATCCGAGATCATCGTGGGTTTTGCGCATTCCCATTCAAATCAACGGACCGTTGTCCTATCATTTATGTTTGAACACGCTGCTATGCTATAGTCGTTCTTACCTCCCCCTACCTTCATCAGTGCGTTTGAACATCATCATGTCAAACTTGCCCGAACCTCCTCCATCATTGAATGAGAAGCTGACGGCCAGGAAAGTGTTCCAAGTCATCGGCGCTGGTATCTTTCTCCTGTAAGCCCTCATATAATAGAAAGCAAAGGCGTCGTGTCAAACTGACCACTACTGCTTGGTAGCGCTCAGATCATCTATACTATCAGGTAACTGGTCGGTTTCTTGTTGACTATGATGATCTAGACATTGCGAGTCAGCATTGCAGTCATTTTTACCCATCTTGGCTCTACCATTCCAACACTGAAGCCATTTGCCGACTATGCGGCTTTCTATACACTCGGGGCAAGGACGGTCATTTTCGTAGCCGTGTTCTTTTTTGGATGCTGTTGGTGCATAGTTCGACTGGTGGCACCAAAGCGGGCGGGAAGCATTATCTCCGAGTGGAATGTTAAAGCACAAGCGCCCTTGAGCTTGGAGCCAAGCAACGAAAAACTTGGCAGGTCGTGGAGAATATAGTATGTACTGTACTGCGCTGGATAAGTTAATAACTGCAGGCTAACCAGTTCTGCTTTCCACTCACAGTTTCGGTGAGTTGTTCATGCTAAACCAAAGGAGCGACTGCCGACGTTCCTCCACTTCTAGCTAGCATGGGCGCATTCAACATCTGCAATGGATTGAGACTTATCTTCCGCTCATGGAAAAACCCCGATGCCAGCACGTCCGACTTGTTGACTGGAATTATGGTCCTCATTCTTGCCGCTTGGTCGTTCCACGTTGCCTACACAGGAAGGTTGCCAAGACACAGGGGCAAGAACATGACTTTGGGCACCCATGTCAGCCAGTCTGAAGCAGATAAGGTCACTCCAAGTGAATATAAAGACGACACAATCACGACTTAATGAGTTGAATATTGCATGCACGAGAAATTGAGGATATGACAACGTAGTGGCAAGTTGTCATCTCTCAAAGTTTCATTGTGTGGAATTGACAATTCCACCAGGAATGCTTTGATACGTACACATATCTCATATGGTCTCCAATCAGTACTCCTCTGTAATCGAGACGATACTATGTTATTTAACTTACCTCCACTATTCCATGAGTGAGCACCAACCGTGACCGAGAGGTCTTGATAGGTAAGCGAAGGACGCATGAGCGGATAAAACTCGAAGCAAAACTTTATTAAACTCATAAACGAACGTCTGGATATGCATCGGTCAGTGTTAATCTCCCCTAGTCAGGCCATATAGAAGGAAGACAGGACGTGCGCACTATATTCTCATTAGCGAGAGTCTGGCGGCCCGTTCACCGCTCCCGCGAAGAGACAACGACACGACCTTGAAGCCCTTGCGACCAAGACCTTGAACATAGAAGAAGAATGGAGCGCATGAGAAAACGGACGTCAAGCCAGAACATGTCCGAGGTTCAATTCGGCCGACGAGGACTCGGAGTTTTATGAATTCTTCTGCGCCTTTCAATGTTCATCGATTACCAAACCTATCTTAGCACGAACCCCGAATCAACGAATCATCCGGCTCGCCTTTGCACGCGAGAACGTCTCCCCCAGCATAGATATCACGCAGACGAATTCGAAGTCCTTCGCGAAAAATTCAAGTCATCCCAAAAGTCGACCCAGGGCCCAGGCCAATCTCGTTCTTCCTCATCAAAAACCGTGCACAGCTCCAGGATCAACAAAACCCTCGAACAAGACCTCTGCATGTAATTCAAAATCGCTCTTCGGAATCTTTGTGACTCAAAAATGATCCAAGACTGGCCCTTGGCAAGTTGTGAGTCATTTGTGAGTCCCACGATGCCATTTCTATAGTTTACATTTGTCAAGTCGAGAGATGTCGATGAACACTGCAAGCGGGCGAACCGCATCGAGATTCGAGAACTAGGCTTGTGACCAGCCTGGCTTACCAGGTGTAAGGCGGCCAGGGGAGATGATAGCGACGACGAATACCACGGACAAGTCGAGTGGGGAAGTTAACAATATCAAAGACGTAGTCCAGACTGGTTACGAGTCTGATCAAGAACGCTGCTACGATCAGCGCTAGTCCACATCAACGCGACGTTACGTCCCGCGCGCCCTCATCGCTTAGGAAATCCAACATGTTCCATAGTCTGTTGGAGGTCTAAGCTGGTAAAAGCCCCCGTGGGGTCTTCAACGCACCTGGAGTAGTGCTTAAACTCTCCTTATCCAAGCTTACGCGGTAGACTCCACGAGCTTGTCCGACGTCGACAGTCGCGCCCACGTTGGGTCTCGTCATCCTTTATTGCAGCCGACTCCAAGACCATACGCAAGTAACTCTGATTTCATTGTACACCTTCCAATAGCTTTAGCTTTACGTTCTACAAACCCTTTGATTTCTACAATATTTTATACAGGTTGACTTCTCAGATCTCAACCATCGCCAGAGCATAATTTAGAGTTTGGGAGCCTCGACGAAGGCAACACCCTGGAATATCGACATCTTTAGATGAGGTTGATTTGGATAAGACAAACACGGACCTTGTCGATGTTACTGGCGAGCTCAGGAAGAGCAGCCTGGACAAGCGCCTTCTCAGCAGCAGTGATCTTACCAAGACCACGGATCTTGGCGACACCATCAACCTGGGACATCATCAGTATCAAAGACGTTCAGCACCATTGTGTTGGCCTACACCAAGTTCGACCGGAGCAGAGAAATACTCCAGGTCCTTTCCAAGCTCCTTCTTGAGGGCGTCTCCACCCGTCTTGTCTGCAGCAAGGTTGACAAATGTCGGGGCGACGATTCCCTTTTCGCCTTTTACGGCACGGATAACTTTCCCGGCGAACTCAGCACCTGCGTAAGCCATGGAAAGAGTTGCTGAGCCAGCACCATCCTTGGCCTTGACAACCTCGTCTCCACCAAATTGGATGCGGTTGATGAGGGCATCAAAGGCGCTGGCGTCAAGGGATGATGGCAGAGGGTGGGAAGATTGAGAGAGCAGGGGAACAATCTAATGTCGTATTAGTCGGTCCTGAACTCAAGTATTCAAAGCACAACTGACGGTAACACCACTGTGGCCACCGACCACAGGAACTGAGACTGACGGTGATAACGAGCGATCACCAAGAATTTCAGAAACAAAAGTCGAAGCGCGAACGACATCGAGCGTTGTTACACCGAAAATCCTGATTAGGTCCTATTAGGGCCGGTCATGCTGTTCGTATCACGATCTTACCTCTTGGGATCAAAGACACCATGCTTCTTAAAGACCTCCGCGACGATAGGAACTGTGGAGTTAACAGGGTTGGAAATAACAAGGACGAAAGCCTTCGGGGCCGTAGTGGCAATGCCAGTAGCGAGGTCGCGGACAATACCAGCATTGATCTATGAGGGCATAAATGGTTAGAAGACCGATTATGGCTGAGTGAGCTAACCTTGAACAAATCATCACTACATGGCGCCATAAAAATCAGTAATGATACATAACGGCCCGAATAGCAACACCGACCGAGTCATCTAAGAAATCGCATGAGCCATCGTTTGATTTGACTGATATGCACTAGAACTCACGCCAGGCTTTCTGGGAATACCAGCGGGAATCACGACGACATTAGCGCCAGTCAGTGCTTTCTTGAGGCCGTCATCGGGAGGCAGGTATCCTTCGACTTTGGCAGGGGTGGCGATATGAGACAGGTCCACGGCCACACCAGGAGCGTTTACAATATCATAAAGAGCGAGCTGCATGAGATATGTCATTCTGCATCTGAGCTGGATGTATGCCGATCACTTTACCTCTGTCACAGCAGGGTTGGCCTTGAGAAGAAGCGATAACGGCTGGCCGATACCACCTATAGACGATTAAGAGGTCTGAACAATCGCAAAGACAATGAAGTAATACGATACCTGCAGCACCGAGAACGACAGCTTTCATGGTGTTTGGGAATGTGGGGAAAAGTGAACTGTGGAAGGGAGGTTCGAAGAGATATCGGAAGAGTAGATATTTAAGATTTATTTATCGGGCTATTTATGTATATATATGGCAATCTCATGCAATTCACAAGCGGGACCTGGCTCAAAAAGGATAATCAATTTGAAATGTACAGCCAATGTAAATCTCAGCTCTAATTATTGCGTGCTTGGGTCCACAGCAGCGTACTTGCAAGCAAAGCACTGGGTAAAGAACAAATTTCCTGCTCGCAAGTCCTCCCAGAATCGCTACAATTTCTCATCAGCTCCCCCGCATATGTGAAAGAGAGACCAGTAAGTGAAGTTGTTCACGCATCCAGTGAACTTGAGAATGAGGGGGCCGTGACCTTGTCGACTTCATGGGAATGACTTTATACCAGATTCAGCTTTACAATAACCCCCTTGCTATTATGCGGCGACCGGTGAATGAAGGCTTACAAGGACCGCAATCACAGGCTGGCTACGCTGAGAAACCCAAGAGCTCTAAAACTCGGTGAGATATACGATGCCTGAGAGGGTGAGATAGGTTTCATCACGAGGGCAGTAATTGATTCAGCCATTGGTCTTGGTGTGTTCACGCGACACTTTCACTTTCCTCCTTGCCTAGTGGCTGTAAGAAATACATTCCCATAGGACGTGGACTGACACCAAGTAAGATGCTGTCTATCATCTAAGTTGGTATAACAAAACTATAGAAAACACATCAACTCATCGAGATAATCACGATCGCAGCGCATCCATATCCGCATTATCCCTTAGAATTTGCGTCCCCTGTAAATGCGAAGCATCCCCATACTTCACAACCGTAGCCCTAATCCTCCGCTCCGAGTCCGATCCAGATCCAACCATGCTATATTCCACCACCGATAAACTAGCGTTCGGTATTTTTGGTGTAGATCCTAACAGATCTTCGGCGCACTCAAACACACCCGTCGCTATCATGGACTTCAAGAACGAACTTATAAGCCATCCATGCGACGTCACCAGGATGTTCCGGGTCCTTCCGTCAGGATTGTCCGCGAGTGAGGAGACGTAGGGAACAATCTCCCGGTCGTACCACCCAACGGATCGCCCCAGCATCGCTTCCTCAGGTTCAAGGGAAGGTTCACTTTTGTTTGCTGGTCCCTTGGTTCCTTGTAACTTCCCCATGAACTATGAGACGCCACATCAGAAGAGCCGCCAGGGAATAACAACACATGCTCACCCTCTCTCTCAGAGCTCGATCTTTCACCAAGACGACATCGGGATGATGCTGCAGAATTATCTCAGCCGTCTGCATCAACATAACATGAACGACCTTCTGACGATCAAGAAACCTTGAAATGCGCACCTTGGAAGCTCTTGACAGATCGCTCGTGAACGCTTTGTCGAATTGGATCGCCTTCAACGCTTCTCCAGTCGTAGCGGCCTGTGTTTCTCCTAGATCATTGAGCTTGGAATCAGCTTGTCCTTGGATGATTCTCGCGCGGTTCCACTCGGTCTCCCCGTGTCGAATCACATATAAACGAGCGATCACCGTCATGAGTACCCTAGAAAGTATGAAGATCCTTCAGTTGAAATCGGGAAAATGAAGGGAGGTCTCACCAGAAAAAGTACAGATATACACACCAAGGAAGGGAGAAACAACGCAGAATGGACACAGATACCGCAATAGTCTCGGAGTCATTCTATCAGCTGATCGATAATCACACCTGCAAAAATTGAGGTATATAATTCGATATAAGCCTGACGGGCCTACCTGGACCTGCTATCCCCAGTCTCATCGCGGGTGGTGCCATGTCTAGACGTTCTTCGGCAAACTTTCACTGATCATTTCTTGTGCAACCCCAACGATGCCTACGAATTCAAAAGTGAACAACTCTGCGAAGTAATGACAATATCTTTCGCACGTGACTTGTACCGCCTCGCCGCTCAACCTGGAGTATAAGCGAGACAGTAAATTGGAAAAAAATACAATAATTACAACATTACTAGGTACTTCCTCTTAACTCACAGTCGAGTCTTCTTACGATTTCCTGCCTAAAGCTCATCACCAGCGCTCTTCACCTTCTCCCCACCCCATTTGATGCTTTCGCTGGCACCTTTTACTTTGTCGTCGAATCCCTGCTCCTGTGCCTTCCTCTTGGCACACTCGGCATAATCGTTACCCTTGCCTTTCGCTTCATCGCCCTTCTGAGAGCACCAATGCCACGCGCTACATTTCTTATCGTCCACGTAAGTTCGCGCATCGTGCGATTGACCGCTCAGGAGCTAATGAAAAGTTAGTTCGAGCGGAAAAGCAGGTGCACATAAACCAACCTCGAGTATTCTGGCCAGCCTGTCCTCCACCGCGCCTACGCTGCTGTTGACGATCTCCTTCAGTTTCGTGAACATTGTCTCAGCACGGTTTGATGCCTGGACCCAGCGAATGCGAGTCTCCTCTGCGATAGGTGAACATCGAATGTCGTAAATGAGGATATGATACGTACGCAATAACCCAGGCCTATCCGTGGGGAGTGCGGCTTCGCTGATACCACGTTCACGAAGATAAGCGCGTAAGCGAGCGTCCGGCCACACGAGATATGCAGCAGTGCGCGCAGAAACGTCGTTATAACTGAATACAATGTTAGGGTATTTCGAAGGGCGTCGGGAAAATGGTGCGCACTGTTTGTCGATCAAGCTCACCAGCTCGTCGCGCTTTTTCTGCGCAGCAGTTCTATCATCAATATGTCCATGCTCAGAGAGCCATTGACGAATTTCTGAATCTTTCCAAGCGTTCCATACGCTATCGGAGGCAGAGGCGTAGTTATCCCTGTAAAGCGATGAAGAGCTAGCAAAAGTTGAAGGAGGCTACTCACTCAACCATCTTCAACAGTTCATCACGCTTCTTCGGTGCGTCACTCTGGAGAAGGCCGTGCTTGACGAGCCAAGACTTCAATTCACTATCTGACCAGGCACTCCAAACCTTGTCGGGTGAAGAGTAATAGTACTTTTTCATCTCTTCGAGCAAGGTGGAGCGGGATGCAGTATCAGAAGGGGAAAGTAGATTGTGCGACACCAGCCATTCGCGCTTGAAACATGTCAAGAAAATCCCCGACGCTGAAACAAGTAGGTACATACCATATACGAGTCGCTCCAGGCGTTCCATACCGGCTCTGTAGCTGTGCGGTAGTAGTCGTTGGCAAGTTTCATGAGCTCAGTGCGGGTGCTGGCTTTTCTAGCCTCAAGTACTCCGTGATCTTCGAGCCAAGATCTGAGGCGGTTATCATCCCAAGTTGAGTAGACATAATCCTTGCTGTCGTCGAAAGCACGAGTGACTTCCTGGGTAGCCTGAGCTACGAGGCTGCTCGCGCTTTGAGAGGCTTGATATAATGTATCAGTTGCATCGGAGTATGCTGAAGTGACAGTATCGGATGCAAGGGAAGAGTAGTATGATGCGGCGTCGGTATAAGAGCGATACTTTTGTTTAGCAAGCAAAACAAGCTGCTCGCGGGGTCCAGAAGGGGCTACCACGCCATGTTCGAGTAGAAAAGCTCTCAACTTGCTCTCGTCCCATGTGTCGAAGGAATTATCCTTCAAGTTCTGGAAGGATTGCTGTGCACGAGTGAATTTGTCGTAGTTCCATTGCCTGCTTGCGTCGGCATAGAGACGAGACTGTTCTGCAAAAGATGGAGGTGGAGGTGGAGGTGGAGGGGAAGCCCAGTTTGCTGCTACGAGATCATGAAGGTGAGATTGATCAAAATGAGAAGGGACGTTGATGTTGTGGCCTTCAAGCCAGGAGCGTAACTCTGAATGAGACCATTTAGCGTATTCAGGTTCAGAGCCAAACCAGGTCGACGCGTTTGCCGAACCGATGAGTAAAATGAGATAGATTGAAGATCTGAATCGCATGATTTAGTTGAAGGAGAAGGTGAGGAAGAATAGCACAAGGGTAGAACGCACTTATAGGAGGACTAAGAGTTGTGACGTCAGTAATACCAAGTTCATGACGCCATCATGCACCACAACGCTCCAGAGCTTCTTTACGATCAAAAAGGAAATTTATGCAATCTACTGACTGCCCTTCTTTATTGACGCCCTTCCTACGTAAGCAAGATAGAACGAATAAGCCGCACCAAGGAGCACAATAACACCCAACACAAACTGGAACCTATCAAACTCGGATTCTTCAAATGAGCGGAAAACACAAGTGAATCCGTTGAAAGTATTCAGTACGCCTGTCGTGGCTGCAATCCGAAAAACATCAGCAGTCGCTCCTTCGGTCTAGCATGAACAACTCGCCATAACTGACAGAACTAGTCAGTATCACAAATCATTCAATGCAGGACAATGCGTACAATATTCTTCCACCCTTGCTTGGTTGCAAGGTTTTTGTTAATTTCGAACCCCACTCTCCAATGTTGCCTCCGGCTTGTTTTGGTGCCACCAATCGAAGACAGCACCAATAGCATCCAACGAGGAACACCACCACGTGAAAGAAGGTCCTCGCCCCAAGCGTGTAGAAGCCAACATAGCCAGCATATGGCCTCAACGCTGGAATGGTAGAGCTAAAATAGATGAAAATGACTGCAATGCTGACTCGCAATGTCTAGATCATCGTAGTGAACAAGAAATTGACAATTCACCAGATACTATCGATGATACTGGCACTGTCAACGGTCAATAACACGTTTCCTTTCTACAATATGATGGCTTACAGTAGATATATCCCTGCGCTAATGGTTCGAAACGCTTTCATGACCGTCAGATTCTCAGCCACCGATGGAGGTGACTCGGGCAAATGTGACATGATACTGTTCGAACTCAAATGAAGGTGAAAAATTGATGCTATAATTAGGACCAAGTGATGTACTTATATAACTCGCACAGGTGCCGCACGACAACAGGTTCAGGCACAATGAAGAATATAAGTATATTGTTCCCGAGCCCGTGCCTACTTTGTCTCGTCCCGTCTCAAATATCCGTATCCTCACATTTGCTGCACTTCACGTTCAAGATGCCAACCGTAAATCCAGTGGTCGCCACCATACTTCACCTGTATGTCCTCTATACTCAATGAGCCAACTCTATAGACGAGCTGAATTCTGATGCATGCAGCCTCCAAACCGCGGCAACGCTTTGGTCAGTATCATCCATGGGGATTCGCGACATTTTCTCGCAGTAGCGTCTGACTATTGCAAACTCCCTGCAGCATGGGGATCGTTTTCCTATACCTCGCTCGTCGCGAGCCCGAAATCAAGTTCTACGCATTCTATGCTGGAGCATACTCAACCGTGATGGGTGCTGTTGCGCTGATTCGCTCAAGAAGCGTTTATCGCAAGGCTCTTGCAAAGAAGAACGAGGCTACCCAGTCGAGCGCGGATACTGCGCCTGAATCCACTGGAACGGAGGGCGTTTGGGAAGATGAGAAGCTTCAAGGAGTTCCCAAGACCACAGACTTATTGGTCTAATCAACGCTTTTCAAGCACCAAGCAGGTACCTCATATATTGTAGTGCAGGACTCAATTTACGTAGCTCCAAAGTTCTCTTCAATCCCACAACCATTGTATTGGTTTCAACCACGAGTTTCGTACGACATTATCGCTCGCTGCTCAAGATGCGATTTTGCAATCTCCCGACGGACTTTACGAGCGCCTCTGCTATGCTTCTTCCTTTACTGCTTTCTCCAAATAAGACAGCCATCGCTGTCACGCCTTTGAAATGTCTGCAGTCCTTGTGAATCACAGGTCAGGAGTCCGAGCAGTACAGCATTCCTTCGATTGCCACTAATCACGATACTCCACACGACAAGACTCTCCGGAATGTATGCATACTGTAGCAAGATATTAAACACTTGCGGTATCCCCGAGGCAGTTCGTCGTGTGTTCAAGTTTTGGCACTTCCACTCCAGCATTTTCTTCTCTTCCCTTTGACAATGGGGAACTTTCTATCTATGAGCCCTTACAGATCCATTTGAGAAGTAACTTTAAGCATCGCCGGGGAGCAGTAAGTGATATTAGCACATACCCAGAATGCATATGCGCTGATCATGACGAATGATACCTGGACGTTCGTTCATATGTTAGTTCATCCCAAACATATCTTGAGACAATCAATGCCTTGGCGAATCCGTGGCACCAAACGTTCATTTGGGACGATTCAGGTCCAGCTACGAGTTGCCACCCAAAGAACATTTTCTCCAAGTTTTGTCTACTCCAATCTGGGATTCTATCGGGATATTCAACCCTATATGCAACGATTCAGCGGGAGACGCTGACATATCACCATACTGCCCTATCTACTGCTTCCCGTATAACAACCACCTCACTGAGTTGTGGTATATTCGCCTGCTGGAGTAACCTCAACCAGCTGAGCACTCTCATCATTGCCCGCAGTCATGTTCTCGCCTCCGTCGCCCTTCTTTTTTGGCACCGGTACCCTTCCTACATAGGCAAAGTAGATCGAACGAGCGGCAGTAAGGAGCATAATAAAACCCATAACAAACTGGAACTTGTTTAAAAACTCGGGTTGTTTCCAGGTGCGGAAAATATAACCCAATCCATTAATGGTATTCAGTACGCCCAAGAAGGCTGCAATCGGAAGAACATCAGCAGTCGCTCCTTCGGTTTAGCATCAACAACTCGCCATAACTGTAAGTCGCGCACAGAACTAGTCAGTCTCACAAAATTTTTAATGCAGGACAATGCGTACTATCTTCTTCCCGCCTTGCTTAGCTTTCCGTCCTTTGGACTCGTGGTTTCTTGTACTTTCACATACCACTTCTTAATGCTGCTTCCGCCCTGTTTTGGTGCTACCAGTCGAAGACAGCACCAATAGCATCCAGCAAGGAACGCCCCCACGAGAAAGATGGTCCTCGCCCCGAGCGTGTAGAAAGCAACATAGCTGGCATATGGCCTCAGCGCTGGAATGGTAGACCCAACATAGATGAAAATGGCTGCAATGCTGACTCGCAGTCTTTAGATCATTAGTTAAGAAGAAATTGACAATTCAATTCACCAGATACTATTGATGATACCAGCACTGTCAAGGGGTGGTGGTCAGTTTCATATCACACGTTTCCTTTCTACAATATGATTGCTCACAACAGAAAAATCCCTGCGCCGATGGCTCGGAGTACTTTCCTGGCCGTCAGCTTCTCAGTCAACAATGGAGAAGACTCGGGCAAATTTGACATGATACTGTTCAACCGCACTGGTGAAGGTGAAAAATGATGCTAGGATCGGACCATGTGGTGTACTTATAACCCATGCAGGAGACACATGCCGCACGGCATTAAGGGCAGCGCCTGATGGTGGTTGTGATGCTATTTTGGTCATCTCCGCCAAACGACGGTATAGCTTCAGGCCACAGGCCTCAGGCACAATAAAGAATAGATGAATAAGACACTGTTCCCGTGTCTGCATTGCCAGGCAGTGCCTCGTACCGTCTCAAATAAAACAAATATCCGTATCCTCACCTTGCTGCACTTCACGCTCAAGATGCAAACTGTAAATCCAGTGGTCGCCACCATACTTCACCTGTATGTCCCCTATACTCAATGAGCTAACTCTATAGACGAGCTAAATCTCGACGCATGTAGCCTCCGCACCGCGGCAACGCTTTGGTCAGTATCATCCATGGGGATTCGTGATATTTTCTTGCAGTAGCGTCTGACTATTGCAAAATCGCTGCAGCACGGGGATTGTTTTCCTATACCTCGCTCGTCGTGAGCCCGAAATCAAGTTCTACGCATTCTATGCTGGAGCATACGCAATCGTGATGGGTGCTTTTGGGCTGATTGGCTCAAGAAGCGTTTTTCGCAAGGCTCTTGCGAAGAAGAACGAGGCAACGAAACCCCAGTCGAGTGCGGATACTGCACCTGAAACCACTGGAACGGAGGGCGTTTGGGAAGATGAGAAGCTTCAAGAAGTTCCCAAGACCGCAGACTTGTTGGTCTGATCAATGCCTTTCAAGTACCAAGCAGGTACCTCATACATTGTAGTGCGGAACTCAATTTTCCTCCAAGATATGTAGCTCTAAAGTTCTCTTGCCTCGCACAATCAATCGTCCACCAATGTATTGGTCCATGTTAATTTCCAATGTTTCATCCACGAGTTTCATACGACACTTATCGCTCGCTGCTCAAAATGCGATTCTGCAATCTCCCGACGGACTTTACGAGTGCCCTTCCTATGATTCTTCCCTTTACTACATTCTCCCAACAAGACAGACATCGCTGTGACATATTTGGAGTTTCTGCAGCAAAATCACGTACGCTGAAGATACAATGTTATCACTCTTTCAAAACGTTGAATATGTCCTTGTAAATCACAGGTTCAGGAGTCCGAGCGGTAGAGCATTCCTTCGTTCGCCATTAATAACGATACTCCACACGACAAGACCCTCTGGCCAGAATGTATGTATACTGTAGCAAGATATTAATACCTCAACACTTGCCGTTTCCCTGAGGCAGTTCGTCGTGTGTTCAAGTTTCGGCACGTCCACTCCAGCATATTGGCGGAACATGATAAAACGGTATTGGACGAATTCCGAAAGTCAAATGGCCTTAACAGCTCAGTGTGTAATGATGACTTCAGGCGCATCGACTGTGACTATTCCTGGCATTTCATTCGATTGATAGCCAGCATGCTTATGTCTCTTTGAGAGGCATACAATACTTTGTGTTCGCAAAGTAAGCGTAGACGTCCGTGAATATATCGGCTGTATTTTCCATCGAGCGAACATAGTGAAGCTTCAATTGTCATCGAGCGACGCGTTCGTGAATTGAGTGGTAAGCCAGTGCATGGTAAGACAACCAGCACCTGCTTAATTTCAAACTCATTGCTTCGCCCTGCCCTGCCACTCCGAGTTCGAAGCTACACCACTCGAGCATCCGTGGTAGTATGCCCCAGGCTGGTCACGAGCCTAGGTTCCGCCGCGTAGATGGCCAAAATAGCATTCACATGAGCATCGGGGGGCCGCTTCCTAATACCATGCGGTATGTATCTCCTGTGTAGTTATAAGTATATCACTCGGTCCCGATCGTAGCATCATTTCTCACCAGTGCACTTGAAGAGTATGATGTGACTCATTGTTATTGTTGTCAAACTTACCCGAGCCTCCTCCATCCTTGACTGAGAAGCTGACAGCCTGGAAAATGTTTCGAGCCATCGGTGCTGGCATCTTTCTCCTGTAAGTAATCAGATCGTAGAAAGGAAACGAAAGTGACCGCCACTGCTTGACAGTGCTGATATCATCAATACTATCTGGTGAATTGTCAATTTCTTCTTCACTACAATGATCTAGACAGCGCGAGTCAGTATCACAGTCATTTTCATCCATATTGGCTCTACTATTCCAGCGCTGAGGCCATATGCCGGCTATGTTGCTTACTACACCCTCGGGATGAGGACCGTCATTCTCGTGAGCATGTTCCTTACTGGATGCTATGGGTGCTGACTTCGACGACTGGTGGCACCGAAAGGTCGGAAGCAGCATTTACAGGTGGGGTTTGAGAGTGCAAGAAACTTTTAGTTCAGAGAGCGGAAAACTAGGCAAGGCGGGAAGAACATCGTACGCATGATCCTGCATTGACAATTTAGTGCATGTTAGACTGACTAGAACTGTTTGCGACTTACAGTTTCGGCGAGTTGCTCATGCTAAACTGAAAGAGCGACTACTGACGCGGACGTTCCGGTTGCAGCCACCATAGGCATACTAAACATCTTCCATGCATGGAATTTTTTCTTTGGCTTACCCAAAACATCCAAGTACCATTTTATGAATGGTGTTATTTCCCTCGGCTTTGCCGCTTGGTCAATCCACACGGCCTACGTAGGAAGGTTGCCAAGAAAGAAGGGCACCAGACGCGACTGTGTGCAATGATGACAGCCAGCCCGAATTGGATGAGGTTAGCCCAGCAGGCGACAACTCAGTGAAGTGGTTGTTATAAGGGAAGCAGTAGGGTGGTACGGTGATGCGCCAGCTTCTCCCAATGAATCATCGCATAGGATTGAATATTCCAATAGAACTGCGTCGAAGAAGCGTTAGTTTCTGTCACGCGTGTGTAAAAATGTTCGCTATTGACAGTACTTTCAACCCTTTCTCCTGACTCAGTGAGCTGTTTGCTAGCTACTAGGTGCACGTTCTTGTTGTTCTAGATCGCAGGAAGAAACCTAGCAACAGGCGAGAGTGACAATGAGGATGAGCCTTGAATTTTTTGAGTAGAGAAAAGTTTAATAATTGCTTTCAGAACAGAACAAGCTTAACTTAAGCTTCAACTTGGGTCCAACGTTGCGTGTCGCGTTAACCGACGCACTTCTTGCTTACATAATGCCACACTTTCTGTTCCCCAAATATTGTTCTGTGGCTTCCATGGCTGAACCAAACCACTTTCTGGTGATGAGATCCCTATTTCGTCTGGCCGTACAATCATGGCGGTGCTCATCACGTCGGCCTGAGTCCAGTCAGAAAGAGCTCGCCATTGAGCGAAACGAAATGTAATTGCGGTCAGGATATGTATCGAACAATTACTCGCAGCGTGAACACTTATCTCTTGCGGCATTCCAGCATGTGTCCAACCTCAGCGAAGCTATTCTGCAAACTGAATGATGAATAGGTGGCGTTCACAGGCAGGAGTCTAAAGGCGTCTTATGCGCGCCTGTGGGGGTCGAGACTCAAATGCATGCCCAACCGACTGCGGACGCATGAGTGGGTTGGGTATGTATTTCCATTCCTTCCCTTGGGGAACTTACTATATATGAGCTCTTACAGATCCATTTGAGATGTAACTTTTAGCATCGCCGGGGAGCAGTGAGTGATATTAGCACATCCCCAGAATGCATATGCGCTGACGAATGATACCTGGACGTTCGTTCATATGTTAGTTCATCCCAAACGAATCTTGGGACAATCAATGCCTTGGTGAATCCGTGGCACCAAACGTTCATTTGGGACGATTCAGGTCCAGCTTGGAGTTGCCACCCAAAGAACATTTTCTCCAAGTTTTGTCTACTCCAATCTGGGGAAGATATATCATCTCGATTATGGAGGAGTAGCGATTGGGGGCTGCGTTGATTTATGCGCGTATCAAAGTATTCTATTGGGATATTCAACCCTATATGCAACGATTCAGTTGGAGACGCTGACATATCACCATACTGCCCTATCTACTGCTTCCCGATAATAACCACCTCACTGAGTTGTGGTATATTCGCCTGCTGGAGTAACCTCATCCGAATATTTGGGCTGACTGACATTATTGCCCACAGTCATATTCTTGCCTCCGGTGCCCTTCTTTCTTGGCACCCTTCCTACGTAGGCAATGTAGCTCGACTGAGCGCCACAAAAGAGCAAAATAACACCCATAACAAACTGGTACCTGCTAAACTCGGGTTCTTTCCATGAGTAGAAGACACTTCTCAATCCACTGAAGGTATTCAGTATGCCCATGGCGACTGGAATCGAAAGAACATCAGCACAGTCGCTCGTTTGGTTTAGCGTGAACAACTCGCCAAAACTGTAAGTCGCGCACAGAACTAGTCAGTCTCACAAATTTTCAATGCAGGACAATGCGTACTATCTTCTTGCCGCCTTGCTCAGTTTTCCATCGCTTGGACACAAGGTTTTTTCAAATTTCAAACGCCACTCTTTAAGGCTGCTTCCGGCTTGTTTTGGTGCCACTAGTCGAAGACAGCACCAGTAGCATCCAATGGAGAACACGCCCAAGAGAGTGATGGTCCTTGCCCCAAGGGTGTAGAAACCAACATAGCCAGCATATGGCCTCAGCGCTGGAATTGTAAAGCCAATATAAATGAAAATGGCTGCAATGCTGACTCGCAATGTCTAGATCATCGTTATGAAGAAGAAATTGACAATTCACCAGATACTATTGATAAGACTAGCACTGTCAAGGGGTGGTGGTCAGTCATTTTCCTTTCTACGTTCTAATTGCTTACAGGACAATGATCCCAACGCCGATGGCTCGAAACACTTTCCTAGCCGTCAGTTTCTCAGTTGACGATGGGGGAGGCTGGGGCAAATTTGACATGATACTGTTCAACCGCACTGGTGAAGGTGAAAAATGGATGCTAGGATCGAGACTGAGTGATGTACTTATAAACCAAACAAGAGATACATGCCCCACAGCGTTGGGCGGTGGCCCGCTGATGTTGTTGGCGATGCTATTTTGGTCATCTAATCTCAGGCTGCGGAACCCACAATGTCATACTATGTTCAGGTACAACGCAGAATGAGTAAACAAGATACCGACAAGAGTCACAAGATATTGTTCCAGTAGCTGCGTTTCCAGGCAGTGCCTCATCTCGTCTGACATATATATTCTCACCTTAGGTCCTTGCTGCACTTCACGCTCAAGATGCAAACCGTAAATCCAGTGGTCGCCACCATACTTCACCTGTATGTCCTCTATACACAATGAGCTAACTCTATAGACGAGCTAAACCTTGACGCATGTAGCCTCCGCACCGCGGCAACGCTTTGGTTAGTATCATCCATAGGGATTCGCGATATTCGCTTGCAGTAGCGTCTGACTATTACAAACTCGCTGCAGCATGGGGATTGTTTTCCTGTACCTCGCTCGTCGCGAGCCCGAAATCAAGTTCTACGCATTCTATGCTGGAACATACGCAATCGTAATGGGTGCTTTGGGGCTGATTACCTCAAGAAGGGTTTATCGCAAGGCTCTTGCGAAGAAGAATGAGGCAACGAAATCCCAGTCTAGCGCGGATACTGCGCCTGAAACCACTGGAACGGAGGGCGTTTGGGAAGATGAGAAGCTTCAAGAAGTCCCCAAGACCGCAGACTTGTTGGTCTGATCAATGCCTTTCAAGCACCAAGCACTGGCAAGCAGGTACTCTCCATATGTTGTAGTGCAAGACTCGATTTTCTTACAAAATATCCTGCCATTTTGTAGCCCCGAAGTTTTCTTACATTGCACAATTAATCGTCCTGCAATGTATTGGGTGCGGCTGGACATCAAACGAGTCACGTTAAACGGCACTTTCGTGCTATGGCTTGGGAGTGAGTTCGAGTTTAGAGTATCAGTCTCCCATGCTGTCACCGCAACAACAGGTGACCGTGCCGAAGTCGACGGGCGAGTATTCCTTGTGGTCTATCCCCGCAAGTGCGGAAAGAGATTTACAGGCTCCGGATTAGACGCCATCCTCGAAGTTCGAGAACTCGATTTTCCCTAACAAGCTGGCTGATAGCTAGTAACTGGAGACAGCATAGGTGAAACAATGCACAACGCGAGACTCCGGGTGTGTATGGCAACCAGTCCATGCAAAATCACGCTTATAAAATGAAATGATGTCCGAGTCAAAGCCGTGTTGTCTGGAGACAACTCGCGAGGCAGGACAAGGCCATGGCATTATGGTTGCTTTTCTGGGCCGGTTCTGCGCCAAAAGGACCACCTACCTGTCTGTCAATATGGAAGTGTCAGTCTAGGGCTCATATGGCAGGCCGAGTACCCGGGGTTCGAGCGTTCATGCACATGCCTCAGATGGTAAAGATTCCTGGAAAATATAATCAGAATAGGTCAATATTAGAGTGCGGATAATCTGCGTCCAATCAAGACCTAGACGTCGACAAGAGCGCGCCTTCTTACCGAGTTTGCATTTTGCACGGGAAAGGATAGCGAGTCACATCAAGCAAAGTCTGCAATGTTATGCGACATGCCGTACGTACCCACGCACTTGCTATCGAGTCATTCAAGTTTCTACGTACTAAGAAGTATGCTTCATAAACTTTTGTCCAGATTGCAGACGTAAAATTTGCACGCATCAAGGCTCGATGCTTGACTCCCGCGCTCATCTTCCCTCTAACAGCTTTCCCGCGGGAAACAATCATCTGTTGCTCGCTCACCAACTGATTCATATCCTTCTGGTCCTACTCGGCCCATCAGACGTCACCTCTTTATCCCTGTTCTCGAATTTTTCATCCCAATGGAGTTGTAGACAAGGTTTACTGTCATCATATCGAGAACTTGCAGCTGCACTCCGGGTGCTAACTTTCCATATGATGTGGACCCTGTCCCATGAAAGCCAACCGAGTCATCGAAGCGCCTCTAGAATTTACCATGTTACAAGGCGTGTTTGGAAGCTTTCGTAGCATCTCAATAAGCAGCCATTGTTTCATCGCCCTTTCGATGGCATGCGTACCCATCATACCATCTTGCCTTTGCCTTCGCCTTCGACTCGCACCCGAGTTCCATTTACCAATCCTGTGGCTTGCATCCGATCCTTTGACAGTGAATCAGCTCCACTAGTTATACCTAAGGTTGGCTCTTCGGTTGCAATTAAGCAGTTTTCATAACAGGTGCTTAGTTTTTATGGACAGCTGTCGCCGACATAGGCAAGGTCAAGTTCCATCAAACGCGATAAGCCTCGCTCGAACGAGATCCGAACCATGGCGTCCGTGTCATGCCATGAGGATTCACGAGATAAGTACTGAAGCCCTGCAATGTTTGCGCGGATAACGTCACCGATCATCGCTCGCTCCGGAGGAGCTTGCGAGCGAACTCCTGGCTTTTGAATGGTGGCACTTTCCGAGCGCTCGCGGTCAGGACGTCACCGGGTTGTGCACCCACAGCACTCCGGTGCTTTGTTATGAGCGGGTCCCTGAATGGTGACCCTTTTCTGAGGCGCTTAGGATGACCTAAATTTGATTCAAACGTGAAGATTTCGTTAGCTCCACACTCCTCCGACTTCCTGCCAGTCCTCATTTTTCTCATGTCATTCCCTCCCCCTCCTATGCGAATTAGCCAGCTCCGACGTCATTTGATTGTTCGATAATTTTCACCGGGATATGTCCAGTACACCCTGGCGACAGAAGATTGATTGTGATGTAAGTGATCCGACTCTCCCTTAGCCCGACTGTATAGAAGGAAGGTGGTCATGCTTGAATCGATCATGGTTCCGCCTGTGTATCAGCAGTCATGAGGAGAAAATGCGTGATTTGCTATTGTCGTACTCTGCATCCTCTCTCACGTCAATTTGGCACATGCCCACCTTGCCAACAACAAGATGCAAACGGCAAGATTCTGTAACTCTGCATCAAATCAGAATTTCCTGTGGATAAGACACGGTCCTCTGCCATAGTGACATTTCAGGGAACTGGAATCTGGAGGATCGGCTCCTCCCGTTACTGGATGAGCCCCCATCGTAAATGATCGGTACGAATTCCGGCGGCAGCATCTTTCGGTAACAGGATGGACTATGATTGCCTTGGTCACTGAACCCCTTTAATTCGCAATTGTGCTAGATCATGTTTCAGACGCACACCGCAACATGTATGAAATAGGTTTGGCTGGAATTATTAGTGCTATACATTGGCCCCCATCTCGGCGTCCTGATGAGCGGATATCATGACGTGCACATTCGACAAACACGGATCAAAGTACCTGTATCTTAGTATGTGGCTGTAGGCGTCCCTCTTGAGTGCATAATCTGAGAACTACTATTTTGGATGTCTAGTTGGTTGTGATAGGGCATCCTCGCCGAGGTGTACCGAAAGGGGTCACAACAGGACACAATCAACTGCATCCATCTGGATACTCGGCTATATCATGATCTTATCTTGGCGGTAGAACGGGGAGTACAGCGAGAATAAGTTACTTCTTCAGGTGATACATCAGCGAATCAAAATACTGGCACCTCGATGCACGTAAACCAGGTACCGAACGGTACTGACCTGATATTGATATTCTAGAAAATAGTTGGAGCCGTGACGTGGGAGGTCATAGGAGGCCATCCGTCAACCCCATGGGCATCTTCAAGAAGCTGGAAGGCCAGTTCTCGCATATCACCGAGTGGACGGCTAAGTGTGTGCGAACGGCATCTTGGTCGCAGCACATGGCACAATAGCACTGTAGGACCACTCGCTCTTGCAGGATGTCACATGCACATGGGGATGATGATGCTGCCAAGGGTCTGCCTATATCCCTGCTCAAATCTTCACTCGCGGAGCGGTTATTTGCTTTCGAATTATCAGAAGTCATGGCAATTACCTTTGACTGCGGTTGATGAGACGAATACAAGGAACCGCCGGGGCGACAAGGTTTAGGGTCCGCATCCTTTGCCCCAGTGATCGGAGTTCCAGGTGACATATACATTTCGTGATTGTTCTCCACAGGCAAAAAAGGCGCATGATGGGAGACGTTAGGGATGTTGATCCAGGGATGATCACTTCCACCGAGAAGATCACCCTCTTGAAGCCGCGTCAAGATTCACATAAGTTGACAGTTATTCACCACGCTAACTCGTTTGAGATGTCAAGATACAGAAGCACACACCTCTTGAATAGGACCGAGGTCCAATGCCATATTCGGCGGGCCGCTCATGAGATATGGAAGATCACATATAGGTCAAGTACAGAGCATTTCAACTTGACTTATTTTATGTGCTGAAGAGCCAGTCACTAAGTGACACGTCATGTTCTTTGCAAACCTCCGAATTGGACTCATGCAGGTTGAGAATATGTCTCTCTGACACGGATTCATATAATTGCGAGCGGAGTACGAGAAAGCCCAAAATAGCTTCGAAGAGGAGAACAAGAGGGGAGAAAGCGGCGAGTGACCAAGGAACTGAGATCATTGGTGCAGTCACGGCCCAAACAGGGCGGAGAATTTGCGGAGAATGAGAATATCTGTCAGGTAGAGATTGTTTGTTGGTAGCTGTTGGTTACTGTTGGGAGACCGAAGTCTATCGAAGCGACCTTACCGAGCCTTGCTGAGAGTAGCAACATGCATCAAGTAGATGTAGAGCAATATTCGGGACACAGCGAAGGGCTCGGGATGATAGTGTATATTCTGTGTGAGATCTTCGAGAATCTATGGCGACTCGAGACGTTAGCAGAAGAGTAGAATACGGTTACCGCTTATGAATTCATGTAGAGCTCATATCCGAAAGTTAGGTTAGATAACATAGCCGAAAAGCAGGCACTTAGCGACTAGCGTTCTCATACACGTTTGAGGGCTGGTTCCATCGCACTCGGACAGCAGCAAGCGGTGGCCGGTGGCAAACCGGTGGCCCTGAGTGATGTCAGCCGCTATCAACTAAACTTACGTTCAGGGCGTAACAGGAAGATATGACGACGACAGAGACGCCATTAAAATGTTGTCAAGAGATCAATTGAATGTTCTACGTCGTGGTGGAGAAAGATAAATAAAAGTTGTGATAAAGATAGCTAGGGTCCAAGTACCAAGAACGGTCGCGGAGTTGGCAGAAATCACGTTGCTCGGATCAAATTACATAATTTAATCAACAGCCACACAAAGAAAAGAAAAACAAAGCTTGACCAAATCCACGCCAAATACATAGCACATTCCATCAACTAGTCGCTCTTAAAAGTCCATCTTCCACCATGCCGTTTTCCTGCTAACATCCTGTTGGCGACCTTTCCTCGTCGGTTCCAACGTTGAGCTCAACTTTGTACTATCTGTCTCTTGTATAGCGACATGCATACCCCTTCATCCTCGACGTCCCACCCTCGTCCTATTCTAAAACATCAACAAACAGCTCCGAACTATGGTCAGGTCATTGGATCTCCAGAACGGCTTCATGCCGTACACTTTCCCCCGTCCCCAACTTTGACTCGAACCTATTCTGCATACCCCCCTTCTACATATGACCGCTCTCCCATTGTTGTGGCACCTAATACATGTGCTTTACCTGAGCGCGGCTGTCCTGGACGTACTTATACCCTGGACGGGGACCGTCCAGCAAGCTCGTCGTCTCCATCAAAACGACTACAGCACGGCATACACCTTCATCCTCGTGCCGTGTACAATCATCAATCACAAATTTCGCCCTCAAAACCGAGTGGCTTTGATGATGGGTCGCAGCGCACTCCTTGGCGCAGCTCCCCAACCCAGCCTCCTTTGATTCCTGACCTCTCCTCGGAGTCGGACCAGAGTGATGGCTATCACCCAGATTCATACAATACTTCTTTGAAACCTGCTCCGTCAATACCATGGCCTCCTCGTGCTCTAGGGGATCCCAATGTCTATCTAAAGACACCGTCACACAATCAGTATGGTTATTCTAATAATAGCCCCAACGTTCACTCGACCCTGCCATTTCTCCCTTGCCCTCCCACTCCTAGCGACACACATAAAGTCCGCCGCCAGAGACCAAAGGACCGCCCATGGGAGCGGGAGCGAGGAAGCAAATATGGAGCATACGTCATGGATGATGAAGCACGCGACAAACCCAGCGTGCACAGGCCATATGGAGGCTTTTCAACCTCCGCTTTTGACGGACCCGAGGACAGCTGTTTGGGAGGATTTTGACGACGAGCGACGATGAAATGAGGCTTTTGTTTGGAGGTGCATAACGACATTACGACTTCAGTGATTCGCATCGCATACCGCCTGTTACCCGTAATAATAATGGCGTTTAGATTTCCCCTGTTGTACTGTGTACTCAAGTTACAAGTATTCGAGAGATTCAGCATTGATATCTATTGCAAGAGCAGTGTGGAATGATTTAACTGTAAGTTTGCTGCTCTCCTCTCCTCTCCATCACATCCAACCCAACTTTTCCATGGACCACCCTGACACGTTCCCGAACTTATCAGGCTTATTGCAAATGCGCTGGTTTCTTTCGAGCCCGTTGATGATCTGCACATCTGCTTCTGACAGGTTCAAGATCTGGACAAATTAACGTCCCGCCACCAAATTACACGATAATGTCTGTGGCACTTACCTGGCAATTCTCCTTCTGTCGTCCAGGGTCCGCACTCTTCGGCACAACTACAACGCCTCTGCCCACATGCCACGAAAGGATGACTTGCGTAGGGGTGGCTCCGTAGTGACTGGCTATCTCACCCACGGTCGGATCTTCGCGTACGGTCGCATAACCTACATACCAAAAGTGAGATTAGGACAACTCGCTTCATGAGGAATCCTTCAACGAACCAGTTGGTGCGTATGCTGTCACAACAATTCCCTTCTCATGACAATAAGACAACAGCTCATCCTGTGCTAGATAAGGATGCATCCTGATGCCAAGGTAAGTTCCTTCTTCCGATGGGTCCTATTTACGCAACGCTCACTCGACTTGCAGCATGGCCGGCATTACTTTGGCGGTCTTGAATAATTCTTCCATCCTGCAAATACTATTTAGAGAACAGCCTTCATCCACGCGTAGATACGCACGTCTTGATGGAGAAATTGCTGAGTCCAATCGCCTTGACCTTCCCACTGGCGAGGACCTTCTCCATTTCAGCCCAGGTATCGTTGAAGTTGCCTGTTTCATCCAGTTTAATCTGACCATCGGGGTTTCGCGGCCTAGATTCGTTCACTGCACGTTTATGTGCTCTACTCGGTAAAGATTATTTTATGAATACTGCATTTCTTACCGTCATACGCGACGCTTTGAGGCCAATGTATCAGGTACTACAGCGGTATCATGATCAGAAGGCATGATTGACTTGGCAATGTACCGAAGTTGACGTACGAGGTCAAAATAGTCTAACCCCGCGTTCTTCAAGCTCTGATCGATAGACCATTGTACGCGTTTCGTGTGGTTCCAGCTGATAGAAGTCCGAACAGTCCGAACTTGGTGAAGAGAGACGGAGGGAATAGACTTACGGAAGCTTTGTGGTAATGAAGAGTTCTTCACGAGGAATACCAGAAGCTTTGATTGCTTCTCCAACAGGTTTCTCTGTTCCGTAAATCCAAGCAGTGTCAATATGTCTGTAACCTGCTTGCAAGGCGGTGAGGACCCAAGAAGTTGCTTTAGCTTGTTCAACAGGATCTTTGCTAACAAATACCCCAAGACCTATATATTCATGAGTGCCAGTATGAGCGGTCTCCAACAAGTGCTAGGCTTACCCACAATGGGAACCTTGGCCCCTGTGTTCAAGGTCAACGTTTTCGTAAGCCATTCAGACATGTTGAGGTGGATTGAAGTTAACAGACCTCCACGCTCACAGGGCTTCACGAATTGTCGAAGAGTCTCGTGAGATGCTCAAGGCGTCCCGCAGTGATAGTTCTCCGCGCGGCCCGGCACCACCATCACAAGACCAGCCTGGGATTTGCCCGCGGGGCCTACCCAGCAGAAGATGAGAATAATGTCAATTACAGCAGGGACAAATGAAATCTATCAGCTCGAATGGAACACTGAAGTCATCCAAGCATAATCCTAAATCCACCTCAAAGTTTTGCTTCTGTCTGAAGCACGCCTTCTTCTTGCCATCCCAAGCGGTCGAAGGTCCACCCAAACACCTTTCCCTGCTTATCAGGCTGTATACACAGCCTTCTATTCTTGTCTAATGCATCGATCCGTGTTGCGTCCTCTTCTTGTAGTTCAATAACCTGTTAATGCGCCATTAGAAGGAAACTGGAACCTCCTGTCTCTATACTTACTTTCAAATTCTCTTCTTGCCTGCTGGGGTTCTCACTCTTAGCGACAAGACCTGTCTCGCGTCTGATGTGCCACGATAGGACAATCTGGGTTGGAGTGACGTTATACTTTTTCGCCAGCGCCACAATGATCGGATCTTCGCGAACAGCATCATAACCTGCACATTGTGATCAATAGCCATACCGTCACTGATTGATGCAACATACTCACCAGTGGCAGCGTAGGCGACAACCGTTATACCCTTATTCTTGCACCACTGCAATAGCTCATTCTGCGCCAGATATGGATGTAATCTATGTCATAGTCATAGTGTCAGCTTGATGGCCAACCGCAGCTGTATCGTAAACACGCAGCACTTACTCGATCTGCAAGACAGCGGGCGTAACTTTGGCCGTTTTTAAAAGCTGTTCCAACCTGCCATACAAGCGCGACCCTTGCCATCAGTCATTCCAATTCAGGGCGCAAAGGCCGAACTCAGTCTTACGTTTTTATCGAAAAGTTGCTGACGCCAATTGATCTGACCTTACCGCTGGTAAGAACTTTCTCCATTTCCTTCCAGGTATCATTGAAGTCGCACGTTTCATCAAGCATCATGGATCCATCCACGTTCAAGGGCATGATATTGTTATCTATGAAGAGTCATCAGCGCTGACAGATCAATTGATCCCATGATCGGTTTGGAAACTTACTTTCGTAAACCACAACTTGAGGCCAGTGAATGAGATACTGTGTCGAGTTACACAGCTATTCAGGGGTATATGGAAGAGATTAGCTTACCAGATCGAAGTAGTCGAGTCCAGCGCATTTCAGGCTTTCGTCCAGGGACTCGCGCACGCGTTTGGTGTGGTGCCAACTGTCACATTGACAGAGACCGCAGTTGATTTCAGTTCACCAAGAGCCCATCAGATATCAAAGTGACTTACGGAAGTTTTGTGGTGATGAAGAGGTCTTTCCTAGGTATACCAGATTGCCTGACGGCTTCACCAACGGCGCCCTCAGTGCCTGCATTATATTGTAAGAAACGTAGCTCGAAATCGATACCATTTCAAGCGCACGTACCGTACATCACTGCTGTGTCAATATGCCTGTACCCTGCTTCAAGCGCAGTTAACACCCAAGAAGATGCTCTTGCTCGCTCTTCGGGGCGAGTCCCTGCCCATGTTCCAAGTGCTGAAAGGAAAACACCAGTTCAAGCTCATTCTTGCTATTTGGAATCACATCATATTCAGTGCAGTGTCCATAAACGCACCGATAGGTGGCATGCTTGCCCCGCTATTCAACTGCAGTGACTTCATTGAATCAAGATCGCTTCAAGCAATTTGAAGGTGAATTGAGCGGCGTTGTTGGGAGGTGCGAGCGTGACGGTTCCACTGATTGATTGCTATACGCACTCTAGATGGGCCCTTGCGGATTTATATCAGAGGGTACTCTACAAGTCTCCACTGAGACTCGGACTCCACGATCACGAATCCAATGATACGGATGGCGTAACGGGGAAAACCAAGATCAACCCGATCACCACGCTGACCGCTCTCCACGGGCACGCTTGTCAGAGACATCCGGCTTACGTGAAATGGAAAAAGCCGCGTGCGCACAGACCAGTCCACAATTTCCTTGCGCGGCAATCATTGGGTGCCGCTACCACACATTTCACTTCATATTCAAAATTCTGTAACTTCCTTCAGATGTAAGTAGTTCTGGGGGGGAGGGGGGTAACAAGTTAAAATGTAAGCACGTATCAGACGCGCGGCGGTATAATGCCACAATCTAATGGCTGCGGCGATAAAGGGCCGCAGAAGTATCCAAACCATGAGCGCTGCTCCTCCAAACACGACAGAAAGAGGGCCGACACTACGCGGAGTCCAAAGATATGTGCACACGATCTTTCTCTTTTTCACTGATAGATGGCGCATCCTCCACTAAACCAATCCGAGCTTTTGCTTCGGCATCAAGGTTGGACGTGGGTCCATGGTAATGTTGATGCGCGCTGGGTGGTCGCGGTTTGATAAGAATGAACATGCACTGCTGAATCAATAACTCACCTGATGACATACCACAACCTAACCCGACATTCAACACTTAGTTACTGCAAGCTTGAAATAGATATGAGCGCACTCACCCACTAAGAAAAACAACTCCGACAGTAATCACAGATGCATAATTCATATTAATCTTTGTAACAGGGAACACTGTGGGCAGCGAGAAAATGACGCAGACAAAGAGAGTCCAGCTTATGCAAGTAACATTTGCTGCCCAACCGAGGAGTCCTGGTCCCATGTAAAACGGTCCTGGACGGAAATTCACGTCCGGGTGGTTCGCGTAGAGGCGACGCCTACAAGTTTGCCCTTGGTCAGTCAAGCGATAAGAATGACAAAACGTTCTTACAAGAATATCGGAATAATGTAACTCAAATCGAGTGCAATAGCAGTGAGTGCAAAGATGGCATTCGCGGCAATTGGGGATGCTAGATCGAGAAAACCTGGAAGGATGGACAAGATAGTAGTAAACCAGATGGCGCGCAGGGGAGTTCTAGTGGAACCCGCTATATGACCAAAGTATCCGTTGTCGGGGAGACCTGGGGATGAGATCAGAATATGACACATTTCCTAGACACTGTTGCTTGCCATGATCACGGCTGAAAGCATAGACAGTACGAGAGCATGCTTGCAGTGCCGTTTGTGAAACGAAAAACGCTGTCAGGCATACAAAGCTCTAATTCAACAATTAGTCGATCCCTTATAAATCAAATAAACAGAATAACTACCCAAAGAAAGAGCGCTACAGGTGTGCCCATGCGCAGAGCCATGATCTGTGGCATAGTGAGCTCATTCGTTTACACTCCATAAACTCGTACCATACCTGCAAGAATGCAGATCCAGATATTCCCGGCAGATTTTCTCTGATTGTATTCATGAGAAATGGCGAGGGTAGATAATGTGTAGAGCAACTCACATTGGACCCGAACATAGCATGAGGACGACATTCAATAGCCATCCCAATATCCCGGTCCCAATGACTATATTTTCGTTTGATATGATGCGAATCATCTAAACACCAAAGCTTACCGGCAATAAATATCGCAACAGGCGCTGGAAGGAAAAAGTATGATGACTCCACATTAGACGCTGCAATGATCCAACGCACCAGCATACGCAGCACGACGAACTTCTTCGCTGGTTATTGAAGATCCGTTAAGTGATTACTGAACGTTCATGAAGTGTACATACGAAATATGAGCAGTTGCATCGTAATCCTGTCACATCATTCAAGTCTACATTGACTTTTGCAAGCTGTCTGATCTTACCGTCATCTAATCATTTTTGAGGTAAGTCAACGCTATGAATGAAGATTGCCTTGTCTCGTACCGTCCACTGTACACTCAATAAACCCAACAAAAAGGCGATACCATTGTTCCAACCCCCTGTTTGGTTCACAATTCCTTGACTTCCAAACACATAGTTCGCTGCATGCATCTCTGAAAGAGGTGTGGTCGCTAGCAAAACAATGATGATAACGGCAGTTGCACCGAGGTTCACGAACACGAAGCCTCTAGTAGCGAAGGCCAAGTACCGTGTCGCCACCGAATTCAAGAGCCCATGGACAATAAGAAGTCCAGCGAACAACCCAACCGTCTTCCCTTGTGTCACCACAAAGGTCGGATTGGATAGTGACACTGCAGCCCAAATCATGTTTGCGAGTCCGAACTCCGTTGATGACAGTCCCGCGACCTGACCGAGGATGTTTAACCAACCAACGATCCAGCCCACGATTGCGCGATGCGACTTCGGACAGAGTTGAGCTGACGCCGTATACAGCCCTCCACATGTAGGAAATGCAGAGACTATCTCTGCGATGCTGGATCCAAGGGTGAAGCACATACATGAGCCGAGTAGCCAGCACCAAGTAACCTGGAATTGAGATTCTTTCAATGCCTCGAGAAGCGACTTTAAGTTACGACGTACGGAAGCAGGACCTCCAAGCAACAGTGGAGTGTTGAGAGTCGTCGCGATACTCGAACACAAACCCTGTATTTAAAATAAAAGGTTGGGACTGCCATAAAACGAACAGAACACACCATGATACTGAATGCAAAGCTTATGGTGGCGAGATTGGAGAACTCGCGCCGGAAGGAAGGCTTGTAGCCAAGTGCCTCCAGGCGGTGGTCATCATCATCAGTTGTGCGGGACATTGGAGAGCGTAGATGGCAAAAACCAACAAGGCACAGAATGACGCTGGATGAGCTTTAATGAACTTGCTCAGGGCGGTGTAGGATCCACTATATAGGTCATCCGATAAGGTGAAAAAATGAATATCATATGCATGTCAAGCACCTGGCCAGCATAATCAAAAATTCCGAGAGGACTGTAACCCTACATTGCAACGCTTGACAGCTGATCTGATGGCCTTCAAAGTTATCCCCGACATCTCCACAAAACTCAGGAACGACTATCTTCACTATCTTGCTTCGCATAAAAAGGTCTGCTTACAGTTAACTGGAGACCCTAACAAACCCAACGTGCACTGGGAAAGCTCTTTAAACCAACAATAGCTTACTCAGGCTAACGGCAATCCCTGGGGGAGAAAGCACATGGAGCTTGGAGCCTCGGTGAAAATCAGAAGAGCGGGTGTGGTGCGGAAGGTGTGGCCATGCTTGAACTGATAGCTATGGCAATAGATATGTATACAGACGTCCCACGGCATCAACAATGTCTTGAACGAGTACAGATAGGCGGGCACGAGGCAGAACCTTTTGAGATTGCCAAACTAATAATACACAGCAATACATACAAACAATAAAATTGAGATGAACCCCGTCGACGAGCAAGACCTGGTCAACAGTAAAGGCACATCTCACATGTACAATGACCAGCTACTGCGACGCTGTCTACTGAGACTACCGCTGAGCGCAGCTCATCTCGCTTGGATCTCGCATACAAAGTTTCAAACCCCCAATACAGAATTCGAAGCATGACCGGTTTCCTTGTAGTAGGGTCTGCCTTGGGAAAGCTTACCAACCAGCGTGCCATCGGAGGAGGAATACAAACCTTTACAGGAGGAGTTGAAGAGAGATGGCCCGCCTCGCTGGCATACATCTCCTGTTAGCTGATTGAGACAAAACGTCGGTGACCTTGCTACATCTTTAATGAAACCAACTGATATCTATTTCTAGAGAAATCACAGTCTCGTCGCATTGCATGAACTGCGCATGCCACATTCCGTTCAAGCCCTCGAATCCCAGGATGTGGTAGCACATTGGCATATACAATCACTTTCTTCTTGTTATTCGTTTTTCATTCGTGTGTATGTTATGTCTCGGTCGGAAGGAACGTAGATCTCAGGATGGCGAGGATCCTCTATGACAACTCTATTATCCGCCCTTCTGTTGTATACCAGTGTTATCTTTTGGTCACCGACCATATGGCAAATGTTTCTCGTTCCCTTGGGTTAGGTCCTACGCATCCGACAAAAAATACGTGGATCCGATGTTTCAGTGACAAGCGGTTAACGTCTGTCACTAATTCACTCCTCAATAACTATCTCGGTCATTTCTCCACCAATTCCGATGATTCAACTGTGTAGTACTTTAGAATAAGCGTGCAATCATATGTGACGAGGTAAAATATTTAATTGAGGTAGAAATGCCAGCAAGTTGAGGATAAACTTACTTGATGGTTACAACTGACTCCTCTGGGCGAACCGCACAGTTGTGTACGGCATCCATAGCAATGCTATAAATTGCCATGCCGATGAAATAATCGGAAAAAAGAACATCGGTCTTAGCATGCTGGACGCAAGTCATGCAGACGAAGAGAATCGCAGTGCAAGTTGCAGCATTCCAGAGCTCGCAAGTCTAAAGTCATAACGAACTGTGAAACGAAGGCCGAGATTCGTGTGCAGATGAGGGGTACAAAAAGCGGACTCATGTCGTGTTGCAGACTTTCTTCAGTGAATCCCTTGTACTGTGGAGAAATTTTATGCTCGAAGGCCCGAGAACGAAAAGGCGACCCGCGCGATGTATATGTCGCTTCCGGTGTACCTTTCCTTCGGGCTTCTCACCGGTCAAGAAGCGATCTTGAGCGGAGCATTGCCTGTGTTTTAGACAATTGTGGCGCAAAGTGATCCTCGGCGTGTCTTTTTCAAGAAGGACAGACAATGTGTTCTTCATGAAGATTCCCTTTAAGAAGTCGACCTGCGTTCATTGAAATAAGATGACACTCGATAGTAGGTACCTTGTATGCAAAGAACATTCTTGGTGGGTCGGATTCTCCGCTCCCGGCGCCGACGTCACGAACAATATTGTGCCTGTAGATGTATCAGTATTGACAGAGACTAGAGTCTTCGTTTGATTCCCGTTTTCTGATTTCACATCTCACCTTAGAAAGGCCTGACTGACTATGGCAATTGTAGAGTTCTCGTTGAAAAGTCGGGTTGCTGTTACGATGCGTTAGATCTCACACAGCAGTACCAGGCTTGGAACAAGCTCACCTCAAATGCATCCTGGTTGTGATGTCAAACAAAGAGTGTATCCTACCGCTCCAAAGTCCCTCTGCGCCTGTACTTTTGCCTATTCTATGTGATTAGCTTACGAGTAAGAAAGTATCCTCGCATAGAGGTAGACTCTATGGAAGGAGAAGGGTAGCAAAATCAGTGATGATATTGCACCCACCAGTGGCCACTGCCTACTGTCTTGCAACAGAACCACTACGAGGAAATAGCACTGTATGTTATCACTTCATCGACCCGCTACATGATGGTAATATCTCAACCACCTCACGGCGGAGCGTACAATCCCAGGGTGCACGTGATAGCAGGCCATCAATGAAATTGTTTTCGAAAGCCAGTTATCCTCATTTTTGCCACTACCATGACATGATAGCGATTCTCATTTTCATCATTTGTCGCTCGGACAATGGACATCGCGCGGGGATCTCAGTGGTACGAGTGGGCACCGTGGTCCAACCATCAATTCGCTGAGGGTCGGCTCACAGCCAGGTTAATCAATCATAGTCATGCGGCACTTCGGGCGACGGGCACTGAAAGACTTCTTATCGCCTTCTCTGAAACGCTCTTCTTCACAGCTCCAAGTGTAGTTAGACCGGCACGTCGGAGACAAACTTTTCTTCATTCGTACACGATCGCCGCTTACCGCGAACCAGAGCATTAAGCACTGGCAACTCCGAGGCGAAAGTCTCGAGATTCCAATCGCAGACCGGTCATGCTGGCCTCGAACAATGACTTATTTTCTTTCAGAACTTTTGGTGGTACATTTACGCGATATCGAGTGATGTCGTGGTGGCAGTCTAATAACTATAATCCCAACAAGTTCCGATTTCTTGCGGAGGCCCAGCCGGAAGGAACTAGTAACGCAGGGTACCAGAAGTACTTCTACGGCGGGAGATCTTTGGTAGGTAGTACTCGATTACTTAGTGTGTTTGTTGCAAAGAAGTGGTCATACACGGCGAGGTATGTATACTGTATGATCCCCTTGAAGAGCCTCAAGGTTGCAAAATCGATGACGGTGCTAAAGGAGTTCTGGAAGAGTTCTGTACCGATACGTACAGTACATTCTGCCAGTATCACTTCATTCCCGTCTACCCGTTCAAAAGCCTGCCGATCACCTATCATAACGGAGGAAGGAGTTCTTGCTATCGAGGGTACACAATTAGACTCGTGACCAGCCTGATCAAAACGACAGCACGGAGTACTTGAGATCTTCGTCAAATCTATCAAAGATCTAGTCGCAGCAGCAGCATCCACTACGGGCTTGCGGCGCGGTCACCTTGTGAATGTTCCTCTCAGGAGGATGATCAAGGCATCAGGAATCTGAGTAAAACCGGTTAAATGAGCGGCATGTAGTGTCCGCCAGAATATGATATCTCGCTGTGCTACATGATTGCCAAGTAGATGCCTCAGGCCTCAGGAGTCTCCGAACGATACTAGTGAAATTTCATAACCATGAATATTTGGTTTGGCCGTCTCCGCTCGTACAAGCTCAGGTGCCAAAGTACCTCAATGGCTCAAGTAGAAAAAGGCTACTGTAAGTGGGGCGTTAACGTGTGATTAGAGAGATGAGGTAAGAAATAACATATGTACATCAACAAATAATGTGGGTATACATGAGAACAGCAAATCAACATAATAGGTCAAACTATCACGGGACATACCGAACATGAGCGAATAAGCCGAAGCTTACACAGAACTCGACTATTTGCCTACAGATCTGACGAGTATCTCGAAAATGGAAGGAGGAAAAAATTTGGAGGGGATCGCTGTCCCACCACCTTCCACCCCAGCAACGCCGACAGCAGTGACCCACGGCGTCACAGTAACAATAAACCAACAAATCACCCACACATATCCCACCTTACGCGTCCACTTCGTCTCCTGCACCCCCGCACGCCGAGCAGCAGCTATAACCATATCCTCAAACGTGATGCCGAGTGCTTGATATATAAAGAAAGGGAACGAAACGCCGAGGCGAGAAGAGTTGAGCACTGCGTCACCTCCCAAATGAGCAATGCCGGAGACAAAAAAGGCAGTGTAAAGTTGAGTGTAGGACGATCCATTTGTTCCGGATTTGAAGCCAAGGTATACCGCCATTTTTTGGCCAAAGGGGGCCAAGAACTGATCCGATTGAGAATGCATAAGGTAAGTATACTTCGTCTATAGTCTCCGGTGAAAAAAAAAATACTTACACGCCGAAGGAACTGATGCCAAGTTCGACTGCCCGACGATCATTGAGTACAGAGCATGGGTCAGGTAAATCACTTACCCCCAGAATCGTCTGATAGTGTACGCATCCTTCCATTTCCCAAATAAGTTGGGCCAAGAGCTCGGCTCAGACCCCGTACAGCTCACAGCAAAAGCCGATATCAATGAATGGACGGTAACCCCCATGCAATAATAGAACACCAAATATCCGCTACAGGCCAGAATGCGACGGGCAAAATTCTGAGATGCGAATGCTGCAGCGGACTGATATACCGGATTGTGCCTTATGTAGAATTGCGCGAGGTCGAACCACAGGAAGTGCTCAGCTGCACTCGTTAAACACGAAACGACAAATTCCTGTTTTGATTTTGCACGGTGCTCAGGCAGGTTTTTTACCTACACATGAGAATCATCAGGGCTTGCAAACGACTGGCGCGCTAGGGTAAACATACCTGATGGTTCCAGCCCACTCCTCTGGGTGAAGCGCACAATTGTGCAGCCCAGATGAACCTCGGGAACCATGGGAGTTCATGCGCTGACCGTGTTTGCTTCTGATGATGGAAGGTGTGAAGGGGTCGGACAAGCAATATCATGTGTATAGCATCCATGGCAAGGCCGGCGATGGCCATGCCGATGAAGTAATCGAGGAAAAGAACATCGGTCTTAGCATGCCGAATGCAAGTCAGGCAGACGAAGATGATCGCGACGCAAGTCGCAACATTCCAGGGAGCCCGCAAGTCTAAAGTTATGCCGAGCTGTAGGACAAAGGCAGGGATCTGCGTGCAAATGAGGGGTACAAGTGGACTCATGGCGGGTTATTGACTTACTTTCCTTCCTTCAGACTCTTGAGTTCTTATAGGCTCGGACCCTGGGAGCGCAAAGGCGATCCACCAGATGGATATGGCATCTGTATCGTACATTTCTTTCGCGCTTCCCCCCTGCTAAGCGATTTGCCTATGTCTAGGCTCATCGATGCGTGGTAGTTCTGTTCATCCAGACGCGGCAGGTTGAGCAGTGCTCATCATAGACATTCCTGTCGACTTTCTTTGAGAACGCGACATATATTCAACGGAACATTCTGTTTTGCAGTAAAACTGACCGTTTGAATCACATGTGTATTTGACAGTGCTAGTGATTCCAAGCTCATGAAGGAACATATTGCGGTGCAGAGTTTCTCTCGTCGATGTCATTGACGTTATTGATCAATCATGTCTAAGGATGAGTAAGGATGCTGCCATTAACAATATGACAACAACATGAACCCAAAACAGATCTTCACGTACTTACAAGTCAGAGCCAGCTGGAGGAGGCTTCCCATTTTCAGACGAGTCCTTAGAACTTCTCGGAATCGCCTGACTTTGGGCGGGCGTATATGGAATAGTATTTTCTGGTGGATTAGGTTTTCCGTAACATATGCCTTCAGTTCTTACAATCGATACCACAGACTTGGTGCAATGAGCTCACCTCACAGCAGCGACCTGATATTTAACTCAAACAAAGCAAAGAGCGTATCCCACAATCCCATGGGTTTTTCCCGTGCCTGTACCTTTTGGCCAATCCATGAAATTAGCCTGTGAGTAAGAAAGTATCTCGGAAAGAGGATGGAGAACGACTCCAGGAGGAAGCAAAGGCGGAAACCACTAATCACGATATTGATACTGAATTGAACCCACCACTGCGCACTTCCAGCACTGAACTCGGAATAGCAGCACCGTATGTATAGGTTCATAGCCCCACTGGCACCGACACCCTACTACATGGTCCTACCATGGTTTCCCCATCGTACGAGACCCAATAAGTTTGGCTATGCATTGGCAACGATGAAACCAGGAGTACGTACAAATGACGGGAAGATGATCGTGCGCAAGTGACATATGCAGCACGCAATGTGCATATTAAGGTCTGCACACAACAAATTTGACTCTCCCGAGAGAAAAACAGCGTATGTAAGTACTTGGGTGACTCGGACGGTCATAGGTTGGGATCAACCCGCATACGTACGACAAACGTAATACAGTCACTAACCGTATTTGGTAAACTTACCAACTAACTTTGCAGACCGCGACGCGTCGACCACTGGCACTACCAGCGGCACCGCGACATGGTATTGCCCAGTCTACACTACATTTCTGCACGAACATTTTCGAATCCGAATGAGCACTGATCCCCGGAAACACAGTCTTGGGCACCAAAAACGCGCAGTCATCAGGGAGGGTGCCGGCAGAGAATGTCGACCATGCATTGGATGGTTGAGTGAAGGCCTAAAAAGCAGGGTTCAGCAGCTTGGAAGACTTGGAAATTCTGATTTTGCGAGTGACAAACTGACTTGGGTAACGTATCGATGATTCTCACCGTCTGTCACCGCACTTGGACTTGGAACTTGCTTGGAACAGCTCCGCGCGCCTTCTATTCTTCGAAGTTTCAGCTTTCGTGTTGCTTCCACATAGTTTCGTCAACTCACTCCACAGATACGGCAAGCGCCACTTGCCCTGATCAAAGTGTCTCTTGGGCAGATAATTTACTATTTGCGAAGACTTCCGCATGCTCAGGTGAGCGCGTGTTCTTGGACTTCCTTGTATAACTGTTCACGTTGCTACCCCACATTAGATGTACCAGTCACTCAACTAAGTGGTGCCCCTTGCTAAAAAACAAAAAACCGGGTGACAATCACCACGATACCAGCTACAATACCAGCTACATAACGACATATCACGGCGATGCGCCACAGGCTGCCGCAAGCTCCCCGCCACCACCGGATTTACCCAGTCTCGAACCCTCTGTAAATCGACCCTGGCATCATACGTTTCGACCGACGACCGTCGACAAGGTGTTGAGGTAACTTATTTATGACGTCATCCCGGGGCAGCGCGCGACCGATGTAGACCGTATGCAACAGTACAGAAGATGATTTAGGGATGAAATATGGTTCGAGTTCTGGTGCTCAAACACGAGTAATAGTGCGAACGCGAAGGTTCCTTCCCCACGGATTAATCAAATGTTTTTCTGCCCCACCATCATTTATATGCATGACAATAAGGCCTGCCCACGCGAATACGAACGTACGAATGTTCACCATTACTTCGAATTCCCTCGACATCACGATCGCATGCCACCGATTTCTGCTGTGACAGCAGTCCGGTGGCGCGAGTATTTAGATGTGACTACTGTGGTTCAATCAGTTCGATTCACAGTCCTCAAGGTTTATCCTGATTCCTGATTGATCAAGTGATATACGTGGGAGTGAAAGTTCGGGAACATAACTGGAAGAACTGACTGCGCCACCTTCATAGAACCGTATGGTTTCATGGACGCTCGCCACTTAGCGCGCTTCCCTGACCATGGTATTGTATTTCAGGAGGCAGGAGTATGTACATGGCTTTGAATATGCTCTATTGACCCAAGGGTGATTTGACTTCACCAGCCTCGGCACTCAGCCTGTTACGAGGCAATCAGAAGATGTGTTCAAGGAGGCGGATGTATCTCACCATCATGCTCGTACCAAACCTTGCTAGATTGCAAGAACGGAGCTGTTGGGCGCGACGGATGCTCTTTGTGGCAATTCAAACTCCAATTCCGTTTGATCGTTCGAATACGATGTAGGGGCCGCTGGGTAGCGCTCAAGCTTCCACAGCTCAAGTTGCATTCGAGTTACTAGAAGACTCTGTGCAATACACTGTGACCTAAAAACAATCAACATGCACAAACTCCTCGTCGGAAGACATCTCACGCTTCAAATACAGGACCATAGTCGCCCTGTAGGACCACGAGTTTAAGAACTTGATGAGGCGAGAAAGCCTAGTTGTGAGGACACGTACCGGAACAAAACAGATTGCAACGATATTGCATATGGTGAATACTATAAAATATAAGTGTGTGTTGTATCCAAGTTATTGTATCCGCTCACATAACCCAGCAAGAATATAACCTACGCTGTATTGTGTCATCACCGTTAAAAGCCGGCAGCGTGTAGTACGGTAGAATCTGATCACTTGGTAGAAGGTGAGACCAACAACCTCTATGCAATAGTTGTGGCTTTAGTTGTAATGTTCAGGTTGGGAAATGAACGATGGACCAACCTATTTCGAGGAGTAACAGAAAGATGTAGGGTACAATAATGAAGTGAGGCGATATCGAACTACTGGAGGAACAACCTTGTGCGACTGCAACTCCTGCTCCAGACATAAGCAGTGACTTCGAATTGGGAAGACGTACAAGTGGCGGTTTTCAATTGTAACCCGCATGACAGTACCAGTATTACTGTCCCACAGAGAAGTCCCTAATCAAGATTGGAAGTATGGACTCGGAGGCAAAAAAAGGTTGTTTATTTGCGTACTCACCAAAAGAAAAATCGACAGCGCTATTAGAACACGTCGATTATAGTTCCATAACGTATACGTTCGTTGGACAAAGATACCTAGGAGTTTGCCGACTTCAGTGATATTCATATGATAAATTGTATCCCTTACACTCTGCGCATATCAGAAGAATCCCAAGGAACACTGTCATTGTTAGTCAGCGGGCGGGCAGGTCGTGGAGACTCGGGGCACTGACATATATTGCTTTCAGAAAGCCCTGGGCAAGCCTCGTACAATTGTAAGTTAAATTTTCCCGATGTTTCGTGCTCGCATGCATACCTCAATGCTCTGTGAGAGGGCCACTGCGAACAATATGTCTCGTTTAGTCAGTCATGACATTAAGGTAGTCACCAACGTACTTTGAATATGCAAGGCACATAACACGAAGGGTATGTAACGGCATCCAAGAAATAGCCCTTTTGCCAGTGTCATTCGGGAACCCATGAGGTAGTCGAGCTGTTGGAAATTTCTGAAAAACCACCCACTACACATGTGACCCCATTGCGTACCTCTTCGTCCAGGTTGGTCGCGAAATCGTACATCTGGTGCGAGTATATTGTCATGACTCATACGTTCCACTCCATCGATATCATAGTATAACGCACCAAGCTCGTCAATACAACAACTTTCAAGAAGTTAAGTATGTTGGGCTATCAAAGATAGAATATTTGACTTACTAAAGACATTCTGTGTGACATGATAAGGATCGTCAGCTGGGAGACCACAAGACAAACTGAAAACCCTTGAATAGCATTTACATTTACACCTCGAGGTGGCAGCAGTACCGTTCTTCCAAGTTGAACCGCAGCAGAGGGGGGGTAAATATTATCCATAGAGTAAAAGGGCGGGGTGTGCGAGCACTTTCTAGGAACCGCTATCAACACCGATTATTTAATGCTCAGGCCTGCTACAGAGTCGAACGTTGAGGGGCACCATGAAACTTCCCGGTGTAGGGACTAGTAAGTTATGCCAGACACAGTGACACCAGTCGTCACGTAAAATTTGCGATAGAGCAGGCCTTGGATATCTGGATCGCTGAGTGAGCTGAGTGGGGAAACTCAGTGGCCTTGTGGCTCAGTAAGCGGCTTAGCCATGCTGGCATTTGTCATGAACGCCCCTGACAGGGCTCAACTCACGCGAGAGACTACCGGTTATAAGTAAGTTCAGTCTGACTGGCACTGGAAAATCCGGTAAACTACAGGATGCCTGTAGAACGCGCGGGTCTGCGGCAACTCGGAGGCAACATATAAAGTTGTCCGATTCGAACGCCACGTTCTATGTACTAGTACAAGGTACGTTATCGGCCGCAAGTTACTAGTCTCTCATGAACGGTTTGAATTCTCACCTTCCTCAGCTGCCAGGCCTGTGTACACGTATGAACGCTTGGTTCGTGCTGCCTCCGCGCAAGTTGCGCACATCCATCGTCGTCAAATGTACGCTCGTCACCTTTATCAAAATCTAGTTGCAGTCACTGGCCGCCGACCACCTTGTGAATCTACAGATTGATCATATCAAGATAGCCGCCTGAAATGGAGGTATCTCGTCAGTGGCCGTTAAGCAAATTAGTATATGGGCGGCCCATGACATCCAAGTTGACTCGACTTATCAGTGTGTCCGGTTGCGGAAGGTTTGTGAGAGTCGCACGATAAAGATCTTGAGAACAACTATCGTCGCAAATATTATATGTTGAGCTGATCTGAATTTAGTTGAAGTACGGTGCTCATTTCTCAGGACGCGAAGAATCCAAGTTATCTGACATGATAATGCCAAGCATCAAGATAGAAGCTTGGGTGTGGTTCATCAACATCGACCAGATGGTCAAGGTCATCTTATACCACTAATTGGGAAGGAATATGAATGTGATAAATGCAGTCAAAACTCTAGCAGCAGAATCTACACGGTAGGCTGTGAGTGATGTCGTAACAGACCTGGGACAGTGGCATAGCGAACCTTCAGCTTTTCAAATCTCTTTCGCAGGTAGGGAGTCTGACCGATTAGAGTGAATCTACCGGTTGTTTTGGAATCGGAGGCCCTGGATAGTTAAACTGGCCGTCTGAGCCACAGTAAGCAAATCAAGTTCATAAATGGCAAGCAAACGACCTACCGATCATGTACCACACACCACTAATTACCCCGAACCCCACAAACACTACCGAAGCGTAATCTCCCCGTCTCATTCAGGGCCTCGACCAACTGCAAGACAGGGTTACTCACTCGTTGAAAACCTCGTAACTGGAATGATAGCAGGCATCGAGAACAGCACGATGGCGAACATGATCCACAATACCGCGACTGCATTGATCACGGTACCGAACCTGCCAAGGTTGAATGGGGCATCATGCACGTCTTCCCGGGAGTTCATGAGCGAGATGGCAACGGGCATGGCATAGGATGCTCCGAGGCACATGACAGCAACGCCCAAGAAGGCGTTGAACGCAGCTGATGAGCCCAGGTAGATGAGTCCAAGGAGAACCTGGATGACGGTGGAGAGCAGGAGTGCATTGACGGGAACATCGTCGAGGTACGGACTGATCTTTGAAAACACCTGATGGAATGGAATAGCTTTATCACGTGCGAAGGCCCATGTTGCACGAGAAGCGGCACAAGATGCGGAGGTTGCACCAAACATGCCAATACCAAATACTTCGAAAAGTAGGTTCAGTGGGTAAGGCTACTTGGCGGAGACCAATTGTGACGTACTAATGAACCACTGAACACACAGCCAAATCAGAAAAGCAGTGACAGACAAAAAGCTGCAAAAAGCTCACCAGCCCCAAACCACCAGCCCTGGAGCCCATGATCAAAGTGAACATCAGACCAATTGGTTGACCGGAAGAAACTGGTTGACATTTATACATGAGGAGCACGAGTTACCTCGGCGTCAAACTGACCTTGAAGCAATGTAGTAACATCTGGCAGCGTGAAAAGGATTGGCAGAAGGAATACCACACCATATAATGCGCCAGCGGGTATAGACCAGGTGATAGCCTTCGGAAGTATTTCAGAAGGGTTATGAACCTCTTCGGCCATGTTGGTGACTAGTTTCTGGCTGTAAGTCAGTGCACACGGTGTAAAGGCCACGACGTACTCATTCCTATACCGCAGAATGTATATGCTAGGACATTGTTCAGTTCCGACCCCTACTGCTCGATAAATGATAACCGCTCACCAGGCTGTTGGATACGTTATGATAGTATTGAGTAATGACTTCAATAACTAGCAGGAATCATACCGGCAATAGACCAATGAAAAAAGACCACCCAGGTGTCCATCCCGAATACGATGGATCGAAATGCCCAAGCGCAAACGAGATAGAGTGGCGCCCTGCCGCAGCCTTGACAGTCACACATATCAAGATGACTTCAATCTGCTCAACTCAGTGGACAGGGACAAGTTGCATGCACAACGTACCGATGATGCCTAAGCCAGTCCAGCAAGCACAAATGATCTGGCGACGTATGAGTTTTAAAACAAAATGATTGGCGAGAACTGACGTCGATGGCCGGCAGGTACTTGTTGAAAAATAGGCAGAAACCACAGGCAACGGCAGTCACGCCGAGGAAAATCACATCTAGAATGAGTCACGGGTTGGTCAGAAGACCACATTGATATGCAAATGAAGCCTTGCATGTTTGCCACGGTGCTGCATTCCATTCAGGGTGGTATATTCCGATGCCGGCGACAACAAGTTGAGCTGTTCCTGCGAACCTGCTTCAATCACACTCATGAATGTTATACATAGAAAGGAATACCAAACGTGGCACTCAGAGCAGTCATCCAAACACCGACAAGTGTCAACCAGCCATTGATCCAGGAGGCAAGAAGTCGCTTGCGAGGAGACGCAAATCGATAACACCAGTAGTACGCGCCTGCGGATGTGGGATATTTGGAGCATATCTCCGCCACCGAAAGAGCAAGGGTTTGGGTAAGGACCGACACCAAGATCCATCTACACCATGTCAAATGGTGTTTGAGCTAAGTTGGAAGCAGTAGAATTACCCCCATATCATTACCGCTGGACCACCTCCGATAAGCGACGTCGCTATGGGAGCTGCAAGACAATATGCTACAAGGTCAATACAAGGTGGTAAGTAGCGGTGTTGATCGAGATCGCAGCTCGGACATACGGACTGCCATGATTGCTGGTTAGGTTATTGGATCAACAGTTCAGTGGATGTCTTCACTCGAACCGACAGACTGACCTAAGTTCACTTGTTGGAAAACATTTAATTCCTGCAACACTGCGAAAAGAGGTCTACTCACTGGATAATATATGCACTAATCCTCGAGACTACCAATGATCATGAGCTCGGGATTCGACCGAATAGAACAAGAACAAGCACAAACCCGTGTCATCTCCTGTTTGTAGCCCAGGTTCTCCAGCCCGGCACAGGCGACAGCGTCCACATTCAATTCGTCTTTCAAGCTCATCGTAGTGGCATAATGAAAGCAAGCGGAAGACTGTATATGAGGGAGACATATATGCACCGAATATCATCAGAAGTGCGACATGGCGCACATCGACTTTTAGGATCGGAAACTGCATATGAATTGAGGCAGATCCCTTCACCATAAGACTCTCATTCATCGGCTGAAATGCGGTGCGTCCTTATCATTTGTCGTCAGCATGAGACAAATACAACAGAAGATGATTATGTTCGCACACACCTTGCGAATGGGGGAAGTGCATAGATCATTCGAGTCAATGATTCCACGGCTGATAGAACCTGCAAAGAGAGAATGAAAAACAGTATTGGATTGCGCGTACCTTGGACATCTGCAAAGATATGATCACATGCGAAATCCTCCCAGAGTCACGGATCAAACACAGGTCGACTAGGGAGAGCTTTGTTCACATTAATAGAAAATTGGGTCAGCCAGACATGTATGTAGTCGGCCGCACTGGCACCTATCACACCCACCATTCGGGGTACAGCGGTGTTGCCCGCGCCCGTGCCCACCTTAGACACGACGATAAGGGTCTCGGGTCTGGAGAGGTCTGATTCTGCGAAGTGTGACAACTGAAAGTAATTTCACCATGATATACGGTGGGCGCTTCGGTAGTAATGTTAACCTGTCCGTCGTCCGGCTGCAGGCATCTCACAAGGGTTGCGAAATGACAGTGGGCATGAGAGCGACATGTAAAATCGTCATACGTCGTCGAAACAGGACAAGCAAGAAAATGTGCTGGACGGCCGTCAAATATATCAGTGGCATGCCAATCAAAAGTTATGTAAAACCTCCGACCTGATGCAATGCACTCACTTGAAATGAAAACAAAACTTTTGCACTAAAATATAGGTATCCACGATAGTCCCTTCTCACTGGACATCCCCTCCCACGGGGAACCGCGCTCCAAGGACAACTTCCCTACGCGTTCTCAGCGCTCCCTCGTACGCCTTACACGCCCACTTGAGAAACCCTCGTGCCCCTCATATCAGCCATTGGTCCACCTGACGAGCGTGTCCCACCTTTACTGAGTTTCGCAGACGTGGAACTGCTGCATGTCCGTTTAGTGGAGCAGGGTAGGGGCGGAGAAGTAGGGGACGAGGTGAAAAGGACGACTTACTGAGAACCGTACGTGTCGAGAGGATGGGTGATTTTGCAACGAGTGTAATTTTACGTTTGTTCGTGACATCGTGACTGGGAGCATCAACCTGAGCAGACGATCGATTGCGGGCTGGAGATAAGCGAAGGAGATGGTGCTAGGGCTACCGCCTGGTGTAAATTCTGTGAATGACATCTCCACTTTACTAATTGGACATGAGCAAGGCAAAAATCAAGCGAGCCGAGGGGGAGAACAGTCTTTTGCATGACGCAGGTCACAAGAAATCTAACAACACTAGTTTAGATGAATATCGAGCACGCACTCAATATTGCAATGATTGATATCCCAAGGCCGGCTTGTGTATCGGAAATTGACCAGCTGCAGTGACCGTCCTCTTAACAGTAACCGGCAGAAATCGAAAAAGTCTGCTGATCACGTGACCAATACATGTTAGTTTGAGGCACGTGCACGAGAACGTGCTTAATACGTAGACTCGACGATAACCAGTCTGGACTACGCCTTTGAAATTTGAGATGTCAAGTGCTAGACATGGTCAGACTGGTCGATCTCAGAGTGATTTGGCAGGTGAAGCGAGGAGTTTGAAATATCATACAGGCCAGCCATGCCAGTAAGTTAGGTGTAGTCGTAGCGTTAACCAACACGAAGTCCTTTGTTCGCACCTATGATGTTTGAGAGGCATATCCTTATTGCAATGACCTTATGTTTAACGTTATCTAGCTCGATGACCCAGCCTCAACGCGCAACTGTCTACCCTCAAGTTGTCCATCCACCTATGTAACTCTGTTTCGATGTTTCTATTGTCTTTCAGCCTAGGCCCTGGATCTACATATACTGGCCACTAAAATGAACCTAGATAATCTCTAAATGCATTAACCTACGTTGGACTGGTCAGCACGATGGTCAGGAGCGACGAAGGAAGATGCTAGACAACGATGATGATGATGATGATCTGTCTCTGTGTTCTACATGCAAGTGCCTACTGCTGCGACCCCGAACTCCCCTGGACTCCTAACACCCTGCTACCCCTGCTTCTGCCTAAACCAGATCCGTCCGAGTCCCGCTAGATCGCTCCGCTCCATATGCCCCCCCCAGAAGTGCGACCCTCCGGGGACGCGTGATGTGCTACTCGTCGTCATCTAAATCTTCTGCAATCTCTGCTTCCATATCCAACTCTTGCTCCTCTGCAGTGGGTTCTTCTTCGTCATTCATGCTTGATTCGCCTATAGCGTTCTGTAGTGCCGCTAGTGCTGTACCGTTTCGTGGTATGAATCTCCGTAGACGTCGTGCGTTGAATAATCCGTTAAGTGGGAACCCTTCCAAGGTTGCGAGTGTGTAAGAATTGCCGATTCTAGTGATGACACGCCGTGGCGCTGACCATCGTGGCTGTAGTTTGCGTGTCGAGGCCATGGTAAATTCTAAAGCATTAGCGTAGACTTGCACTAACTGTCCAGATTCGAATACTACTTCACCTGCATGTGACCGAAGAACCTTACGATCGAACGCCGCTTTGCGTTGTGCTGTGTGCGCCACGGTATGGTCTGCGCCATCGAGGCGTTGTTGTTCAACATACGCCATGTGCACGTCGACTCCTGATGTGCTTAGCTCCACGGATGCGTTCGCAATTGGTGTTGGATTTGTGTTGACGACGAGCCCTAACATAAGTTCCTTGGGCGAGAACTTGAATGCTGGGATGATGCGCTCGTTTAATTGACGAATGGCATTGTCGAAGTGATCTGGCCATGTTTTGGCCAGGTTCTCTGACTCCACGCCCTCATATTCGTCCTCTCCTAGACCTGGGCTACACAGCTTCTTCAAACGCCCCAACAACTTCCCATTCGCGTTTTCCACTAGTCCGTTAATCCATGGAGCATATGCCGCTACCACATGGTGTTTGGTTTCGTGCGCTGTGCACCACGTACGCACGATCCCATTGTCGAAGTGCGAGCCACCGTCCATCATAAACGTGTCCGGTGGGCGAAAGGTGTGTGCGATCGTCTCGAGTCCGTCTACCGTTGTCTTTGCCGTGCCGTGAACTTTTAACTTGAACCCCCAGACGTACTGTGAATAGGTATCGAGGATTAGCAAGACATTATGGTATCCGCCTTTACCTTTTGGAAGTGCTAGGTAATCTGCGACTAGAAGCTCGAAGGGGTGACGTCGCGTGATGGGGTACATGAGTGCGTGTAGTTGCGCTGACCCAAAATTTTTGCATTGCGGGCATTCCAAGAGTGCGTTGACTACAGACTTATCGAGTCGCGGGCTGACGATGCGATCCATTAGCTGGAGTTTGGTGAGATCCCTACCCCAGTGCCCGTTGTTGGCGTGCGTTTGTTTTGCTAACTCCATCGCCTCTAGTTGCGATACGCACTCTATTCGCGCTCGTGCTCTCGTGGATTTCCCATCTGCTATACGCCATAAGCGTCCTTCATCAATCATATACCCTAGGGCACGATAGCGTGCTCTGCGACGTTCGCGTTCGGGTTTGCTGCCATCTAGGTTGAGTATCGCTTCTATGACTTCGAGGAACAAGGGTTCCTGTTTGAAGCGTTCCCGTAGGTCTGAAATCACCGAGTCAGTTGGTTGTACTAATAGAAGATCATTTACTAGGCCGTGGGCTGTTTCCCAGTCTTCGCTGACTGTCCAGGTGCTCCCGTCTCCATCCGTTCGTGGTCGTCCAGACATGCGTCGACTTAACGCGTCCGCTGCGGTGTTGGTTATGCCTGGTCGATGTCGTACCGCTACTATTTGGTAAGCTAGTATTCCATCTCGCCAGCGCGCGTGTATGGTCGAGAGCTTATCACTAAGCAGTGTGTCCCTTAGTGCGGTGCAATCTGTTTCAACCTCTACCGGTGTCATGCATGAAACGAAGATTATACATTGACATTCAATAGGATAAGGGTATACTAGTCCAAAAGCTTTCGCTTTAGACTAATTACTCTATGTTGAGGCAAGAGAAGTAAAAAGTGGCAGAAAGCTCGCATTTCGTTTACTTTTGTTTACGTTTATCTTTGTTGACTTTCTTGCTTCTGTTTCTCTTGTTGTTTTTTATTTGTGCATGTTATGTGAGCTTCAGCCACAATCTGAGCTTACATAACATGTAATTAACCCTAGGAGAAGTCATGTGACTCCAGAATTGAGTCATTTGATCTTGGACGATGTCATTTGATGTCATAACTCCACAATGATGTCACTTGATGTCATAGCTCCACAATGATATCATTCAGCTCCACTTTGCTCCACAAATGCTCCACACTGCTCCACAGTGATGTCATTTGCTGTCAAATGAGTCAGAATGAGTCATTTTCCTCCTTTGGTGTTCTTTCCACTTCAATTCTGCATTTTATGCTACAACTACCTTATTTCTTCTCAGATTTGTGTCTCTTTCTATTTTCTTGGTACTATACAGTTCCTGGGATATTTCCCACACCAAATGTATATAAGGAGGCTCAATTCTCTGAGGAGAAATGAGAGACTCCCCATATTGGAGATTTCCCACTTCACATCTATCATCTGAAGTGCAGGCTGATACTGACAGCCTTACTACACTAAGATTTGATATAATCTTAGTCTTGTGTTATCTTTACTGTTGTTAGGGGCATTTAGTCACCCTAACCTTCTTTTCTAGTCCTTTGTTGGTCTAGAACTGCTGTTTCCTTGCTTTGATTAAGTCAGCAAGGATTTGTCTGGGAAAAGCTTAGTCAGCATCCCACACAACCCATATCTTTTGTTCAAGAGCTGTTTGGACAAAGAACTCTTCAGGAGTTATTCTTGCTTTGATTACATCAGCAAGGATCTGTCTGGGTAAAGCTTAGTCAGCTTCCCAATTTTGCACCACCAAGGACTTTTGCTCCATACCAAAGGT